GGTCAAACAGTATTCTTAAATTATGCCATTATGATGGTCAAATAGTATTATTAAACTATACCATTATGATGGTCAAACAGTATTCTTAAACTATGCCATTATGATGGTCAAATAGTATTATTAAACTATACCATTATGATGGTCAAACAGTATTCTTAAACTATGCCATTATGATGGTCAAATAGTATTACATGTATTAAACTATGCCATTATGATGGTCAAATAGTATTATTAAACTATGCCATTATGATGGTCAAATAGTATTATTAAACTATACCATTATGATGGTCAAATAGTATTATTAAACTATGCCATTATGATGGTCAAATAGTATTATTAAACTATACCATTATGATGGTCAAATAGTATTATTAAACTATGCCATTATGATGGTCAAATAGTATTAAATTGTGATATTTTCCGAGCTGCTTGCTTTGAGAAGAAAGTGAGTAAAGCTGGTACTTGTGAACACCTCTTTAAACAGTTGAAGTAAACAGCTCAGAATGTAGTTTAGATTATTCATTGTTTTGCATTTACTAGTATAATACACGTACATGTTCGGTGTTCAATACATGTTCAATACATGTTCAATGGCAGTTTTGTGTTTTGAAATGATTGCCCTGTGTGACTTTCTGAACTAACAGCAGAAGTGTGATTAAACTAATTTTTTCGATGTGGGAATTGTTCAGTTGATCCCTGTGAATGAGTAAATATTGTGTAAAGCAATTACCTTCAGTATCTTTTCAATGTGCTCTGCTACCAGACTTAAGCTAATTAGGCAATCAGTTGAGTTAATTCATTAATTAAATCTCAGGGTCCAAACATTGCTGTGAGAAGCAGACTGTCGCCATTGACTATCAATGCTGGCAAAAACAATGGCCTTTTAATCTGGAGCTACTATCAGAAATAATATTTGGAGGTTCATTAGTATAAGTGTTATTTCTATTTTTTATAATTTATTTGCTTTTACTTCTTATGTTATTCACATTTGAAAAAATGTTTACTGACTGTCATAATGTCAAATCTGCAAATAGTTCATCAAGAAAACTTATTTAAATTGAATAAAACCCTTGATTCGAATGATGACACATTCATTAGTTTTTGATTGGCAACTTTCACCTTTGATATACTTTGATGAAAAATTCCTTATTTTGTATCTCTTTCAATTTGGAACCTGTCCTAGAATAAATAGAGTAGAGGTCCTCATTTATAGAAACAATATCGAAGATACCTAGGTAAGCAGATAGGGATACTAGGTAAATGGAAGGGATGGGGTGGCATTGGGCTCAGAGGTTTCTCCTTAAGGAGACAGTGAGATATCATTAATGCGCCTACTTAATCAATTGTGACATCACATTACCTTTCCTAACTAACCAAATATATCATAATATTTAAACTAGACTAATGCCCTGCGTAATGCAGGAAAAGATATCATGTTGAATTAATTACATTGTTTTGAACCTCTAAGTGGATTGACTGATTTACAGTTTATCCTAATAAATAAGCAGCTATTACTAATATATATCTATTTTCATTTACTTAAATATCTTCCTCAGTGTAATGAAGTAAAATTAATGAACAAGTCTCATCGCAATTAACCAATCAAGAATGAAACGTTTTATATTGGCTAATAATACCTTAAGTGAATCCGTTTTCCTGATTTTTTACTTATAATATGAATAAATGGATTGACTTTTATGTTGTTATTAGTTGTAATAAAGGACTCGGTTGTTAACCATGCTATAACTGTAATGGTTTATGTAATAGAAATGTGGTTAAACTCCTCCCTTCATTTCTATTAGGGTTGTTCAAAAAGTTCTACACAAATATTTCTAACTATAAATGATTGACCAATCTTGTTCATAGTAAGTTGTTTGTTTGATGTTCAAAAGTAATATTTCCAAGTTAGAGACTGAAATACTACTCTGGATCATTAAATAAGTCATTAAAGAGGGAAATACCACAATTCCAGTTTATAAATAATTACACCAAGATTTGATAATAAACACATTTTCTCTTTTAATCTTGTCAAATTTATCTCTGTAGAAGAAACAGCTTGCTCATCTTTATAACTTCAGTAAAGACCTGTGTCCATTCTAAAAATTTCCGTCTGCTCAATGCTCATGCTTTTCGCCTTATTCTATTTTATTTCACTCAATTTCTCTCTAAAATTTGAATGAAGCCTTCCATTTTCTTGCATTTCTGTACAATCCAAGGTGTAAACTTCACATCTGTTAATTTAACACCTTGGCAATTCTTCATCTTTTTATCCAATATCACATTTTAAAAAGAGTCTGCCATGTTGTTTATTTTCTAAGTTGAGGTTTGAAATACTCTGCTATGATCTGCTAAGGTGAATGTGTTTGCATTGGGGTGATAGATGAGGGGTGTTGAGTGCTAGGTCTGAGTGTTAGTGGGTCTGCTAGGGGGTCTGCTAGGGAATATGTAGACCTACAGCAGTTCTTGGGATAATGAGAACTTAGCTTGTTTGTTTGTTTGCTTGCTTGTTTGTTTGCTTGCTTGTTAATATGTTGTTCATTGTTGTCCATGTGATGTCACAATAAGTAGCATTAACATAGATTTAAATATAAATATAAATATTTGATTTCCATTTTCTCCTAAAGGAGATGCTTCGACTAAATCTTGATTCCCTTCAAAGCTTACTTCTGAAATATAATGATTCACTTTTGCAAAGCAATCACAATTTGTGAGATATCATGAATGATTTCTCAACAATTATTCCTATCCATAAGAAAATGTGTACATTGTATATCCCATTTTTTAGACAATGGGAAGTTTGTGCAAACATAATTTTCCTAACTATGAATTTTAACTTCATCATCTTTAACAATGGTAAAATATTGTTTACTGGACTTCTTTTTCTATAATACACTTTCATTGTTGCTCCTATTGAAAATCAATCAAAGTTTGAATTTCATTCTATTTGATAATAGGGCACTAAACTGTGCTGAAATCTCAGTTCACACCAAATAAATTAGCAGTAATTACTCTGTTTAATAGGTTTATTTGCTGTTTGGTAGTCTGGTGAATTTCATCTTTATCTGTTGAGTCTTCAATTCTTCTAATTTGGTTCTGGTATCTCTCGATTGGGGTATGCCTTGCATCATTTTCATACTGATTGTTTTCTTTATAAATTCCTGTTGGCCATTTATCACATGTTAAGTACCATTGGAGGGCTATTATCTAAGTGTTATACTTCACAGGTAGAGACTACAAGTTCTCACTGGTGCTTTATGGGAACATTCGCTGATGACTCACTCCAATATAATATATTATTATTAGCACGATTGGCAATTAGGAAAACAAACCCCCAAAGACAATATCATTATCAATCCAATATCAACTCATGGAATCATTTTAAAAATCAAATTTTGCATGTTTTCAACAATCACACAAAACCCACGAAAAATCCTATATAGAAAAATGTTTAACTTATATTTTTGAGTAGTCGTTAATGTGGTTTCGTTAGTTTGTTATTATTATATACCTCAAATGTATTCTAGATGCTCATTGGCTTATTCATGGTCACATGACATGGAATAGATGAACTAATTCCCTGGAAAGTCCTAAATCCCTGCTTTCAGGGAAGATGAATTGTACTAATCACCAGTTAGGTCATGTGACCAGTCAATAGTACATTTTGTCTTCCCCCAAATCAGAGATTATAGGAGTTGAAAGGTAAAATGCCTTTAAATGCCAATAAGAACCTGTGAACATTTGATATTGAAATGAAAAGACTTCTCATTTGTTTTTGTTTACAGAGTACTTATCAGGTATATAATAAAACAAATAGTGACTGCCACATTTTCGGGAAATAGTGTAAAAATTTTCCTCTCGGGAATATCCTGTCCACTGACTTGTTCCCTCGGCCTGCAGCCTCGGGAACATGTCAGTGGACAGGATATTCCCTTGAGGAAAATATTTTGCACTATTTCCCTCAATGGCAGTCACTATTTGTACATTACTGTACAGTGTGTGACTGTGACTAATTTATTAATGGAATGGTTAAATGCATCATTTGAAATAACATGTCAGATGTGTTAGGGCGTCATGGGATTTTTCAATTTTTTTTTTAGTTTTTAAAGTTGTTTATTTTTAGGAAAATAGCATTATATAATTCAAAAGTTATTACTGTGACAAAGTATTTGAAAATCACATGTTTTTACAATGTAGATTTGTGAAGATTAGTTTCAGTAAGATTGTAAGCATTTATTCATGCTTAAAGAGTCAACAATGGAAAGAGAGGCTTTGAATATTATTCTATTATATTAAGTCAAATTGCATATAAAAATGGTGAAAATTTCACAATTTTCTGATTAGGACTGATTTATTTTTATTAAAATGTTTATCAGAATTATCTTCCAAAATTTTACACTCAACTGGTTTTTTGAAATGGAGAAAAAACATTTAAGGCGCAACATGTTTTTTTTACTAATAACCTTATATGCATGATTAACATATATGCTTCAATTGTTAGAAATGTAACAAGATGAATGATCATTGTTTTTGGACACCCTGTATAATTTAAAAAACACATGGAAGATAATGTTTTCCAAATAGTTGATGGTTGACATGGCTGCCAAAATGAATTGTTTACTATAAGTGGCTGAGCTGACCATATATCTCTGTCAAGTCAAGTGCTCCAGCTTGGACCCACATTGAAACTACACCAGAAAGATAAACCAATCAGCAGCGTTGTCATTAAAATATTTTACACACACATGTCCTGTCAGGTCATTTACCAGTTCTGGCTAATTGGAGTTTTAGTTAATCTTTTTCTCATTTTCAGACTTCTGGGCCAGTCATTTATATTAGCCCATGTAGGATTCAGTTTCTGAAAATCTGATGCTGTTTTCTTTCAAAAATTGAGGCCCACCTTTTCAATTAAGGCCCATTTTATCAAGAGAGGCCCATTTTGAGGATTAGGGCTATTTTATTACAAAAATAAAATCAAAATCTGCAAATCATTTTGTTTTAATTTTAACCTTCACCTTTCCCCAAAAGCAAAAATCATGATTTTTGGATACTTGATTTTTCTTTACTTTTGAACAAAATTAAAAGATGAATTTCATTGGACCATGGGCTTTGAGCTCTTGACGAAAGCCCATGATTGGACATGGTTCACTAAAATTAACACTTTCAATAATATGTGTAATTGAAACCTAGTGACAATAACAACAACAATGCTACAACAATTACAACATTGCAAGGTTTCAGTTTTATTTCTGAACTTATACTTCTTGGAAGAGGGAGAAAATTGTTTATTTTCTCTAAACAAAATGGATCCTATTTTTTACATCCATAAAACAGGGAAAGGGTTTGAAATAATAAAAAGATCTTCCCAGATTATTATAATTATTGAACTTTATCTGTATATTTTTCATCCAAATTGAATTGTCCTGCAAAGGCTCCAACTCTCTGGGAAATGTCTTGGGAGAGAGTATCATATAGCACAGGATTAATGGGCAGACACCTTATTAGATTCAGCAAATTAGAAAGGCAGCCACCAATCATGTCAGCCCAATTAGTATGTCACTTTTCTATAAATATTCACAACTTTAAGCAAGCACTGCTTCTTGAGGATAACTTAGGTGAATTCGCTCAAACGAAAGTGAGTGTTTGAGAATTAGAAAATATAATTTTATTGAAGATAATTTGAGGTTTCGTGGATGAATGTTCTTATACTGATATAAAGACAGAAATCAAAACTTTGAAGAACAGTAATAAGAAAGTTAAAAGACACTTCGACATAGCAAGAACAATTAGGATTTACAATAGAATTTAAAGTAAGAAAAGATTTTAGTTTGTTCTCATTCTAGAGAGATAATCTAGGGACAAAGCTACAAACTAGTTTATTTAGCAAAGAAGAATATGAAAACAAATAATTGAGCACTAAATTTAAAATATTTTGAGCTCCGATATTGCTTCTGACGAGTTTCTAAGTGACAATGTTGATCAGCCCAGCTGGGTTTCAAGGAGTGAATGGGACAATGGGTACTTATTGGCCCTTAGGAAGCCTTGATGGAATCAAATATGGACCTTATATAGCCCCTGTTGGATCCTACCCCCATGATTTACGTCTTCTCCCGCTGACACTCCCTGGCCTACCCCGAGGGCCAACCACAGAGAGGGTGGAAGCTACCCCTAGCCCCCCACACACGCAGCATCTCCCGGCAACTCATGAACAGGAAGATGCTCAAAAAAATAAAGATTTGAAATTCGGAATTGCAAATATTTTGTCTGATAAAATAGGAACTTCAAAAAAGGAAGGTAAAATTACATTATGTTTTGTTTGTATTGTATGTGTAATTAAGGTTGATACTGTCTTATTTATATAGGATCTCATTACATCTTTTATTTAGTATGATTTGAGTTACTTTTCCCAAGTTAATTCTCAAAATTATTTGAACATAACAGATCTGATTGTTTGTTATATTTGTAGGGATCATCAAAAATAATTTTGAGCTTTTAAAACAATTTAAATAGTTTATTCTCTTCTGATATAGAAATCAGTGAATATGTTGGATATTAGTAGAGCAAGGAATAAAAACATTTAAACAATTTGTTTCAGAATTGGTCAAACATGCATTTGTCCCAGTTTCTTCAAAACACACAGGTGCACTGATAGCACATAGTGGCTCAATCCAATCTCATGGCACAATCCCCACAGATGCTGGCACAACCAATGTTCAGACCCACCTAGGTCACCTTGATGGTCCATTACAAAGTCAGAATCCTGAAGGTGAATATACAGTAAAACCTGTGTAAATGGAACACCTTGGTATGTTGAAGAATTGTTCATCTAGGGAGGTGTTCCACGTACAGAGGTTCATTTAACATGAAGTCAGTGGGTCATGGGACCCTTTTCTCTTTTGGATGTGTTCCACTTGCAGAGGTGTTCCACTTTACAGGTTTCAGTGTAATTTATTTGAATTGTGTTTTGAAAAATGTTGATAATATGGTACGTAATGCCAATTGTATGTTTTCTATATGGGTGGCTTAATTTTGAAACAAATAACAATAATTTTAGATACATTTGTATGCTTCCTGGTGAAGACACTGAAATATATCAAAATCATTTTTGAGAGTCTAATACGCATGTTCATAACAATATCATATTGTGATATCATATTATACAATACAATGCAATAAAATACAATATTATATCATTTTGGTAATTACTTTACCCATACATATTACACAGCATTTAACTAATTTAAATTAGACATTTTATTTTCATTTCAGTATTTGGACAGAATGGAACTATAAGAATGTCGTGTTGTTCTAGCAGTCAGCCTGCACCCCCACATGTTGTGTCACACCTATCCTACAGTATAGCCCATCTGCCATACAGTACTAGCCAGACCGTATGCAACTTGCCTGATATTGACAGGTTACCAGGTGAGTGTTAAACAACCAGACTTTATCTTAGACTTACCACTCCTCCGTTTTTGTTATTTTTTAATTTGATTGATTATATTTTAAAATAAACAAAATCCAGGGACAGATAGCTGCATTCCCACTAATTATTTAATGCTCAATCCCTGTATGTTACCATTGATCAGTTCCACCCCACATTGCTGAAAATGATATGAGTACATAATGCAATATACCTGATCTCATGATCTTTAATTCCCAGAATGTGAACCTGACTGAAGATCCCCAATTTATTTTTGAATTGGTTTTATTGTGACACAGGATCTATAATAAGCAGCTGTCCTCAAACAATCAGGCAAAATCATTCTCATTTTGAATCTAACTAGAACACCAGAATTGAGTTCCAGACTTATTTGGCTTTTCAGATATTCCCACATGAGGAATATATTTTTGTTAAAATCGTATATCTTATTTTTTCATTTATTGACCTGTTTTCTTTCCAAATATTCTGGTTGAAGGTCACACATTAGATATTAATCTCAAGTTTTTTTTAACTATTTATCTGCAATTTACACTTTCCTTTCCTTGCATAATAAATCTTAAAAAACAATAGGGGGTGGAATCCAATTTTTTAACATCATTTTTATGGGAGGAAACACTTATGGAAAATTTATTTTGTTGCGTCAACTATTAAAATTCCAAAACATGGGCTAGTTTTTCAGTTTCTTTAGTTTCAACAAGGGGAAATGAATCAGAACTTATTAAAGAATCGCTGCTTCCAAACGAAGATGCTCATAAGTACATGTACTGACTTTTGGTATTATATGCTGCACATTGTTGACTCTTTTGACATAGTCCCTCAAGTGTCACATTTAGAGCCAGTTCTTATGTAAATAGCAATAAAATGTTTTATGATGAATTTTTTATAAATTGATGTGTTTATTTTCCCAAGAAATGGAATCTGAACTTGAATATTACAATAAATTACTAAACATCCGTGCGAACAAAATTTATCTTGCTGTTTATTATTTACAATATAACCTCATGCATCATACTGCTTTCAGCATGAATATGCAATGTGATTTTTCTTGCATTGTTTCAGGTTAAGATATGGGACATAATTTAAAGTACATTTTCAAAATATGCCATATGATATTACTTATGAGTTCTGTCATAGAATTCATGCTTATGAGGAATATATTCCATTTATTCCCATAAACAGCAAAATAGCTTTAAATATTAGAAAAATGAAAAGTACATGTAAGTTTGAAATTGATAATTAGTCTTTAAATTCAAGTCTCATTATAAATCATATAAACATATTTACATACCAGCATTAAAGAGCCTTCAAGGGAATATATGGCTTATGTATGAAAGAATTAAAAATTCATTGAATTGAAATTGAAAATTCAGAATTTGTCATCCTCTCATTTTAGATAAAAATTCTCTTGTTTAACATGTTTAATCGTTTGGTAACAAAAATGGCATTGTCTCTATAATACAATAAAATAACGGTTAAAAAAATTATTTATTCAAAACAATATACTAGATGCAAGTAGACATAATCTTGATTTACGTCATTAAATATTCAAAATTCAGTCAAAGTGATGTCATATTTGAAATCTACATGTAAAAGTACATCTAGAAATATGGTTTCGGAAATTGTTTATCAACTTTGAACATTTTTTTTTGAAAGTTTGACTTCTCGTTCGGGTTGATTCCCCATAGACCCAATGTTACAAAATCACAAAAAGTGAAATATCTTTTCTTGTATTGGACAGATAACATTTTCTTTTACTGGACATATTTCAATTTGCATAACTATTAGATACATAAGGGTTATATGAAAATTGAGCCACTAAAACAAATGTAATTTAATTTAAAGGGAACTTTCTGCTATACCCGCCATGCTATCTGACCCGAACGAGCCACCTGGTGGTGAAACTGGTAAATACCTACTCGCATCTGGGTTATTGTATACCAGCCTGTAATATTGTATATGTGACAAATGTCACTAGAATGGGTGGTCTTAAAGGTTTAGTATTGAAGTATGTTGTTAACACTTTACACTCATTAGCAGATTTTGGATCAATGCCCCTGCTTTATTTATAATTGTTTGCCAGGGAATTAGCATTTTAACAAAATAAAAATTGTACTTAAATTATTACACGTCCAGTTGCAGTGGCAGAAAAATCCAGAATTCTGCAGAAAAATTCACAATTTTGCATGGGAGAGATAATGGGTTTCCATATATTTGTCTTACTCTATAGTCTCACTCTATAGTTCGTCTTTGTAAGGCTAACACAGGCTATATTGGTCAGTTGTGTAATTTAACCCTTTCCCGACGTGAATATAAGAGGTAAATGTTGGCCCTGGTGACGGATAAGTAAGAGCAGTTTTTAGGGGAAAACTGAAAATTACCTATGCCCAGGGACCTATACCTTGAATTTTATCACTGAAATACATTTTTTAGTAAGGACTATCGTATTAGAACAACTTGTGAAAATTTGGTGTAAAAATACAGAATAGAACTGGAGATATTATCATTTCATCGATGTATATAAATGAAAATTATGGTGCCAAAAGGAGCCTATCGTCCTGAAAGGTATTACATATTAGGGCTCCATATGGAGCCCATCGTCGTGAAAGGGTTAACTGGGTATAATCACTAGTCCAGCATAATCACATCTTCGTTCACTCGGCTCCTGTCGGTCCGTCGATGAACGCAGTGAAGACCGAGCGTGCGAAGATGGCATAATCATTGGTTTGGCATAATCGCTAGTCTTATAGACAAGAAATTTTATTATTGGTCAACTGTTAATTTATACATGGACAAGGAAAATCTCATGTCAGCTGGTCCTTAAATTAGTTTTGACAAGTAAGTCTGTATAAAATTCTTTTCATGCAAATTTTGATAAATGGAACTTGCTGTTGGACCAAAAATGGTTTATTTGTATTCTATCATGTCTCAATGGTTCTGATACTCTGATAGGTGACTGAGTACAGCAAATATGTGTATATTTCTTTTACATAATACGGAGTGGTTACAAAGTTTTCCAAAATCCCAGTTGCATCTTTTTTGTAACCCTGTCTGACATTCAAGAGTTTATTAATTATTTGCCATGATTCCTTATTTCTTGATTAAATGTAAAATCACTTTGAAATGGAAAAATCAAGGAACCCATTAGTACTATTATCAAAACGAAGTAGAAGCAATGCACATATTTCCAAGAATTTACAGCCAAATGTTTCTCATTTTATATTGTTTATCTAGGCATAGTAATGACACCCCTAAAATTAACCTGCCACAGGAAATAAACACCTTGCTTAATGAGGGTATAATCAGGTGATGGGACTATTATCTGCAATTCTTGATTCCTTCCAGAACCAATTCTTTAAACTGTGGACATGTAAATTAGTCCAACAGATTTTTATTGAAAAACAATTGCTGGTTTGTGATAGAAAAACATCTTCTGTTTGTTTGTTTTTCAGCTCAGTTTTTAAAAATATTTTTTATATTGTTAGTTGTTCTTTTTTTCTTTTCTTTTTTCTTGTAAGCTGGAAAATCACCTCTCCCGGTTGAAAAATATTTTTTGTTTTCATTGAAAAAAATGAGTGCTTATATTTAGTATAAAGACTTTATGTATCTTCTTGTTAACATGGATATAAAGATTCATGGTATGCATATTTGCATCATCTTTATTGTTTCCTTTGCTAGAATGGGAGTTAGTGTCATGAACTGACCTCTTCTCATTAATTCTTAGTTAGCATATTTGTGCAATACAAATATCATCCAGGGTTATTGTTTCAAAAGTACCATACAGAAATATGTTCAATATTTATTTAACTAATATCAACTTAGATTAATGTGTTTTGACTAAACTATGAAAAATGTTTCTCAAAATTACTATATTCATCACTCATCAAATCAATGTCTTAAACAATTCCAGGACAATCATCTCCAATTATTACATAAAGCAGGTGTTTTTTGTCAACATGAAAAATGCCTAGAAGGATTGGGTTTAACTGGAGATTTATTGGCAACAAGCATTAACCATTAAACTTGGGTCTTATCACAAGCATGCCCCTCCCCCTTATCTTATACCAACATGAGTGTGAAAAGCTCACAAAAACCTGTTCTATGGAAAGAAAAAATACCAAGCTACTTTTGCACAACTTCTTGTGAAGTTTTTCTGTTAGAATGAGCTACATGTATTATAGATATATTTTGAATGAGTCATAGCAAGATCTAGTGAAGTCTTAAAATATCAAAATTAAATTGAAACGAAATGAGAGAAAACATAATTCAATATTAATAATTCAATCTAAAATTAAGAACTAAAATTTATTAATCTCATATTTGTGGTTTGGTTTACATCCTTCTTGAAGTAGAAATTATAATTAAAAATGACTGACTTGGTTTGGTCTTATTTATATTGTATGCTTTCTATATTTGATAAATTATTAAATTGCCAAAAATGTCTTCCTAAATGACGCCATATGTGTATACATAAACTATATACTCTAATTAATTATTTAATGTGCCATGGAATAGGCCTTTTTTAAAAATAGGCCCAAATTAAATTGAATACAGAAAGGATTGTCAACATTTTTGTCCCCATTGTGAATTTGAAGATCTGACTCTGAAATAGGTTAACTAAGGGATGTCTTAACTTGTCATTTGTTGCGTGAATGTTGTTGAACTGATGATGATCATGTGATAAAAAATGATGATCACATGATAAGAAATGATGATCATGTGCCAATAAGAAAGTCCCTGTATGATACAAAACTGGCAATAATAAATAAAAAAGAAAGTCATTTTAGTGCATCTATCTATTAGAATCAAATTATCACCTTATAAGTTGGATTATTTCCACAGAGTCAGTCTGTTTATGGAAACAAAAACATATCTTTTTGTAATATCTGTTATTGTTTTGAATCAGGATTACTCATATTTATGAAAAGGCGGAAATTTTGTTGACAATATTATCATAATAAACATTATGACATAGGGTTTTCCTAGAGATATATCATGAACCATTAATCAAAATATACCACATCTACTTCTTACTTATCTTCAACTCTGACATCATAATTCATTCAGAATAAATTCCATATCCAATCACACACTTCTCATAACTTGAATTAATTACTCAGATGCGAGTAGGTAGTTACCAGTTTCGCCACCAGCTGGCTGATTCGGAGGAATTAACATGGCAGGGTATTACAAAATTCCCTTAAACTTGAATATGCATCAGTTTTAGTGGTTCACTTTTCGTATTACCCTTATGTATCTGATAGTTATACAAATTAAAATATGTCCAGTAAAAGAAAATATTATCTGCCCAACACAAGAAAAGGTATTTCACTTTTTGTGGTTTTACAACATGGGGTCTATGGGAAATCTCCCCGACCTAGAAGTAACATTTCAAAGAAAATTAAATTTCAAAGTTGATAAACTCTTTTCAAAACCACATTTTTAAATGTAATTTTACATGTAGATTCCAAATATGACATCAGTTTGACTGATTTTTTGTGAGTTTTTAATGATGTAAATCAAGATTATTTCTACTCGCATCTGGAATATTGACCAAGAAGATAATAATTTTACCAATGGTATTTCCTAAATTGAAATTATCAATATTTACAACATCTGTAGGTTGTGTATCAATAAAAATACTAAGTCATTAATTTACATGTTAACAAGATGTTTGAACTAGTTTGAAGAGACACATATAAATATGACACTATGTAGTACTTTATCATCCACTTAGATATGACATCTATTAAACGTCTGTTTTAGATCACTTACACACTTATAAATCCCAAATTGCATTTGTCAAATTGTCACCTAAATCTAAAGACTATGGGTGGTTTTTATGGGTTCACTTGAAGGTTTATCTAAGAAACCTTATCAGACTTCCATGTTGACAATTATGGGGTGATTCATTTAAAGGGTTTTGATTTCCCTACAGGGTGACTCATATGTGGGAACACCATTGATAATTTTTGAAATAAGAATTTTTTTTAAAATAAGGATTAGTGTTCCTTGTAATATTCTATTATCATCAATATTCCACCATACAGTTTTATGTCCCAGAACTATTAATGCATTATTCCAAAAACATTTTATTATCTAATTAATCTGAATTTTGTGGGATTTTGATCAAGTTTATACTTTCACTTGTGATTTCTCTCTTATTCTTATTTGCTATGAATATTAATGATTTTTTTGATTTTTCATGAGTCACCCATTGTACTTTTTATTTAAAACTACCATAATCACTTTGCTAATATTTCTCAGCTTTATCACTTGTTTTACAGGGCTTTCTTACGTCATTGTGAAATCATGTATTGCCATTTGTGTTTTCCAATTTGATCCTACTGCTTGCCCATTGCTATAGCCATGCCAAGTAACAATGCAGATGTTCTACAAGTTGTCAGCCCCTCAGCCATGATCAATGTTGATCACATGATCCTTGTGTTGATATGATGATTTCACAGACCCCAATGCCACCAACCAGCAGGCAATACATCAACTGTCACAAGTGTTAATAGTGGAACTAAGTGTTGACAAATTGCCATGGTGATCTGTTGTTTCTCACAATGATGTTGCTTTGGTAATCACCACAGAACTCTGCGTTAGATTTCAACAGAAAGTGTTTGTGATAATGAATAAACATAGAGATGTCTCATTTAGTTTTTGGAGTTTTGTTTACTTTGGTTGTCTTTAGTTTGGGTACAAATACACTGTGTGATTGCTGTTCAGGAGTCATCAGTTCTGTCCTTCAGAAGACAATAGGCATTTTAGACTTCTCCATTACAGACAATTTCAACCTTGGTTTTCTTATAGGAGTCACTGCTGAACATTATTTCTTGCATTTAAATGGAATGGTCCAGCCACATAAAATTGTATACAAAACTTTTATCTCATTATTTTATCACTTTACATTTTTTGGTGTGAAACTATTTTAATATGTTTGTAAAAGTGTCATTAGCGACTCCCCCAGTCAATTTTTTTCATTGATATCCCGTTCAATACAATATAAACATACTCAGTTTCTTTATTGTCAAACTTTGTGAAAGATAAAACAGAAAAACATTACAGTTTTGCAAACAAATATTTTGAGAGTTTTTACAAAATAAACAAACAGTGAATTAAAGGTTGTTAATTTTGATATATGAGCACCACTCTATTCAGTAAATAAAATGGGTTGTACAATTATGTTTGAAGCCTGTACAGAGGTCAGAGTTACAGTCCAATGTAGCATAGGAATCTAAAGATGTGGTCTCCTGGTCCATTGGGAGTTTTTATCACCAAAAAAAACATAAAATGTCAAATCCATTTCCTTTCTTGTTGGTGGTCTGCCTTAAAGGAGAAGCCCTTGCCAATAACATTAGGGACTTTATCAAATTACTTAATAATCTTGCTTGTTTGAACATTGGAAAACATCTTCCAAATGGTTTATATACCACCCTTCATGAATAGAAACTTTGATACTGTGTTATGTCACTTAATGTTACTTAAATGTAAATGTTACATTATCTGTTACTTTTGTTTTGTATTATGTAAGCATGAAATGTTGAATGTATTTTCATTTACATCGTTTTTAAATGATGTGCTTCCAGGTCCGTACAGTATATTGAATACAGAACAAAATGGGCACCCCCACAGTAAAAGAAAAAGATCGTGGTCGCGAGCTGTGTTTTCCAACCTCCAACGTAAAGGCCTGGAAAGAAGATTTGACATTCAAAAATATGTGGCTAAGCCTGATAGGAGGCAACTGGCTGCAATGCTGGGCTTGACAGATGCACAGGTGAGTTGTTAGTGGTGGGGTATTGGTGGTGATTTGCTAGTGATGAGATGTTAATGGTGAGTTGTTTGTGGTGGGGTGTTAGTGGTGGGGTATTGGTGGTGATTTGCTAGTGATGAGATGTTAATGTTGAGTTGTTTGTGGTGAGATGTTAGTGGTGAGTTGTTTGTGGTGAGATGTTAGTGGTGAGATGTTTGTGGTGAGATCTTAGTGGTGAGTTGTTTGTGGTGAGATGTTAGTGGTGAGTTGTTTGTGGTGAGATCTTAGTGGTGAGTTGTTTGTGGTGAGATGTTAGTGGTGAATTGTTTGTGGTGAGATCTTAGTGGTGAGTTGTTTGTGGTGAGATGTTAGTGATGAGTTGTCTGTTGTGAGATGTTAGTGGTGATTTATTTGTGGCGAGATCTTAGTGGTGAATTGTTAGTGGTGAGATGTTAGTGGTGAGTCATTTGTGTTGAATTGTTGGTTGTGGTTTGTTAGTGTTGTTTGTTCTTGATGGTGTGTTCTCTGGGTCATGTTTTAATGATATGCTCTTGGTTGCATGTTCTTGGTAGCATATTCTTGGTGGTTTGTTTTTGGTGGTGTGTTTTTTTGGATGTGATCTTGGTAGCGTGGTTGCTCCAAAAGTATAGATAGCTATGTTGAAGAAGCTAAGTTTGTATCACTAGATATTCATTCGATAACGCAACATGTGGATTGTGCAGATTGTTGTGCTGTAGAGGATGTGGCACTGTAGACTGTATAAAGGGCTCCTGAAATGTTTTATTTCTCTGCAAGTTTATATTCATTTTTTTACAATCAGATGGCAGCACCTTACAGTACTTTATTTGACTCTAATTAATACATGCTTGATAGTGATTGTTATCAAACTGAACTATTATACACTAGTTTATGCTGTAAAGTCACTTTTATTGTGGATGAAAAAGTATATTTCATTAGGATAGGGGAGGGGGTAAATGAAGGTTCTCTTTGTGATAATTGTTTCTTTTCACTGATGTGAAACTCAAGTGAATGCAGTTAAATAAGGGGGAGGGGGTTAAACCAGAACAAAATCAACTATATTTTTATGTCACCACCCAAAAGTGGTGACATATTGTCTCTTTTAGCATTTCAACAATATCCCCAATAGTGAGTGTTGGTATGATCACTTTTTTCTCATGAGGAATGCCAATTTTAAGTGAGACACCACTCACAATGCTAAAATGGTATTCTCCCCATCTTTGCACACTCTGTCATCAGTACAATTTGAGAAAGCCAGGTGAACAAAGATAATTTTTGCCTGAATACAAAGAAACATGATTTGATCAGGGAAGTTTTGAGACATTTGTTTTTTATTTTTAAGGGCCTTCAAGTGTAAATTAGATATCTTATATTATTCCATAGTTAGCATGATATTCATAGGATAACATGTGAAAATAAAAACGGTATTTTTGTAATCAGTGGTAAAATATGATATTTTTGACAAATTTTCACTTAACCATAGCATACGATTTTTTAGCCATGACATACGGCGCCATATGCAATGGTTTATGGAGTTTTGCTACTTCAGACTCAAAACGAGGTTAAGTGTCAACATCGCCGGATCATTTGGAAAATTCGAATTAAATCACTTAATTTCCGACGATTCTGATGATGACTTTAACTATGGAATAAAAAGAACATCCTATGATTTACTCGTGATATGATTTTAATCCACTCATGGATATTGATATCATATCATTCGTGGATAAAAATCATATCACTCATAAATCATAGGATATCCTCTATATATTTTAAATTTCATTATTGTTATCCAATAATGGTGATTTGTTTTATTTCATATTCTTGCAGGTAAAAGTTTGGTTTCAAAACAGAAGAATGAAATGGAGACGAGAAAAGGATGTCGAGAAACAGAAAGAATTATTGGACAATGTAAATAATGTAAACAATACAGCTATGAACAATACAGCTATAAACAAGACAGCTATGAACAATACAGCTATAAACAAGACAGCTATTGGTAACATAGATATAAGTGACACAGTGGAGGAAATTGATAATACACAAGTTGAAATGACAGTCTCAAATAAAAACTAATGTATTTTAACACAAACAAATGAAAACTGATGAACATTAGGTAGGATTTCTGTTACTGTTATTTATACTAAAATGTACAATTGATTCTCATCTAGTCAATGGCACTATTTGAATAGGGAGGGAAATAATGTTTTATCCCAACTCTGCAACATGTTAATTATATAAATAAAAAATCATTAGAACTTAAGTTTGAATTAGCTTTGTATCTAATAGGAAAATTGAAAAATAAAGAGGAACATATTTTACATGTATTTCATTTTTTCTTTGGCATATTTAAGGTGAAGCACCCAAAGACAGTTGAGTAAGTGTGAAAAGAGGGTATCTTATGAATGAGTTTAGACATGTAACATTTATAACATGGGGGTGTACCCCCCCCCCATCCCCACGAAAAAAGCTATTTTTTAAAATTGTCCTGTCTGTCCTTACCCAAATAGGTTTTCTCTATTATGGTCATGATCATCAGATAGTATATTTAACATCATATTTATTTGTTCCTTTACTTCAATATGTTTCATATATTTTGAATATGTTTTGCACATTTTGGGTAATTCAAATATTGTTCAATAATTGTTATTGTTTTTTAAAAGATGGCCATTTTTCATGTTTTGCAAGTTTTTGTCTAAGAATTAGTTTTGTGCAGTGCAACAAATATTCAATAAAAAAATTATTACCAGATATGATATATTTCATCATCCAAATTGTGTATGTATATATGGTAACCAAAAAATCTATGTGTACATAACATCATTAATAGGGCTTAAGGAAAACAAAGCCCTGGGGGGGGGGTACGATGGGACCGAGCGAACCCCCCCCCCCCCCTTTGAGAAAAATTCTTTCAAAATCATGCAGTTTTTCATCATTGTACATAATGCTAAACGCAAAATAATTAATTTAACAATAACCAACACCATTTTGGAAAATGTCCCTACCTTGTACATGTATTTGGAATTTTCAACAATTTCAACATATTTTGATTTTAAATTTTGCCATAATTTTAACCCCCTTTTTGAATTTCAAATCCAATCTCCCTTTTAATTAGCTTTAAAAGGGGTTGGGTTTATCTTACTATACTTGAGATACCTTAGTGGCAGCAAGGAATGTAATAAATATATTGAATGCAAACATGGAGAAGATTTAAAGATGGTAATGTCCGATTTTAGAATAATTGCCAAAAACATTATAATAAAAGAAAGAGAACTGTTTGAGTTTTTGAAAATAGGCATGACCAAGTCTTTCATGTACTTTGTAATGACCACTGGTGTTCCAGTATGAAAAAAGAGAATATTGTGTCATGCTTTTACTCAGGAATTACAAGATGTTGTACTGAGTAACTTGACCATTGAACAGGCCATTGACCAAGTTAGTGATCCAAATCTTTTTTACAGTTGAAAAAATCTCATGGTTCAAAAAAAGCTCATGGTGTTCTTGCTCTAGAGAATCAGTCATTTGATTTCATATTTTCTAATAAGCATATCCATGTCCTACATTGCTGTCACTTTCCATTGGGATAAAAGTATTGTTTAAAAAGGCTTCGTGAGCATTACAATAGTATTGATCAGCAAAAAGTCAATGTTATATCAGTAACTGTTGAGAGCTCTTCTCTTCTCACATTGAAATCTCTCGCGTGCAGCACCTCCATGTATTTCATAACACCAAAATGCACCACCAATAATTTTATCCACAAGACAAAACTGATGAGAGCAGCAGATGATAATGATGAGAGGTTGAGAGCAGCAAATAGCAAGGTTGAAAACATATTAAAACTATTATGAGAGCAGCAGACAAAAATGAGAAGAAAATACAGCATACATCGTAACATCAGTACTAAAAGAAAGGGGGAAATAATGATAGAACCAAATAACAATGATGAGAGCAGCAGATAACCATGATAAAAACAAGATAACAATGGTGAATCAGTAAATGATGGCAATGGAAGATAACAATGCTGATAAGAAAAGACAATGTATCCACAGATAACAATGATGAGAGCAGCAGACAAGAGCAGCAGACAACCATGATGAAATCAAGATAACAATGGTGAATCAGTAGATGATGACAATGGAAGATAACCATGCTAATAAGAGAAGACAATGTATCCACAGATAACAATGATGAGAGCAGCAAATAACCATGATGAAAACAAGATAACAATGGTGAATCCGTAAATGATAGCAATGGAAGATAACCATGCTAATAAAAGAAGACAATGTATCCACAGATAACAATGATGAGAGCAGCAAACAACATTTTTGAAAATAGAATACAACAAAGATGAAAAGAGCAGTTTACAAATGGAAGACAATACATTAATGTGCAAATTGTCAAAACGCCAGCCATCGAATGCCGACTGCCAAACACCGTCCCGAAAAAGTTGGAGACTATTAACAATATGTCACCACTTCTGATGTTGACATAAAAAACTAAGGAGAACACCAAATAACATTTATGAAATCTGTAGACAATAATGATGAAAGCAGAAGATAACACTTATGAAAATGAAATATAACAATGATGAGAACAGAAGTAGATGACAAAAGATAACAGTGATGATGAAAGCAGCAGACAATGAAGATGAAACAATATAACAATGATCAGAGCAGCAGAAAGCAATGGTGAAAATAGAAGAGATCAATGTTGAGAGTAGTAGATAAAGATGATGATAATGGAAGATTAAACCGTGTTGATGAATGTTGATGATAAGGATGAGAATGGAAAATAATAATGTTGAAGATATAAGATGATGAAAGCAGCAGACGATAGTAATAAAAACAAAGAAAACAATGATGAGAGCATTAAATAACAATGATGATAACAGAAGATAGCAGTGGTGAAATCAATATGCAATAATAATGACAATGGATGATGAAAGCAGAAGATAACAATGATGAAAATTGAAGATAATAATGATGAGAACAGCAAATAATAATGGAGGCCAATAATCCTGAAAGTAGAAGATAACAATCATGAAAACATAATATAACAATGATGAGAGCTGCATGCAAAGATGAGAACAGAATCGGTGTATGAAAATGGCCGACCATTATAGGTAGCCACAGAGCGGAGTTTGAAAATAGAATACTTTAGAGGAGCGAATGTGTCAAACCTCTCCCGGCAATTACTATATTTTGAGAGTTGAAGAATAATCGAAGTAAAACATTCAAATGCTTAATTTATTTCACATTTGAAACTGCTCCGTCACAGCGGACAAAAAATTTAAACATTATTTTTTAATAAGAAAATTTAAAAGACCCAATACATCCAGATCTCATTAATACATTCAGAGTTACGTTGAAAACACATTTAAATATCAGTGTGACACTATATCGTGCAATTAAAAAGTAAAAAAGAAATGGTGCATTATTTGTTTTCAATAGCTTTTACTCCTAGCGTTATTGGACTTCAAACAGGACCGACGGTTACCCGCAAATGATACATCCATTGCATGGAGTGAGAAATCTTCGTTGGTATAACGAAACATATGAGTTAAAAAATAAATTGTTATGATTTCTTTTATCAAAAATAGCATGCTCCGAGCAGCGGACAAATCTTTCGATACCAACCCGTTATAATGTAGTCTTACCCAATATTATCAAAGTGTAATAAGTAAAACTTTTTTATTTCAAAAAGAGGATTTGAAGGACTTTTTGTTCGAACTCTCACTATTATAGTTATACAAAGGAGTAGTTTTGTTCCAATGAGGTTCGGATAGATGTTTTGTTTCATTCAAACATGATACCTTAAACAAAAAAAGAAGTGTCTGATGTCTTGTCTAAATCAATATAGAGAAAAGTATATTTTCCAAATTAAACTGTTACCATTCAAAAGATGATCATTAGATTGACGATGTGTAAACATTTCAGTAGTTTTGATGACTTTAAGAGAAACATGTTTTCAATTCAGTTCGCCATATCGAAACCAATTTTTTTAGGAAAATTGGTTCATAAATCAAACGATAAATGAACTTACTGTATTCATGCATGAAATGGTACAGAGAAAAATGCGTTCCAAAATTTTAGTTCTCATGGAAACCAATTGTATTTATTTCTTCATCCTCAGGTTAGACAATTAACATTGGTTTAATTTATTTTTGAAGTCTAGCATATTTCACGCCCGGTGATCGTACAAAAATGATGGAGGGGGAGGGGGATTAGGCGATTTCTGCAAAAAAACTCAACAAATTTGGAAGATTTATTTTTCCAAGAGAAAATTTACTACTGAATTGCCAAATGAATAGGCGCAGTGCATGGCAAAATATGTTAGGTCATCTTGTAATTTTTTGAACTGATACCCTTCTAAGATATGAGATCTATTAAAAAAAGGCGCATCATCACCAACGTGCAAAAGTCAATGTTTTTGCTATAAATCGGGCAACAACGGTATGCATGACCTGTAGTAAATAGGTATAAGGGACGTTATTATCACAATACTAATGACATTGCTCACTTTTTAAAGTTAGTTTCCATGCGTTATACAAAAATAATCGAAATAAATTAATTTGGGATGGAGGGGGGGGGGGGAGTTGGCAATTGGCAGTTGTAAATTTTCTCTTGAAAAATAAATCTTCCAAATTTGTTGAGTTTCCTTGCAGAAATCGCCTGATCCCCCCCCCCCCCTCCATCATTTTTGTACGATCACCGGGCGTGTATTTAGAATTCTGATTTTTATTGCATGAAAAGATTATTCAACAAGGGGTCTAAAACATCTTCAAAAAGATAATGGTATTGAAAGTCTAGTTTTGAAGATATAAATTCTCGATGACCAAAATGATGCTGAAAACAATGGATAGCATATGGGAAAACATGGGATATGAGGTTTTTAACTTGAACGCATTTCAATACGCATCCCCTTTTCAGAAATTGTTAATGTAGTTTACAAGAAACTTTTGATATGTTAAAATTGAGAAAAACAAGATCCTCTTTTTAGAAAATAAGCCTGACGTTTTTTAAAAAGTGCCAAGGTTGGGCTCTAATCCATAATTTTTCAGAGAGTTGGATTGATAATTTACTATCATGGGGACTTCACATGAAAGAAAACACATTGTTTTAATTAAAACCATCATTGTATTTATGGCCAGAAAGTACTCATGGTTAAAGATATGACTGTCTAAAATCACTTGCCATACTGCACATGGACCTTTATGTTTCCAGTCCTAAATGTAGTTTTTTGCAGATTATTGGTTTGAATCTTTTGGGCTGTTGATTATGAATTTATCACAGATGATAGGCTCAAATCAAAGTTTGAGAAAATGTGTAAATGACCAACTATATCATGTGTAAAAGATCGACCATACTTGTAGCCTTATTAAATTATTTATATAATTCGATGCTGAATACATGTAAATCGTAGGCAGCGTTTTTTACCCATTTTGTTTTTAATATGTTAAATGGTTAAAAGGGCAAACACTAAGGTTCCTAGCTGACCTGCATATCGTTTCAATGGGAATCTACTCTATTTTTACTGAAATTAAAATATTCGTCATGTCAAACTGAGCACGATGTTATGTTATGTGCGTTCGTTCCCTGCCTGTGTCAGGATCTAAAGTGACTAACCATTTAACGGTCAAGCCAAGTAGTACCCCGGACAGGTTGTATGATGCAGTCGTGTTTTTACTCTATATTTGTTATAGAACAACTATTATTATTGAAATTTTCAAAATTTATTCTAGAGACAATTTCCAACATGGAAAATAAATATTTTATCAAAATTTCCAATTTTATGATTTTGACAGGCTTTTTTCAAAAACACTACACTGTCAATAAAATACAGGTTTTTGCATGAACAATTGAACTTTTAACGTCATTTCAAATATTGTCTGGCTATTGAATTTCCGGCCGCCTAAAGTCTTTCCAGATATATCTGTTGCCATATTCATAATTATGGCTGATTATTGTTATTCACTTGAGTCACATACAATATTATTACAGTGCATTAGGCCAATAAAAACTTGTTGCTCTGGGTCTCGTTTTGTGAAGCGTTCCCTAGATTGAGCCCAGAAAGAGGAGGTCAATCTTCTTGTCCATGGACATGAGTTCATCCCGGTCACTGTTCAATACTGTCCAAAATGAAATAAAACATTACGAATCTCCTATTTGAAGTATTCTTGGCATTATAGATCCTTCAGAGATGTTAATACAGCTGTGTCAAATTTTATCATGAAATTGTGAGGGAGACCTGACATTTTAAAAGCATGGAACAATTTACGTGCCACGGGCTTGATATGCTGAGTGACGGTGGTGGAAAAACCAAGAGGAGAAAAAGGTGCGTTTTCAGAGAAAACGTGACCCAGAGTGACAACTGTTTCATTGGCCTAATGCACTGTAATAATATTAGGCCTATTGAATATGACAAAAATGAATAACAATTATCAGCCATAATTAATATGGCATCAAATACACCTGGAAAGACTTTAGGCTGTCAAAAATTCAATAGCTAGACAATCTTTAAAATGACGTTAAAAGTTTAATTGTTCAAACAAAACCTGTATTTTATTGACAGTGGAGTGTTTTTGAATGAAGCCTATCAAAATCATAAAATTAGGAATTTTGTTAAAATATCTTTTTTCCATGTTGGAAATTGTCTCTAGAATAAAATATGAAAATTTCAATAAGAATGGTTGTTCTATTGCAAATATAGAGTAAAAAAACGACTGCATCATACAACCTGTCCGGGGTACTAACTTAGTCAACATTCGATATTCGTATGTTCATCAATATTAACTAAGAATGGTGCCACAATTAAAGTAAAGCTCTGTTAAATTATTTTCAATAAACCTTTCAGCAAACGTGTAAATGATTATTTTGATGTTCTGTTACATATTGGTGAAGCAATCGTGGGGATATGGCCTAAATTTCTGGATTTCTACTATGTCCCTGTATAACCCTACTTCAAAAGATGTATGTTATTTGTCATTTTTCATTATGAATCAACCATAAATGTATTTTTTCTTGTCTACATACAGAATGAACTTTCTGTTTTCAAATATTGAAAGATGGTACTACATTTATTTTTTCATGATATGGAGCAAACAAATGCGTGTCAATTTATACTGTAATATCCCACATACTTATATTTCAAGGGTTGTTTTGAAGAATAATCAAGAAAATCCATGTTTTCAAATGAATTCATCCTTGTCAAAGAACGTTAATGAGGATATGTGGTTTGAAAAACTAACAACATGTTTTAAGTTCTTACAATTCTTGGTTGAAACAAATATTTCGAAAGTTGTGATTTCGAATGTAATATCCAACTCAATAAAGTTTGTTGATATTTGTGAGTTTTTTCTTTCGGAATGCACATTGCTGGATCGCAGAACCTTGCCTTGTTCGTGATGCACGAAAAGTGTATTGTTAATACTTGACGTCGTTTGGATATTTGGATGCGATTGACGTTTTCGTTAATCTCCAACCACTGTCACTTCTAACTTAATTTTTGAAAGCCAAATATGATAGTCACGAATTGATATTTAAGTCACACGTTGATGCATACATCACGTGTGTACATTAACGGTCGAATACATGCCGACTTATATTTTACATAAATATCCACAGTTAACTCAAATCATCAATTCTCAAAACGGTTTATCATATTACCTGGTGAGTTTAATGTTACATTTTGATTTATAATTATGGTATCAGATTTGAGTATGATATTAGTCGAGGCTTAAACAAAGCAATAAAATTGCATGAAACTCTTTGTGAAAATTCGAACGATTTTTCAAGAATCCTCATTCAAAGTGTTACCAAAGTGCTCCCCGGGAGTGGAAATTTCGTCTTGTGTAATCAAAATAATAGCGGGTGGTTTGAATTTTTGTTTGAGTTAAGAGCTTACATCTATAAATTTAAAAACATATCGCCTCATTGAGAGGTACATGCAGTTTTTGGCGATCTATCATTATAAAAGGCTAAATATTGTGCAAAAACAGGAGTTGATACGCTTACATTTGGAAATGAAATTTCCTACATAATTGCCGACGACGTATCAATTGAGAAATGCAAAATGTTCAATTTTGTTTTTCAATTATAAAAAATCGCACCTGTAGAGAACAACGTTAACAAAATTATTTAAAACGGAGATATTTACTTATGTAACATTCATTAGCATGTGTCAGGGTGTAAATAAGAAGAATATGCATTTGATCCTATATCTTGTTCCCAAAGGAGTTTGTTAAGGAGCGGTATATCTTAACGTACTTTTATCATCCCGAACTCAAACATTTCGAATACTTATTTTGAGAACGCTTTGTTAAGAATGGATTCGAGATGTACTCAAAATTAATACGTTAAAATGTGTATTATCATCTTAATAACTACCTCATAAATTATTTTGGAAATCAAAGATGTACGATTTTTGACTTTTTTATTTTCGAATGTTGACTTAGTTAACTGGCTTGACTGTTAAGCACACCATTGGAAAGCTATTTTTGTCATATTGAATGCAGTTGTTACCAGATTGACGTTTAACAGCTGCAAAATCAAACATTACGTATTAATCTTTAAAAAGATGACGACGTGATTTTGAAGACCGACAATTGCCGTTAAGTTTGTTTTTTGTTATTTTCATACTAGTGTTACGTTTTTACATCATGATCCAAAGTGACTAACCCGAATGAAATTGTCTTATAACAACTGAGACATTACTTTAAAATATGACATTACAGACCACGACGATGTTACGTTTTTCATGTGCGTCTTTTTCATTGTACACATCTCATCCCGTGGAATTTAGATTGGATCTGTTAATCAAAGAAAGATGTTTTTCATTTGAAGAAAATACGCCATTTCAAGATAGATGAAATAAATCAAACTAGCAAGGGGCCCTAGCATTCTCAGGCCCGTAACCAGGATTTACCGAGGGCCGAGACATATAATGTTTTATATGTCTCTGCCGAGGGGAGCGGTAAATTACCAAGGGGGAAGCTTTTGCCAAGAGGGGGGGGGGGACTTGACAGTTTTGGCAAAAAATCATGCAGAATGGTGAAAAACTGCATGATTTTGAAAGAATCTCTGGCCAGGGGGGGGGGGGGCTACGGCCTGATTCTTATTGGGGCTTCTGGACACTGGCGGATACACCCCACCCCCCCCCCCTTTGTGGGCCCAGAAGAAATGTTAGGGTCCAAAAAATTTCGGGACTCAATAAATTTGCAGGGGCTGAAAAATGGGTCCTCTCGGGCATAATTTGGCCTTTAGAGGCCTTTCTTGAGCCATATTACCACAAATGGGGCCTCAAATTTTCAAAATTTGGGCCCAATTTTTGGTATCAGGGGCCCAAATTTTTTGTCTACCTCAAACTTTGCCCCCCCCCCTCCCCCACCCCTTGCTAACTTCTGGATCCGCCAGTGCTGGACCAGTGTGAAAGAAATTATGGTCCCCCAGGGATTATGGTCCCCCTTCTTCTCGGCCCCTACTGGCCCTGATTGTGTATAACATAATAAGGGAAGGTGATAAATCAATGAAGAGTAGGACCATAATTTGATAGGACCACCTTCCATTTTACACCCGGTGTAAAAGAAATTATGGTCCCCTAGGCCTTGGGATTATGGTCCCCTTTCCTTACGGCCCTGACTGTAATAAGGAAAGTAATTGTAATTAGGTCACCATAAGGGAAAGAGGTCATCATATAAATCAATGGAGAGTAGGACCATAAATTAATAGGACCTCCTACCCTTTTACATCGGGCTTCTGCCTTCTGGACTTGGATATACCATGTATACCTGAAATAAGATGAACGTATGAAGTCCTGACATGCGCAGTTACTCATGGTTGGGAATTTTTTAAAGGGGAATCCCCTTTATTGAAGAGAAAACGACGCCATTTTAGAACTGGTAATTTGGTGAAACAACTGTTAGGTATTCCTGATTTGAATTGAGTCGTTTAAATAGATACCATCAATCGATACCGTACATAAGACACGAAAAGGCGAGAACATTACCATACACAAGGATATAATAGGTAAGAGTAAATGGATACACATACAGGCTAATACAGCCACACTCTACACACACAACCAAGTTAGGCTTTGATTCATACTTCGATGGATCTTTTTGTTAGCCTAGATCTAGACTCTAGAAGAGAGTCTTACTCTTCGGCCTTTGGTTTTTAGTTGCATCAATTGTTACATTTTGTTTCAGTCAACATGAGTGACTTACCTAGAAAAGTTGTGGCGGATAGTTGTGCTGAACCTATAAAGCAAGCCGTACAGCCACATCCAGAAGAATATGATGAAGTAGATGGATGCTTAGCTGGGCCATATGCTAACAAAAGAATTGACAAAGCAACTGCCTTTCACCAAAGACAACAACATATAAATCAAGACAATTCTGATACATTACTTGACTCTGGACTTGGAGAAAGTTATGTTTCACCACCAAATAGTACTGAACTGTATACCCCCCAACAAACTAGTTACAACAGCGGAGATCTCAGCTCAAGGTTACAAAACATACATCTCAATCAACGAGAACAAACCAATCAAGTAACTGATGATCTTACTGCGGCGCAAACTGAAACCTTTTTCGATGAAAATTTACCAACAAATCTACCCAATGCTAATGTTACATGTCATTTAATCGAACCTGCAAAAGACAATGTATCAGTACCACATGTTGTATTTGAAGTGCCCCAGATTTCACAGAAACAAAGGAACATCTACTCTCAAGATGGTGATTGGGATACGTAAGTTATTTTATTTATTTAATTGTATTTGCATTTAGAAAAAATGCAAATGCAAGGGATAAATAGAGCATCCAGGGTTTGCACTAAATGCCCAGCTATTTTTCGCATTCAAAAATCGGAAAGTCCATTTCATTTTAAAATTATATTATATTTGAAGACTATAAACATGTTTATAACCTTATTCTGACCAGTGGAAGTTCCATTGCTAAACCAGATGCAATTTTGAGCCCTGGGATTTTCTTGGGAATTCCATTCATCACATTTACATAAGCTTCAAGGTCAAATATGTTTGCATGCATAGTGCATACATTGCATACATGCAGCTCTGCATTCTATTGGATGGTTAATATTTTGAAATCATGCTCAGATGCATCAAATAAAAAATATCCCAAAATATTATGGCATTTTTAGAATTATCCAAATCTACTGTATATTATGCATTTTAAAATTTTTTGATTTACAGCCAGCTGCACATAGCCATTGCCCAGGGGCTTACAAGAATAACATATGAAATGATTGAAGAAACTCCAAGTTTTGAATATATAAACATTCGTAACAAACTCGGCCAAAGTCATCTCATTGTGGCTGCATTGACCAAACAGCCAGATGTTGTCCGTAAATTGTTATCATGGGGAGCTGACCCAGGTCTTGTAGACAGAAATGGTAACAGTCCTTTACATCATGCTTGCGAGGTGCAAGATCTAAGGACAGTATACCAGCTTACAAATCCTCTGACCTTGAAGGAAACTGAAATGGTACCATACAACTTTCCTAAATATGAAATGGATGTCAATACAAGGAATTATGAAGGTAAAGAATCATAAAAAATGTCTTTAGATTTTGAATCAAAAATTTGATTTTAAGATGTCACTTTACAAAACACGGTGGAGCTGTTTTGTCAAGTTATTTCCAGTTGAATTTTAGGAGTTTTAGTTTTGTTTCATTTCCTTAAACTATCCTGTTTGAAAGCTCCATTTCATTTCGACAGTTCAACAATGAAGAAATACCACAGTATTTGTAAATGTTCTCAGAATTTAAGTCACATCCTGGTCACATGCGATCATATATGAAAGGAAATACCATGTGACTAATGCTTAAACCAATCACAGATCATAAAATGAAGTACCAAACCTATCACTTGAAAATGTTTATTTTATATTCATACATCAAATCTCATGCAATTTATCGGTAATAAATACTTCACTTCAATACCAGGCACTCAGTAATTTGTCTGTCATGTTTTTTTTGTTTTCATCTTGGTTTTTTAGTTTGTATTTTAGAAAGGTCAGTCCAAGGGTACATTGCCAGCAGTTGCAAAGTTCAGAATTCAATCTCATGATTTACATGGCTAACAATAAAAAATTTGTTGCTAAGAGTTTTCTAGTACTGTAACCCAGGCAAAGATATGATGACCTTGTTTATAAAATGGTTTTGAAAAATTCTTGTAAACAACTTGGAACGTCAATAACTTTCTAATGTCAACTTGACATCTTGATTCTCCTGTAGCATTCTAAATGCAATATGACGCTGTATCAAATCCCTTTCGTTTTATTGTGTACAATATATATAATGTTTTCCTTATATTCATGGTAACTATTTATTTTTTATTTATTTAGGGTACACCCCAGTGCACATTGCTTCCTCCGTCAATTGTATATCAATCGTAGAATACCTGGCTGCCGTAGGAGCTAATATGAATGCCCCTGATGGAAAGAGCGGAAGGACTGCCCTACATCATGCTGTAGAGGCTGGCAACTTTGAAATGTGCATGACCCTATTGAAAGGTGGCGCTTTTGTCGATTCAAAAGCCTATGATGGAAGCACCCCCCTGAAGCTTGCATATGCCGTGAAGCACCCCCAAATCATTGATTTATTGATACAAAGAGGGGCCAACAAAGAGTATGCCATGTATGAGAGCGATAGCCAATCAGATGATGATGAAGTAAGTTGAACTTCAGTGACATTTCATGCGGTACATCGCATTTAACAAAATAACAGCTGATATTATTTTTGAGACGTGTCCTTTATCAGGGTTTTCATTTCTGGAAGTATCCGGTTTTAATTGTAACACAATAGCATCTAGAATTTCCTGTTTGGAAATTGTGGTGGTCCAGTAAACAAGTGATGAATACAAATTAAAGGGGATTCCCCTGATCTAAATAGATAATTGAGTGAATCATCATGTACTCAGCTGCTCATCCTTATAGATAAACATCTGCTGTGTTATCTGTAGGCTGATCATAGTGGCTCATTTCCAATAGCTCATCATCATCATTTGTCGATATGGAAATTTTATTGCTAAAGTATTTCATCACGTCATACTTCATTTGTTTCATCAGCACGTGTGGGCAGTTAATAACCATGGGAGATGGGACTCACTTTCTGATCTTTATGTTGATATGGCTAACTTTTGTACTCATAATAGATGTGATGTCAGTCATTGTATTATGCAATCTCTTCAACATATTACATTAACAAATTTTGATGTTAAACATAAGAATGTACTAAAGGCTATATTTGAAAAATCAAAACTCAGTGAAACATTATCAACCAAAAAAACATCTGCACCATTAAAGTTTTTAGTATCAACTTAAAATGTTTAATTGATATAAGTCTTTGAATGGCCCTTTAACACTTATGAATGTACACCCTGTTTTACTTTTGAAAGGCAATATAATGCATTTTTGTAAATTGTGTTTTTCAGATGGATGGAAGCTACGATGACTTCCAAATGGCTGGCCAACCATTGAACTAAACAGCACTAACCTACTGTAGGTATAGTATGGGTAACTTCAAGATGCAACAAAATAGAATCCAATGGGATGTTAAGTCAACAGTCAATGGGACCCATGGTATATTGTGGTTTTGAGGTAGGGGAGGGTCAAATAAAGGGGAAGAGTCGACATTTTGTAAGCATCTTGAAATAAGCAAATATTCCTGTATAGAAATTATCCCTCTAAGGTTGAGAATTTCTGATAGTTTCTCGCCACCTGGCACTATTTCGCACAAACATTCCAACTTCAGTTCAGTATACCATCTTCGAGAGACTAATATTTCATCTGAAATATGTGAGGTGTATAAAGAACATTGTGCAGAAGGGCCTAGAGAGGCATGTTCCAGCAATGAGGCACAAGGAATGGAATACATAAAAGGCATTTTACTCAAATACAGAGACAATGGCTTAAGAATGTATAAACAGTACATACACAAAGGCCTAGGATGGAAGGCCAGTAGTAAGGAGCAGCTAAGACTATCATTGCAATGTCATCAATGCAAATATGTGTGCAGTAAATACAACCGATCTCATGTACACTGTTAATGTATGTACCTGGAGAATGATATTGGACGTTGTCATCTTCATATAAGAAGATGTAAGTGGTGTAAAATATGATACAGCACAAGGTTATACTTCTTTATTGAAATGCATTTAAAATGAAACATCTTAAAAAATGTGGTGCCCAACATATTGAAAATTGCTTTTCTTCATAATTATCTTTCATATTTTATTTGAACTTTACATTTCCATCCAAAGGTGTGCTTCTCTTTATATTGTTGAGTTTTGTTTTCAGTATGTTGAGCATCACTTTTTCACTAAAAGTAGAAAATGTATACCTGATGCATGGTATTAGGTAGAATTGAATGAAAGGCTTGCCATGTTAACTGTGATATAACATCAAGGTGCTGTTAGTGGGAGGGGGTCAATTCAGGATTTCGAATAATCCGTAAGAGAACGCTCAAAGACTAACTAGTCAGCTAGTCAAGGTATCTGAAGAACTGAGACAAAGGTAACAACTTTATTACTGTAAAAATACTGTAAGTTCAAGAACATCTACTTCGGTATTATATATTCAAAATGTAAGAACATCAGACTTTTGTCTTTCGAAATAAAGTTGAAAAGATGAATGGAAAACTGAAAAGAGTATGTGTCAAAAAAATAATGGTTTAGTTTTTTTAGAGTTTGAGTTAGTACTTTGAAAGTTCAAAGTTACAGTGAGAAATTACAATATGATTTTTAGTGACAAATTAGTCATAAAATATAGATATCATTTCTTTTTCATTATAAATCAATTTCTGTTGCTTACCTATGCATACCCTTTAGATTTTAACACATGTATACACTGATTAGTTTGCTGATTTGTACACTTTGTAAATAATAATGGCATTATGTGCAATTAGGCTATATTTTATTTACATATTCAGGTTTTGAAATGCGAAATATGTAGTTTTAAAAAGGCTTGTGACAATAAACAGGAAAAAAATGCAAATTCCAAATCCTTGACAGAATTTTTATTAACATGTAGCTGTATTGGTTAAACTACATAAATGTGGGTATTCTGGCAAAAAATGGGTTTAGTTAACAATATTTACTTTTTATATTTATTATTATTATTATGTAAGTAGTAGTAAATATGAATAATCATTTTACTGTAGATTAGGTAGTTGCAAATCATTAGATAAAATAAAATTTTGTAGAAATACATGTATATATACTTTATTATCAATAATCAGGAATATATTTTTGTATTTGCACATTTATATCAACATAAATAAAACTGGATTTTCTTTAAAAAAAGATTTTACCTTGACTTGATCATTGTTCAGGTATTTGGAAATATTTGACAAAGGCCATGATATGATTTTCCATTGTGACGAATGCAGAATATAGAATGGAAACATACAATACATGTAATATATATATAAACTTTTAGATGTTAAAACAAACAAATTAACTCCTGGCTTTATACAACACTGACATATAAAGCAAAATTGACCTTGTATGACATCTTGTTTAAAACCGAGTCTGCTTTTAAATTGTATTTGAATATAAAACAAGCTTAGCGTATTAACATTTTTTCATTATATATAATATAAATAATCATTAGTGTTTCACCAAAAATATGTTTAACATGTTTGATTTTCAATATAACCATCCTGTTACTACTGTTATATCTCAGTCCTACATTTAGGCATTGAATAATAATTGTTCAAAGGAAATACATGCAATCCATCAATGGTAAATTTTCACCATTTGTAGGACTATAAGATGTACAGAAATGCATCTATTTAACATAGGTTCCATAACATTTGATATTTATATGTAATACATTCATATATGTGATAATATTTACAACTTTGGTGCTATCATCCAGTCCTTTGATCCATTTTGGATCAGTAAGATTTTCTGACAACCATGAGGTGAATGGTGATGGATGATAGTAGGTGAAACTGATGTATTTGGAAAGATGTATAAATGTTTGTAGATGTATAATTGTTTTGAGCGCTTCTTTAAATGTGTAAGATAAAAGGGGCATTAAATGTGTAAGATAAAACATATTAAATGTGTAAGATAAAACAGACATTAAATGTGTAAGATAAAACATATTAAATGTGTAAGATAAAACAGACATTAAATGTGTAAGATAAAAGAGATGTTAAATATGTAAGATAAAACAGACATTAAATGTGTAGGATAAAACATATTAAATGTGTAAGATAAAAGTGACATTAAATGTGTAAGATAAAATAGTCGTTAAATGTGTAAGATAAAACAGACATTAAATGTGTAAGATAAAACAGACAGTAAACTGGAAAATGTGTAAGATAAAAGAGATGTTAAATGTGTAAGATAAAACAGACATTAAATGTGTAAGATAAAACAGCCAGTAAATGTGTAAGATAAATGGGCTCTAAAGGTGAAGAACTTGTTTTTAAATAGAGAATTGAGTTAACGTCTTTTGAATGCAGAAAATGTATATTGTGTACATTGTGGTGGGGATGTAAGATAAATGATGTAGCTTCTTGTATGATATGTGTAAGATATGAAATAAATATTAACTTTTAAGACACTTTATTCTTGTATTACTGTTTATACACAATTCAGTAAATGTACCCTGGAGTACACCCTATATAATTTTAAAAGTTGTAAAATAACCATCAAGAACTCCAGAAAAGAGTTATACACCCACCAAGTTATGACAAAATCAATACTATTCTTAACATTAGAAATCTCCATAAAGAAAACTGTGAAGTTTGGAAAATACTCCAGGAATGAAATGATACCTAACATCGCTTGGGAATCCCTATGGTTTATGTTTTGTTCCTGCTTGAAAAGTTTAAGGGAATTCAAAGTTGAATTCTCAGAAAGCTATCTGGATTTAATGATACAGTTTACAGTGAACTCATTGAGGAAGTATCACAAGCAATATCTGAATTGCAAAGAAATATACTAAAATGTAAATGAAACTGGAAAACCAAATAATAAACAAAAAAGTGAGAGACAAACATGTATTGAGACTAAATCCTTTTAATCAGAATTTAATCGACTCATTTTATAGAAAGTGACTGTTAGTCTTGATTGAATCAGGTTTTAAATGATGAAAACTGAACCAAACCAACATCTTATAATTCCATTCTTTTATTACATTCACCCAATTTTTTCCCTTTCTATTCTCCAGTCTTAAGTTTGGGAGAAACCAAAAATTGATTTATATTGTATTTGGATTACACTGGAGCTCTTGAGAAACTAAGATTTTGAGGACTTTGGAATGGTTTGTGCCGACCCAACTCCAGACTCCTATTTTATCACTGACATTTTTATCTCAAGGTGAACATGATTTGGGAGCATGTTATGCCTGTTATGTTAGCATACAGCCAATAGCAACTCAAGTATGTTTATCAATAACATGAGCACCTCCAAGGTGATTTGCAACAATAAGGAATGGGGATTCCCCTTTCTACTTGCACCCAATTGCCTTCATTTAATCCTTTTCAAATATTTATAAACGTTTTTCATTGTTTGATCTTGGAGTTTATTCATACATCCACATTTTGATGTTGGCCAATCGATCAGAATACATAAAGTATACCTGATATTTTTATACCTTCATTCTCAACTCAAACCAAGTTATCTCAACCCAGACTCAACTCAATCCTGATGCTATAAGGAGCAATATAACATTATTTTATTATATTATGTCATAATATACTAAATCATGTAATGTATTGTATTTTGAAGTGACAGCTTCGAAATATTCTTATTTGTGTATTAAATATGATATACAAAACTATGATAGAAAAGTTTTTTATTATTTTTGATGAAATGTTTTGGGGTTGAGCTCAATGAATTGGGGTTAGCTGATCGGTACCTTTCAATAGAACAAAATGAAAGTAAAAATACAATAAAATACTGATGCAAAAGATTCGGTATTTCAGAAAAAGTCAATAAGACATAAGGTCTCTGACTGAATGTTTGTATTATACTCATAGAATTCCTTTATCAAGTTGTTAGCAATACACGGTGACAGTGACCTATACTGCTTTCAGCTGATTCAAAATATGTGAGGTAATACATGTATAATTGTAAGGGTTTTACTCTTAGGGCCAGTGACATTTACAGAACAATGACATTTAAACTAGTCATACACCAATAGGGATTTGATATGGGAAATATCACAAGGATGATTTAATAAATATATAGGGGTTATGCACTGGGAGGTTTTGGATACAGGGAATATCCCGAGGGATATACAATATATCTTCCCGAGGGACCGAAGGGACCGAGGGAAGATGTATTGTATATCCCAAGGGATATTCCATGTATCCAAACCGACCGTGCATAACTGGTGTATCTCATACTTGAGTGGGTTTAGGGTAGATATAACCTTTTCCACCTTTTTCAAATGACAAGATATTTATATTTAACATTTTCGTAATATTCTTTTTGTTCAATACAATGAAATTGTAACATTTAAACTTAAAAAAATTAAATTTTAAAATTAAAAAATTAAAACTTTTGATATTTAAACTTTTGAAAAATTCCCGGGAGCGGGATGGATATATTATATCTGCCCGCATTTGGCCTGGAGCGGGACATATACAATATATCCTGCCCGCTCCTCAGATACGATATATATTCCCGAGTGATATCTACCCCAAACCCACTCAAGTATGAGATACGATGTGATATTCCTCATATCATTCCAACAGCTGAAAAATGAATTTATACAATGGTCAAAACCAATATCTACCTCAAAAATTATCTGTTGGATAAGAACACAATAAATAAATTTTCAGAAATGTCAATGTACATGTACAATGTATTTCATGTATATAGCTCATGGGTGTAGCGCCCAGTACGCCTGGTACAGTGGTATGCACAGGCGAATCAGATGGTTGCAAATACAACCACTGGATTGGTATCGATATGGCGAATGATGAACACATGTTTCTCTTTAACCTGAGTCATCAACAAATTCTGAAAATTTTACACATCGTCAATCTAGTGATCATCTTTTGAATGGTAACAGTTTAATCTAAGAAATATATACATGTGTATACTTTTTTCTATATTGTTTTAGAAAACACACGAGACATTTCTTTTGTTCTTCGTGTCATATGTTCTGAATGAAACGAAACATCTATCCGACGTGTTTAGGTCTCTCAATATTGTAATTGTACAAAGGAAAGTTTGGTTGATTTGAAAAAGTATCTTGTTAACAAAATAAAAGGTTTACTCTAATATTTATCTATTTTTTTTTTAATACTTTTGTTAAATCAACCAAATTTTCCTTTGTATAACTATAATATTGAGAGGTCTAAGAAAATGTTGTATATGCTATTTTGTTCCAACAAGGTTCGGAAAGATATTTTATTTCATTCTGAAAAATGGTAGAAAGGAACAAAAAACAATTGCACTAAAAATCAAAAAATGTTAACAAAAACGGTTATAAAAAATATATTCAAATAATTTTCCCATTAAATTGTTTTCATTCTGTGACCATTACATGAAGAGATAACATTAAAGCACTGGAAGTCCTCTTGTGAGTCACTGTCATTGTTTCTTTCCCTTTAAGAGTAGAGCACTCATCAATGAATGGATTTCCAATATTCTATATTGACCATTAATAAAATTTTATTCCACAATATCATCTCTGATGCTGGGTCCAGTGCAAGGTTTTGATTAACATAAGATCAAATATAATTGATTTTGATTTGACATAGGATCAAACATGGGAATTTGCACTTGTTTAGATGGTGCTTCCAAGTGGCTACACCGATTTGAACATCTTATCTCAGAGCATTAGAAAACAGTTTTTATTTTATTCTATACAGGTTAATTTTGACAGAATCCTAACCATTGATTGATAAAATAATTTATAATTGATTTTATTTGTTCAACTACAGATTAGATAACTTTCTATTCTGACAACTTCAATACATTTTATAGTTACTGCATATTTCTATTATTGACATATAATGGCATTTCTTTTTGAAATGGATTAATGTCATAAAAATTCCACATGAATGTTTTTGCTGCTAATTATTTTGTGATACATTATTATACTTTGATGACATCTCTATGTAGGTGGATATTATACATATCTATTAGTATTTGAGGTAGATAATCAATAGAAATGAGGTAGGTTGTCACATTATTACTATAAGGTGAGTTCATATGAACTGAAATTTTCACATATTATTTTTTGAAATATTATCTAACTTCATGAGTGGTAGATGACATAAAAAAATTTCTGGAAAGCTGGAGTGTTTTTAGCATTATTGAAAGCACTTTTCATTTGCCAAAACTTCCTTCCCTGTGTATTTATTTAGTAAACATACTATTACATTACCAGGGCAGTCCCATTGTACCCCATGTTATTGAATCTACTGAATCTACATGGGTCAAAACCCTTCTATTAAAAAAAGAATATGACGAAGAAAGATCCTGACTACTAAGGAAGGCGCCAATCTTATTGATACCTGTCAACTGTAAACATAATTTCTTGTTGATTATAATGGTACACAGTGACAAAGTACGCATGCAGAGTAGGTTTCAAAAGGTTTTAAGAGTACAAAATAATTTAAGATCAATATATTAATGTTAAAGGTTTTACATATTGACATATTTAAGACTAATCAATACACTTTTATACCTATTGACATGAAAGGTCAATTGAGATTGTGTGTACAAGGCTCATAAAAACCAACTTGGGAATCCCATCCATGATATCAGAAGCAACACAGGTGGTCTGGACATGTTAACCCTCACATACTATCAAGTACATTACTTCATTTCTCTGCATGTATCTGTCCTATTCATAGATCACTTTCTAAAACCATCATGTTATCTCATATATGGATGCAAGTTCAGCTTCAATGTATCAATTTGAATCTACATCATTCCGTGACTGCAATTTCTCAAATGATGGTTAGCATTGTGAACACTTCTGATAAGTCTGAATCAATGGAACACAGCCAGATAATGCTACAAGATGTCAAGATTATTGTCAGGAATGTAATGAGTATGATTTTATATGAACCCATATACCTAAAGAATCTAATGTTATTTTTACATTTACAAAGTGAATGTAACATTAAATGCTGACAAGCTAATAATAATTATCCAAGGCATTTCCTTCCCTTTTGAGTCAGAATTGCATTGAAATGAAACAGCAAGATTTGATGAGTATCATACAAGGCATTCATATAACATAATGTCACAATCTGGTTCCAAACCCAGCATTCAAGAGTGAAAGTGTTTGCCCCTTAATGTTGTGGTTAAAACACAGTAAGATTACAAAAGTGTAACAATTTGTTACAGATATTAACTATTGGTCATCAAAGCTCTTTTGTCCCTAGGTATCAGCATATAAAATTTGAACCGAATCTGTCCACTGGTATTTGAGTTATCAAAGTTCACATTTTTTTACAAAAATTGGCAGCCATTTTTAAATTGAGCAGCCATCTCAAAAATGTTTTCTCGAGCTAAGCTTCTTTGACCCTTGGCATCAGTATATAAAATTTGAACCGAATCCATCGACTAGTATTTAAGTTATCAAAAATTACATTTCTTATGAAAAACGGTTGTCATTTTGAATTGAGCAGCCATACTGAAAATGCCTTCTCAAGCAGATGTCCTACACCCATAAGCCTATAAAAATTGAATCAAGACAGTCAATCGGTATTTGAGTTATCATCCGAACAAACAATTGGAGAGATGGACAAATGCACAAGCGGCTTCTCTAGATCCCTACGAACTTTGTTCTGTGGGATAAAAAGGGATGGGAGTCTCCATAGAATATATTCCTTTCAATCAGAGTAGGAGCAAAAGGGTGAACTACATACATTATTGGTTTTTGATAATAAATTGGCGCCTAAACATAGCTCGGGTGTGCCAACTAATAATAATAATAGAGGAGTGGGTATGAATGATGTCAAAGAACTTTTGGAGTTAGATATTTATTCTCTACCCACAATAAACGTGACAAAATCTCATATTAGTTAAATTGGAATTTTCTATGAATTCAATGACATAATCTTAACTGAGAAAAATCTCATTCCAACGTCAAAGTGAAACAAGGAAATCCATAAAGTTTGAATTGGCAAATAAGAAAAAATGAGTTTCATTATGATTTACTGGCCTCTGACCAACCAAAAGTGCCACACCTCACAGTATAATATGACCAGCATGTTCATTTATGAAATACTTGGTTGATTCACAATTTCTTTGCATGTACTTCATGGCACTTTCCTCCCTTTACAGTTAACACCTTAATCACCAATAAACACCTTTATTTATTCAAAAATGTAAATCCTTTCATGTCAGTTCAAGATGACCTGCACTTTTAACGAGTAATGCAGTCCTCGGTTAACTTGAATGAAGAAAACTGCTTTTTTTGAAAAAATATCTGTTTTTTAAACGACATTTACATTATTTGAATTTGATTATCTGATATCTCTGGCATTACTTTTTTTTATAAAAGTATCTCTTGTTACATACTATGACTATTTTGAAGAAATAATTTTCCAGAACATAGACCAAGGAAAGTCTTGTATTGAGCTCTATATAGAAGAACTTTTATATTGTCTTTACAACTACTTTTCCCTCAGCCTATGATCCAGAATCACATTTCCAAAAGTTGGTTTCATTATCAAGGGTGTATGGATAATCTAACACTTAAATGGATAATGTCAAGAATTTAGTACAAAACTTTTCAGACAACACCTTACTTTACAGTTCACTGCAAGATTCTGACATCATAAGTCTAAAATAGGCAAGGGGCAGCCATTTACAAATAAAATGATAGTGATCAGGTCATACATTTCCACTGCTTCTATTGGAATGTGAAATCTAAGCTGCCAAGAAAGCACAGCATTTAGCTAATATAGGGGCATTTTGGGTTTGTATGTCACTGGCACAAATTCTTATTGTTGAGCAAACACATTGCCAGTTTATAGTATTCATATATATTTCATTCTGTAATATTACATGAGATCATGTTACATTCGTGTCTGGCAAATGCTACAAAAGTCCAAATCAATTTCAAATCTCCCTGACTTTAATCATTTATTTCAGAGGTATCAAATAATAAATCAAACATGATACACCAATGTAGAAAATCTACAAATAAAATTAACATTGGAGGCAAAGTCTATATTTCAGTACTGCCCTGAAAAGTATTTAATAACATTAAGGCATTAGATATTGTTTGAACAAAACATTTATATTTCCAACCAGAGACATATACTGGTAAAACTGTTTCATATGTCTCTGTTCCAAAAATAAATGTTTCAATTCATATTTAATCAATTGGGATTACTTTTCTTTGAGTCCAATCACCAAATTAAGCAATGATTCATGGAATATGTTCTCTATTGCACTGAATGAGCAAGACTGGAGAGAATTTAATAAAAATGAAACAGAAACAATGGATACTACATAGTAATATTGGCTTTCAAACATGAAAAATTTCCAAGAAGATGAAAATCTTAAATATTGCATTCTAGGGTGAGCAAGGAAGTATGGACATTGTCCCTTACTCCAAAGTAACACAAATCAACACAAATAATACCAAATAACGTTTAAGTCAAAAAAAAAGATAACTGAAAATAATGTCTTCATTTAGTAATGTTCATTTCTTCCTCATATTTCAAGCATGTATTCACTGATTGAAGCCTACACAGTACATGAGAGGTATCCAAGATTAAAGACCTTGGGACATGCTCTTTAGTGAAGGGTTTTCTAAGTGCTTTTAATTAATTTTGATTATATTTCAGATGGGGTCAATCATTCACCTGTAAGGATGTCGTGACCTCAAATTGTGATAAAAGTTATCATAATTTTCAAAATAATAAAGACCATGTGCTTTGTCCAGGATATTACCAGGATACAATACAAAATCAGTGTATCACCAGTAGAGACCTTGCTATAGCCCATGACACCATGTGGCCTAAATCATCTGGATACCACCCATCTAGTCCATGCCCCAGCATACAATATGAGGGAATAATTCAACAACCCCTAGAAATATCATATATATACTTTTTTATATTAGGTGTTGTTTAAATATTACAAATGTACCGGTATGCAATTTTAAACATAAAATACATCACTTTTGTACAGTTGTATCATATTATGTCGTATGCGTAGGACTTGTCATACATCAAATTACCTGTATTTATTTTGAACATATAAATGTACATATGTAATTTAATGTTCCCTTGGCTATGGAGTTGATAAAAATGCATTATAAGTCTATTTACTCAGATTTACATCGTATTCTATACGGATTAACTTTTAGTACTCAGGTAGAAAAAAAGAGTTTAGGGATTGATCAAATAACTCATATTATCATAGGTATATCATGAGATGTTTAGTATCAGGCACAGTAACTTTATTGTTTAAAAATAATGTATTACATGAATGATTAATAACTGGATGCAAATCTGTTAACATTGCTTAGTAGTTAGACTTATAATTGGAACTCTAAAAGGCATTCAACTACTGTAAATTAACAAAACATAGATACAATAATGATTGCTGTCTTAAAAATTCATTTCTCTTTTGTACATGTACACTGTATTATCGTATGATCTGTAAAATGAAGCCCTCTGATTGGTCATTTCTTGTGCTGTACCAACCTGTTTTGCTACTGAGATTGTCCCCGTTGATCATCTCCGTCGCAATACAGAAAATATTGGTAAGGAGGGGACAATCTCAGTAGCAATACAAAGGATCACACGATAAAAACGTTATTGAATGATTTGAAGTGCAATACAGGATATATTCTGTCTCAATATTCTGTATTGGCCCGGACTTCGTCTCGTTCCAATACGGAATTCTCGAGCAGAATATATCCTGTATTGCACTTCAAATCATTCAATAACTTATATTTTCAACCATATTTGGAATGACAAATAAACAGCTCTTAGTCAATTAACCATACATACTTTAATACATGAAAACAGACAATTCTACTTTTTTAAAAATTAATATTTAATAGCACTGAAATCTGCATAGTAAACATGTACCCATATTTGGCCATGAGAACCTTTCTCAGTTGATATTCGTTTTTTGTGGAATTCTCTTTCAGAGAATGCAAACAAACCCTCCATTCACAACCATTTGGCAAAAAAGGAAATTACACTTGGCAAATTAGTATTCAGTTTATATGGCAATTTTTTTCATTATATTGCTTTTATTTCTGATCAGAAAGTCAAATTATTTCCACATGACTATAATCATGTATGATTTGTACTTCATCATGAACAGAATGCCTCAGTGTTTTATAAGTACATGATAGCTTAACAATTACAAACAATTCTAAGAAAAAGTCAATCAAACTGAAGTATTTTATACAACTGTAATAATGTTAAAGTACATTCAGCATTTTATATACACTATATACCCTTTGTCAAAAGTAATTCATGATTTTCTGAGACATTCTAACATTGTTCAATACTCCAAGTGTACAATATGATAGTCTATTGTATTGACTTGTTCATTATTACGGGTCATTCAATAAATATGCATGTTTAGTATTGTTCTCATATATATGCTGATTATCTTAATATGCATATAAACTGAACAGCCCTTGTACAAATAAATTGATAAAATGCTGAGTTTTGAAAAATACACAAGACTAGTTATCTTCAGATATTTGTGGACTTGGCAATTGGGCTCATAATTTCTTATCAAAAGATGGCGCTGAACACTTTGCCATATTTGTACAAATCGACTTCACCATGTGTAGTAATGATTATTGTACACTGATTGGTGAAACATTTATATTATGGTACACTGTGCATAATAAAATGATGGCAATGAGTGAATGTGACAATACTGAGTAAATCAAGACAATACATCAATTTTAATTCTCTTAGAGAAAATACAAGACCATGACATAAATTCATGTCCTAATATCTAATGTTCTGTTTTATATGGAGGGCCAGATCTAATCTCAACTTGTAAGTCATTTTGCAGGCTTAATTACAATAGCGGGTGGAGAAAAAGTGAGGTTTCATTGCATTTCATTAAGTAAAAAATAATGTCACTTTAATGTTCAATAAGATTTAATCATTTCAAGAAAAATTATTCATTTGACCTGGCCCTTAAACAACATTCTGTTGCTATAGAAACGCATCTATATATCAGTTATGTGTTGCACATCTACTGCAGGGTGATGGTGAAGTCTTGAGCTATATTGATACTAGGTTTGCGTATAGTGAGCATATCATTATTATTGTCATATTTAAACTCAAGTTCTGTTGTGCCACCTGAAAAAATAGAATATGATGATTACAATAATACTACCGTAAGTCTACATTTACAAGACATATTATACAACTGGCCAAGCTTATTCCAGAACTCCCCAAACCACCAATTAGCAACTTCTTCTTGTATATATCTATACAAATTGGAATCTATAAATTTTCATTTCATTTTTTATAAAGAGTATATATCTGTTATCCATATCAACTCAATTATAATATAAAGTATTTTACTTATAAAGTCTGATTACTACAAAAGTTCACTTACTTGAGGAGGTGATTTGAATTTTTGATGGCCTTCTGTTGAGTCCTACAATACGGACACGTTCAAGCCATGAAGCAGTCTCAAAGCTGCCACTGCTATCAGCATTACTAAAACAGAAAACATGGCATGTCAGAACACTTTGAATAGAATTAGAGTTTCAAAGCCACCACTGCAATCAGCATAGTTTGGATCATCAAACCCCAATACTCTTCTTAACAGTGACATTTCAACTGAAAGACAAGTCATTAACATGCAAATGTCACCATCTGCCATTTATTACAGACACTGAATGCCACAAAAAGTTGGACACCATAATAAGATGCAATATGTGCTACTGGGAAGGGAGGGGTTTACAGGAGCTTGATGCAAAATTATTGTCAACATTGCTGAGGCAAAGAGCAAATGGCATGTGGAATAATGAATAACTACAGAAATCATATTAGATTTCCTTGATTTGTATTTCCATGTGCCTTATATGTTTTCAGTTTGTTTGCACTATAACCATGAAATACCTGAGCGACAGTGGGCCTGGATCAATATTAAATCATATGTCAAACAAGTACAGATTGTATTGGTAATAAATTTTTCTTTACATAACGGCATCTTATCTTTATATTTTCAAATACATTTTGACATATCAATAAACAATAAATGACATCACTATAAATAAATATTTAGCTCATTTGAACTCTTAACACTTATTGCTTCAGCCCCTAGATATTTCAGATCTATCATGAATCATTTCTGACTAATATATCAAATTTGCTGTCTTTAAAACCATGACTTCAATGACATTTCTAGTTTCAAAAACAGCTGTTTTATAGTAAACAATGACATTACTTAGTTGAAACACTAAGTAATCACAATGTCCCAATTAAAATGGTCTTGGATTTCTATAGGATGTAGCATAGACAACATTTCTTAATTGCTTTATTCCTATAATATACTATCATTTTCATTGCCTACTTTGCATTCCAAATATTGTGTTTTAAAATGAACTCTGTGACACTGCACTAATATAATGAAAATGTTAATGTTTATATAATGGATGTCTATTGATAAGAGATATTTGAAGAACTTTGATTTGATAAGTAAGTTTGTACTTTAGAGTCATATTCAATAATGAAGGTTATCAGCCAGACATGAATTTGGAATAACTTACCTATTAGTTAGTTTATTATTTTCAAATGTAAATTTTCGATGTATGAATTCTCCATTTTTATAACTGAATGATTGATAGTCATCTATATAGAGGTCACCACTAGCTCGGCCCTGTAACAGAAAAATATTAAAAGAATGTAACATTTTTACAAGGCATTAACATGACAAAATGTCACCACCTAAAACAATTTGGTCAATTTAAAGCAAGTTGGAAAATACCTTTTGACCTTAAGAAGAACTTCTGAGAACATGTAGATGATTTTGAAAAAAAAATTAGTCAATTTGAAGCAAGTTGAAAAAAGACCTTTTTGACCTTGAGAAGGTCATTGAAGGTCAAAGGTCAAATCTAAAGTCAGATTTGAACTTCTGAGAACTTGTAAAGTCAAATTTGAACTTCTGAAAAGATGTAGATGATTTTGAAAAAAAAATTAGATCAATTTGAAGCAAGTTGAAAACATACCTTTTTTGACCTTGAGAAGGTCATTAAAGGTCAAATGTCAAATCTAAAGTCAGATTTGAATTTCTGAGAACATGTAGATGATTTTGAAAAAAAAATTAGTCAATTTGAAGCAAGTTGAAAAAAGACCTTTTTGACCTTTTTTGACCTTGAGAAGGTCATTGAAGGTCAAATGTCAAATCTAAAGTCAAATCTAAAGTCATATTTGAATTTCTAAGAACATGTAGATGATTTTGAAAAAATAATTTAGTCAATTTGAAGCAAGATGAAAAAATACCTTTTTGACCTTTTTTGACATTGAGAAGGTCATTGAAGGTCAAATGTCAAATCTAAAGTCAGATTTGAATTTCTGAGAACATGTAGATGATTTTGAAAAAAAAATTTAGTCAATTTGAAGCAAGTTGAAAAAAGACATTTTTGACCTTTTTTGACTTTGAGAAGGTCATTGAAGGTCAAATGTCAAATCTTAAGTCAAATCTAAAGTCAGATTTGAATTTCTGAGAACACATAGATGATTTTGAAAAAAAAATTTATTCAATTTGAAGCAAGTTGAAAATAGACCTTTTTGACCTTTTTTGACATTGAGAAGGTCATTGAAGGTCAAATGTCAAATCTCAAGTCAAATCTTAAGTCAGATTTGAATTTCTAAAAACACGTAGATGATTTTGAAAAAAAAATTTAGTCAATTTGAAACAAGTTGAAAACAGACCTTTTTGACCTTTTTTGACCTTGAGAAGGTCATTGAAGGTCAAATGTCATATCTAAAGTCAGATTTGAAGGTCAAATGTCAAATCTCAAGTCAAATCTAAAGTCAGATTTGAATTTCTAAAAACACGTAGATGATTTTGAAAAAAAAATTTAGTCAATTTGAAACAAGTTGAAAACAGACCTTTTTGACCTTTTTTGACCTTGAGAAGGTCATTGAAGGTCAAATGTCATATCTAAAGTCAGATTTGAAGGTCAAATGTCAAATCTAAAGTCAAATCTAAAGTCAGATTTGAATTTCTGAGAACATGTAGATGATTTTGAAAAAAAATTTAGTCAATGTGAAGCAAGTTGAAAAGCAAGTTGAAAAAAGACCTTTTTGACCTTGAGAAGGTCATTGAAGGTCAAATGTCAAATCTAAAGTCAGATTTGAACTTCTGAGAACATGTAGATGATTTAGAAAAAAATTGAAGTCAGTCTAAACAGTATTTGTTAAGTTATAGGAAGTTGTAAGAAATTGTTACAGACGCCGGACGCCGGACGCCAGACGCCGGACGCCAACCACCAACCGCCGTCGCAAAAAAACGGAGACCATAACAATATGTCACCACTTTTGGTGGTGACATAATAAAAAACGGAGACCATAACAATATGTCACCACTTTTGGTGGTGACATAATAACCACATGAAATGCTGAATATTATTTTCTAATCATCAGACTAAAGAGGCGAATAAGAAAAAAATATTCTCTTATATTTCAAGATTAAAATGAGATTGAACTAGTAATCAATCCACCAAAAAACACAACTATGGTATTTTAGCCCCGGTAATAATCAAACAACAACCCCCTCCCCTTTTAACAATAGCTTACCTGTTTATTGAGGGCAATGACTAGTGTATATGGGTCAAGGCGACCTAGTATTGATGAGCGTCTCACACGCTCTTTTCTGGCAATTATATTGCCTCCTCTATAAAATACTGGAATCTGAAAGTTAAAAACATATCATGAATTTTCTAAAATCTGCATTTTGTTAATTTTATTTCTTATCAAATCTGTAGTATTATGATGACCTTATATCCTTTATTATCAGACATAATAGGGCACGGTTGTGTAATGTTTTATTTCGAAGCCCTTTGAGAGTATTATATCAAGTTCAACTTGATTGGACCTACCTTATTTAAAGTAACTGGAATGTATGTGTTTTGGCCCCCAGGGAAGGCCTTGTAAGTATCAGCATCATAGTAAACCTAAAATATAGAAATTACTTAAACAAAGTATTCATATACCAATGAGTTCTGAATTGTGACATCACTCAATAATCATTGCACATCGAGTAAAACGCACACTCCAAAAGAATTACTAGATATAGTATTACAAATCACATATAAATTATCATTATTATTGACCAGTACATTTTCAAGTTATCTTCTATATTCAAAGTATTTGGTCAGAACATAACCTGTGGTACATAAACCATATAAATTCTTGGGTTGAACACTGTGTCAGATTATCACTGTTGGTGGGGTCAGAAATACTTTGTATTGTAATTGTACTCCTTATATACATACCTGGTCTGTGCCCGGGAAATATACAGTAACTCCAACGGCACCCTGTTCTGTCACTGGGCGTACTAGCAAACCAGACCCTGAGAATAATTAATAAAGACATAGGATTAATACAAACAACACAGGTTAATCGAGCATATCAATATTACAATACTTTCACTACAGTTGCATCACAAGCCTATAAATTAGATCCCTTGAAATAAATCTCTTGAAGACTAAGACATGTATGGGGCTATTATAAGTATAACCCAGGTACTTGGTTATAGATTTTTTTTACATAAAGACAATTTTGTGGAATTATACAATGGATTTATTAATTATTCTTAGATTGATCTTATCATTAATTATAGGACATTAATTTGAGATTGTCATGTCCTTTGTACGTCCATTCTCATAGTCAATAAAATATATTTCAATATTATACAGATATAATTTTCATACAAACAATTAAAAAAACATCACTCACCAACCATATACTGGTCCTCTATAGAGAAAACAGATTTGTCTCCAGGGAACTCCACCCACATAGGTCTCATAACAGGGGCCCCTGAGGTCTCAGATAGATAGAACAATGTGTACCAGTAGGGCAGAAGCACATAACGAGCCTTAATAGCCTCACGTATGGCATCTAAGTGCTCTGCAGGTTTCAACCAAGGCTCACGACGTGGAGTGTCGATGTGAGCGTGGGCTCGGAAGAATGGTTGGTAAGCTGCAGCCTGTGGTAGAGAGTTGTTACAGTTTACGGGTGGAATGATTTTTGCAAGCAATATGTACACTAATACTCTCTTATCCTATTTAAGTTATTCCTTGAAAATTGGGTTGAGGTTACAATATTTATAATTCTCCCCTGTGATTTTCATTTTTAATCATTTATTTCATAAATTAAGTTCATGGTCAGTAATACATATTATACCGCCTAGGTTTGAACATAAACATTGTTGGCAGTAGGTTAAAAGTTTACAAATCAATCAAAATATAAGTATGTTAAATACAACATTCATAAAAGCAGGTGAACTAATATTAAATCCAAAATAATGCTAAAAACAGATTGAATGCGCACAACCTTTGAGTCTATGAAATTCTGCATATGCAAACCCTTTAAGATTTTAATCCAAAACAATATTCAGTAAATCCTGAATCTTTTTAACCATTTGAGATTTTACAACATATAATGTATTATCTCACCTGATACCACCTGGTTAGCAGCTCAGTGTCTGGGTTCTTGAAGAATCCACCAACATCTGCCCCACTGAATGTGATCCCTGCCAGGTTCAAACTCAGTAGCATGGGGTTGCTAGCCTTCAAGTGTCCCCACTCTCCCGTGTTATCTCCAGTCCATACAGCACCTAGAACACATGGTAATACATAGTTATTTGTGTCTTAACATTTTGTAGAAAGTAACATCTGATCCAACTGTGTTGTCCCAAAACATGTTTCTGGGGAGTGCCTAGATGCTCCATAAATAATCAAGATTTCTTATTGTGGCCAAGTTTAAATTCTTCAATTATGAGCTATCTCACTGGACATTGACAGACAGACAAGTGATTATGCCTTAACAGTTCAAAACGGACTGAATTAACATTTTATTTTATATGATTTATTCTTTGTACTTACCCCATCTCTGAGTACCAGCAAAGAAGGCCCTGGACAAGACAAATGGCCTCAACTTGCCCTGAGACCTCTTCACCTGCCCCAGGGCAGTAGCCATTTGTTGGTACATGCCATATATGTTATGTACATCTCTATGTTCCCAGTTGTTGAAGTGCAGGGCATCTTTGTGCATGGTAATCTCAGGCCCATTGAACACAGATGGTTCATTCATGTCATTCCAGGTATACAGATCTAATGTGGAGCCCTGGTATTCTTCAAGGGACATCTTCTCAACCCAGTAGTCTCTGATCTCAGGGTTGGTGTAGTCCAACCAACTGGAGGAACCTATGCAAGGAGATACACATACAATACAACATACTATACTGAAGTTAATATTAACTCTAAAATTATGATAACTGATAAAACACTAACTACTGGATGCCAAACAGCAGCTGCTGAACAACAACCACAAAACAGTTGAAGACTATAGCAATTAGGGGTCAAACAATTAACCGCGGCATGCGGTTACCGCGGTATATGATGCTAGGACGGTATTTTCGGTTCATAAATATGAGATTCGGTTCATCCACGGTTCGAGGAAAAATTGAAAAATGAAATTTTTTAGACTTCAGTATTCTCTCTTTCGTTCGACATGAACTTATTCTTCATGTATATATTCCTTAAAAACATGTTTATAGCAATAGAAAACATTCAATTCATACCTTAGATATGAAACAGATTGCTCACAAATCGATAGACAAGTAATTGTTTACATTTTTGTGACATACAAATAGACCGGAAGTTGGTCTCGCCAGATTACGTTTTTAATAGTACAATTAATTTTGCTTCGTGGAGATGTTTTGTCTGTTATAATGAGTTAGTTTTTAATCAATATTATTAAAAAAATACTACAATTACAGAAATTATAACATTACTAATGTCTTTGTTAAAAACTTGAAACATATTTGTGTTTAAATCTCCCACACAATCGCAGCGCCATCTGTGCTGATTCAGCATGGCTGCTTTGACAGATACTAGGCCATTAAACTTTGCTTTGTCAATTCAATTTAATAAAAAAGCATAGTGGGACCAGGATAGAAAGTGACTGACTTGGGCAAGGCTAGATAGAAAGCTAAAACCTGTTTCTTTATGGTCTTTACAATTTTATAACTTGAGGAAATATTACCAATTTACGAGACCTGCGAGAACCGTGAACAGAACCGAACCGTGAACCTGAAAACCATGACCGAACCGAACCGTTGGAATTTTGAACCGTTTGACCCCTAATAGCAATATGTCACCACAACAACATAACATAAAAGATATGCAGCTCTGTTTCTAAATTATTTTACCAAATGCTTTATCTTATCCTCACCTGGCCAGCACCAGCCATCATAATCATTTCCATCTTTATTCTTGACGTAATATCCCTTGGCTTCTGCCTCCTGATGTATCTTGTAGTTGCTGTCACGTTTGATGTGGGGGTCAATGATTGTCACCATTTTACGACCCTTGGAGGAAATGTTCTTTATCATCTCAGCGGATTCGGGGAACCGTCCAGTGTCCCAGGTGAAGTATCTAACAATAAAGCCATCAGTGTTAACATTGCTCTCAAAATGCTACACTATTTTGCTCATTTAGAACAATTCAGTTAACATGGTGTCTAATTTGCATGGTCCAAACCATTCAGCAATGTATATTTGAAACCAAAAACAGAGGCAACTGTCAACTGTAGCCATCATAATTTGACTAAACTGAACAAGATTATTTTACTATCTTTATAATGGTAGGGATATTTAGACTGTTTGGAAGAATGAAGTTTCACGATACACTTCAATTTAAGTCAAAACTATACCTTTTTCCATCAGTGTGTTCAATATCCAGCCAGATGACATCATATGGTATATTGTTTGCATCAAACCCAGCATCAACACTGCAACAGAAAAATATATCAGATTTATAATACAGTATGCACACTTGCATTTACATGATTTAACCTCCAACACAATTAAATATCTATTTGATAAGTAAATCATCTACATACAACAGTGCTATATTTACAGAATGTTCTACAGATGAAGACAAGGCATTAACATACAAAATGTCAACACCTGCCATTAGTTACAGATATCAAATTTCGAACACTGACTGCTGGAGCCGGAACGACATCCACAAAAAAAGTTGGAGATTATAACAAAATGTCACTGCTTGTGGTGGTGACATAAAAAGCTGGAACATAATTTCAAGATACTCCTAAACATATTTTAAAGAAACTAATATTCCAGAATTAAATCCACCTTAGAGTCAAAAAATTAGGAGGCATAACAAAACCAAACAAAATACATTGAAGAAATGGTTCTTGTGCAAGTCGAATGACTTGAGTTTATTTTTAAAATTGTAATTATCCTTACTTTCTCACATCATCTTGGTCATTATAGTTCCATCTGGATTGGTGATAAGCCAATGAGAACAGCTGCAAGTACACATATAGACAGGTAAAAAGGATTATCTATTAACAATTTTCAATGTTTTTTCAAGGTCTGTTTCTAGCATATGTAACAATCATAAAATAAAATGATGTTTCGGGGAGAAACATTGTTTTTGGACTTACAGACAAAAAACATACTTGATATTTATACAAAATCAACCCAGAAAATTACATCATATTTCAATTAACATTAAAAAAGATTTACATGTGATTTTCACATTAATCATTTATAACCACAAATCAACCTTTACTTACAGGTGGAAGTGCAGTGGTTCCAGTAAGGGAAGCATACTGTTTAAAGACTTCATTAGCACTGGGGCCAAGCAGCACAAACACATCAATGATGCCACTCTCAGCAAACCAATGAGTATCAATCTGGGGCATCTCATCTCCCCCGGCAACAAAGTCTACCATTTTGGACAACACATTCTGAAATCATAAAGACTATTATAATATGGAAAAACTATCAACCCACGAGTTCAAGTTGATAGAAAAGGGCAAAGGGACATACATCATGTACGAATGAATGCTACTTTACTTGGAAATGCACATTAATATATATCATTTATGGAGATAAGTCAAATACGCAGGATACCATACAATACACCAGTATGTACAATAAAAAGCCAATGTTATACCTGCCACCCTACTTATGTAAGTATATCATGCTGAAACTCTTCATGGATGTGTTCATGCTTTACTTAATGACACTATGTCTCAGACTAAGACTTTCTAGACTACTCAGCCACTGAACTAGTCAACCCCTGAACTACTCAGCCACTGAACTAGTCAACCCCTGGACTACTCAGCCCCTGAACTATTCAGCCCCTTAACTAGTCAACCCCTGAACTACTGATCTGCTGGACAATTCATCTTTCTAACCACTTCTGAATCATTCATCACCTAGATGACACATCTCTTAGACCTCAATTCATTCCCAGGACAACTTATGGATTCTCTGAGCAACTTTTTTAAATATAGCGCTTTGAACATTTTTTAATTCTATTCTATTGAATCCAATGCTGCAATAAACATACAATACTAATCAAAGCAACAACAACCTGACATATTACAAGCAAATACAGATACAAGGAAAGCTTCTTATGTGTCCTCGATTTGCCTTGCAGCCTTCATATAATTTTTGGTGAAAACAAGCCAATTATCTGTTGCCCAATATGAGCTTATATCATCTCCAAAACCCTCTTATGGCTAACTTCATAAAGCACAGTCTCAAAATCAAAAACTACTTCACCAATAAAAGCAAAAGTTAAGGTGAAAGACATCAAAAGCAAGACATGAACCAAAACCCAAGGTAAACTCTACCAACCATCACTCCTTCTTTCAGAGCTTCTGTTGCGCTTTGGGAGTTCTATGGAATATAACAAAACTTAACAGTAGGCTCTTCTCAAGAAAATTGATCATGAACTCTGATTCTCTGGGATAAATTATGTACAGGAATCATGTTCACTCATATTTTCAATTGAAAAGGGCCCGTGGTAAACTGAAGAGAAGGATCACAGGAAATAGAAAGATGCAATCAGATATCTGATATATTCTTGCATTTGTATACATTTTTTAGGGATTTGATCATAATCTGGCAGGAGAATGTAATGCTACAATTGCATGCAAGTATTCAGAATAAGTTTCAATGTCCATATTTAACAAAATTTTTGAACAAAGTGAAGAAACGTTTTCGCGAGCCTGCTTTTAAAAAGTTTTCAAAATGATCCTTCATGAGATAGCATCGCTGCCTACTGCATCTCAGAATTGGAAAGAAGTGAAATACCCTTGGATAAGGGATGACAAGACATTGCAAATTTAACAAGGGATAAAAAGATGCAAAATGTCACCACCCACCATTTGTTACAGACACCACTTGTGGTGGTGACATAATAAGTACAAATGATAAGTAATAACAAAGGTAAAAAAAATATAGTACATGAGCTCCTGTGTAGAGAGGAGGTGCAAATGGGTGTGTTAAGTGAGTAGAGTACAGACACAAAGAGATGTTTTATCTTTTAGAATAGAAACACAAAGATGAAAGATAAACTGAGAGTGCACAGAATATGCAAGCTGCCTAATGCAAGAAAGCATGTTACATTAGACTGAATAAGTATAATGTACATACATTATAAGACTAGACTACCAGTTTTCAAATAAAAACATTAACTAACTGAGGCTCTTATAATGCTGACTTGTATTGGGCATGTATTTTTTAGGATGATTCAAAAAATGTGCGAGGACAATTATAACAGACTAAAATCAACCTCCTGTTCCATACAGTACATTATATTACAATACACTGTACTTACAATAATCAGAGCTTTAACTGAAGCTTGATATATTTTCAAGCATATATTTAATGAACACAACATGGATTCAACTTCACAGTATATATGTATGTACCGTGTATGATCTGTATGTATGTACCATACATGGTATGTTAAGCTGTACTCACCTTGTCAGCAGTGACTGATGTAATGTCTACCCACATCTCTGCAGCATTCAACCAGAATAAGCCAACTGTTCTCTTCTCACTGGAACCAAATAATACACCATACTATATCGGAGACCCTAATACCATATATGCTTCTTCATATAAAGAGTTTCTGTTTGTCTTTGCACATTTTGTTGATTGATGTACATTTCTCAATTTGTGCATGCTTGTTAATTATTTGAAGACAATAACTGATGACATTGATTTGATAAACTTTATTGATTTACTACACAATGTACATGTATTTACGTTCTCAGTTAATGTCATGTTTGAACAGGGACTGCCTGTATCAAAGTATTATCGATATGGATTCATTTTGCCATTTCATATATGTTGATCAATGACTTACTTGTGGGCTATCATATATGGTACTGCACCATAGAGGGCCATAGGATTGTCCAGCTCATACTCAAATACATCCAAGTTGTATAGTCTGTATGGATCTGTTGACCTGAATAGATAAATAAATTATAAAAATCAAACATTTGTAATTAAGAAATATAGACCAAAGAGCAGGGGTACTATCGTTGAATAAACCCTGCAGGGCTAGCCACAAACATTTTCTGTAAGCTTATGTGCCTAGCCCTAAGGAGAGTATTCGACAATATTACACCTGCTCTGAGGTCTATTTTACCATTCATACATGAAAACTCGATATCATTATGGTATATGATATTACCATATTCATTATGGTCCGCGATTACTACGACTCACCGTTATGATGGTCCACCGTTATGATGTCACATATTACCAGGGATATTGTTCGCAAAAAAAAACTCGGGTGAAATGTTGACTTTTTCACAGTTTATAGAAGGCGTGAATACAGTCATGTTCAAATATATACAAACATATACAAACAAAACCTTAAAAGTAATATAAAAGTCAACTGCCGTGACTGGATGAGATTACTTTGCTTATAATAAACATGCCAATAAAAATGAAATATGTTTTTATTGCATCCTGCATTTGTAAGATCTTAAATAAGCTGCAAAACTTCTAACTGTCATTTGCAGATGGTAATTTAATTGTATTGAATAAACTTGGAACTATTCAACTGCAAACACAAACTTGCATAAATCATACCCATCGAATTAACCAGAAGCTAAAGGCTTGGAATAAATTATTGTAAATCTTACAATTATATTTCATGTAATATCATTTACATGTATATATGTATAAGCATATCTACCATGACCATTACCTCCATATTCGAGATATTGAGAACCAGAAGTTTCTGTTTGGGACAAAAGATTCACATATACCATGTGTAATGTCCATGCAAGGGCCATCTTAACAAGTACTATATGATAAAAAGCTTATTGTGCAAAAGCTACCATTCCAACTTGACTCATTCAAGATATTTAAAGAAAGGCAAGCAAAGTCAAGTATGGGAAATTTCACATTTAGTTGAAATTTCGCATTGTTTAGTCTATTGTCCCCTTCATAATAGATAACATGTCAAAATTGCAATTTTTAACAGACCATATATTGTAGAACTCTAATATGATCTATAGAGGACATGGACTTTATACTTCACTTACGTGGTTGACTTGAGAGCCAGTGTGTCAGCATGTTCAGGTATACCATACACATGTTCAAACCCAGGAAAGGAGAAATCCAAACCGATGGACTCTGGACCTAAACAACGAAAATAAGTGCACAAACAGTTCACTGTTGGTATATTTGAAAATACTTTACAGAAAATAAGACAGTATTTGGTACAAAATTTCAATTTATTTTTTCAACATAGCACAAAATTAAATGTCAAACAAAAAGTTCTGCCATACTTAAACTATTTTAGGATTCTCATCTGAAGGTTAATGTTCATTAATCATCACATATTTACAAAAGACTAAAATTCACATTTTTATCAAATGTTACAATCAATATGGGTATGCTACCTAATGGTTTTGTATCTTTGTGTGTTTTGAATGTTTCCTCCCACATTCCAGGCTCCTCGCCCTCTGCATCATTATTCTTATCATCATTATTGTCATCATCATCATCGTCGTCATCATCATCGTCCAATACTTCTTCCTGTGGAAGACAAGAAACATTCAATGAAGTGAGGCCAACTATGTTGTAATACACATGAAGGAATACAGAGTGAAGTGCAGGAAAACTACTATGAATCATGCTTTATTACTTGTCAATAATGGAATTAAGAGTTGAAAGTCAAAACCTGAGGAAAATTATATGAAAAACAATAAGATGTTTTCATATCCCATACTTTATATAGTATTATTTCAATGGAAAGTTATATTGCATTTGCATAAGCCTTGTAAGACAGTACCTGCTCTTCCCCATCTCCTTCCTTGGGCTCTTCCTTCTTCTCTTCTTCCTCCCCAGCCTTTTCTCTGGAAAACCAAGATTTTACTGTAGCTGTTAATCTAGAAACCACACCCCTGAAATGCACACAAGGGGAGGGGGAGAAATAGAAAGCTACTTAGATCTATAGGTTACTAAACAATAGTCTTCCACCAATGCTCTGGTCCTCCCCATGCCAAATCCTTGTGTAGGATGTAAGCATGTGGCATTTATGGAGGAGGGTGCACAAGGATTTAATGCAAGATGAACTAAACAACAAAGTAAGAGATGAGCCTCAGAAAGTTGTAGCATATTCTTTCTACAAGTTGGGATGAATATACTTTATGATATACATTTGTGTATATTAATCCCAGCTACATGTATAAGTCACATAATGGTAAGATATTAAACCAGAAATCATTCTGTAAAGAAGAGAAACAATAGAAACTATGATGAACATTGATGGGAAATTGTGCCGATAAAGTGTAATTATTGTGCTATACTTTTTATACATGTACATGAGATACTCCTTTATCAGTATAATTTCTAATGTCATCTGGTTTCTACTCTGACATAAAAACATGGAAAGATATTAATGGGGTATAACAGTCTTACATGTTAAAAACAGATATTCACCTCCAAACACTATCAGTTAAAAACATGTTACAAGTGCACCCAAATAAGAGATCAAAATAAAATGTTCAAACCAAAAGAAATGTTACTACTTAAAAGCATAATAAATAACAAGACATGACAGTGCAAAATGTCACTACCCGCCATTTGTTACAGATGCCAAACACCATATGCCGAACACCATTCACAAAAAAGTTGGAGACTATAACAATATGTCCCCATATGTGGTGGTGATATAATTATAATTCATAATAAAATACAATTCTTCCAACTTACGGGGGTTGAGCTTTCTCCCTTATGTGTTCAAAGTTCATTAGACCCCTAGAATTTACACTGAGGACTGGTTCCCCACGCACAATGAAGTCAATCCTGAATGGATCTGATTGGATAGCAATCTTGTTGTCAAGGAAACCAACAGTTACACTCTTTGAATCCTTGGACAGAACTTCCAAACTGAAAAAATCAATGACAACAATCAATATGTATTTAGCATATATGCAATACTACAAAAACAATGCACATGTATAGTACATGTAAAGTATTTATTTATCACTACAATATGAAACTGCTTGAGGAACAAGAATATGAGGATTTAAGGAAATATTTATCATGAGGTACACCGATAAAATCGATAATACTCAAAAGAACTTATATTGAACATTTAGTTAAGCACAGTATAAATATCTAATATTTTAAATATCTAATATTGCTTACCCCTGTTGGACAGGCTCATCCACAAGAACATCACCCACTGGAATCTCATAGCGTGGCTTAAGAGGATTTGTCTCTGTCACTCTTAGTCTTGCAATGTTGCCTTTTATGGCTATAACTTGCAGGTTGAGACGCACATTTGTGTTTTTGTTAAGAAGTTGCACAGAGAGCTGTGTGGGTTGAATGTTGATTGAGCTTAGCACAGCAACATAGGGGGATTTATTGGGCTCGGTAGCTCGTTGCCGTCTATAAGAACACAAAGTAGAATTGAATGTAATTCATGAACACCATACAATGTAATAAAGTAATAACAATAATATAGTAATAACAAATAAACAATTTTGAACACCATTAGATTACAGTCACAATGTGGAGATCTCCAACTATGTGATATGCCTTTTCATAATATACTGTATAGTGTTTAGAACCAACATTGTGACAAATCAAGACAAAAGTTAGTAGATATTTCTGTTTTCTTATTGAGTGTCTGAGTGAGTTCAATGAATTTTGGTAAAAATTCTGGCAACAAAAAGACCAAAATGGTCAACAACCGGAAGATATTAGGTGAAGATACAATATTTTCATGTCTCTATGATGTAAACATTTCTTACTTGCAGAATCCACTCTGGTCACATGTTTTGAAGTTTCCTCGGTCTACTGCGATGGTAGAGAGAGACAGTGTCAGCAGTAACACAAGACTGGGTTGTAAGTATGCCATGTGGCCCCTAGAAATTTGATAGACATGTTAAATTAACACTTGAAGTCTCCTTGGGGATTCCCATTCTAAAGTCTACCTGCATCTTGAAAAGGGGTGCAATCTTTCTTAATGAAAAAGGGAAATGTCCTCGTTCTGCTGATGAACCCATATGATTGGGGATTCAATTACATATTAATAAGAATTGCTAAGAATTGGTTGTACGCTCCAACAATTGTTCAGGCAGTGTTTCTACAACCTTTGAGAGAGTCCTACACATTGCACACTTAAATGACCTACCTCAATACATTCCTGATTATATTTGGATTCTTATTACGGTTTGTAGTTGAATCCCCAATTGTATGGGTTAATCGGCAGAATGAGGAGATTTTTGTTTTACATCGAATATCTCCGCACTTTTCAAGATGTCAGAAATTATTTTGCGCACATGAATTATTTGCTTCTGAGCACTTAGCTAAACCACAATAAACAAACCTAGCGGAGATTACCCTTACTTCATTTTAGTGACATTTCAGCTCAAATTCGTGACAAATGCATACGCTGGTATGAAGCCTGGAGACACTCATTTTGGTAAATATGATTTATGGTGTATAATTTTCAGCAGTTTGGGGGAGTTTGGGACATAAAATATTAGAATTCAAGAAAATATGCGACTAATACGACTTATCAATTAATTTGTATCAGCATTGTAGCGTGCAATGCAGAGTATTTTCTCCGAAGTAGAAGAAACACTGCCTGAAAAATCATTTGAGCGCAGGACGTGTTTGGCTGAGTTCCACAATGTAACCTAGCAGGAGGGATGACATAGACTATATCCTCTAGACTGAAATTTTTTTGAAATTTGGAATGAAAATATTCAGACTATAGCCCATATGTTAAAATGTGGGATTGAAAACTGTTTGTTTACATAGGAAGTGCCATTGGATATTTGTTACTTCCCCTAGCTTTATTTCCATTTGACAATAAGCTGTGTTACTTTTTATAGCATTTAATTGTATCTTACTACTTAATTGAATTTTTATAATGCTTATTTTTGGGAAGTGAAGTTTCCTAAAATTGATTATTTTGTGCAGGAAATTTCCTGTTTTTCCCACAGGAGGGACATAATGATCAATACTAGACTAAATTCTCAGGAATTTCAGTCTATTGGATATAGACTAAGGGATGACATAGAACAAACTGCTAAGTAGACACAGGGTAACATTTCATTTTTTCGTTATTTTAACCATATGAACTTCTCACAAGAATAAGTGTTTTATCTTTATGTGTCCTGATAAGTTCTGAGGACTATAGGCTAGTCCTGGATAACACCATGGGCTTTCAATTAGAAGGGTATGCAACTCTGTGTAATAAACATGAGACCTTCAAAATGAGCAATGCCATGCTTCGCTTTTATGGTAATATTTCAAAAAGTATTAGATATTTGTATATGTCTTAGTATTATTTTGAATATTTAATCAATTTCCAATATGATTAAACCATAAAATATATTGAATCTCATGTAAAAGTAAACAAAAAAGACCAATAAGAATAAGAGGTATCAAGATGTTCTCTTTGAGTATTGCATTGTGGGTAATTATTCAAGAACACATTCCAATAAAAACATAATTTGTGGGAGAATGTTCATTTTCTGTGTTGTCATAATTATGATGAATTCCATTTTTTATTAAATTATCAACATGTATGTAGATGATCATGTTTTTATTTTTGAGTTATTGCTTTAAATCATCCATAAAAAGAACAAAATAAGATTTTCTTGGAATGTGTACACTCTCCTATTTTGAAAACCCAAAGGCAATGCTTATGTATGAAATATGGGAAGTTGCCTACCCTTCTAGTTGAAAGCCCATGATAACACTGAAGGAACTATCATGGCCATTCTCCTAGACTGTATCCTTCGTCTGAATAAATATTCAGACTGTAAGTCACCTATTGTAAAATGTGGTGTTGTATAAATGTTACAAATAAGTTTGTTAAATGATAAAATGATTACCTTATAAAGTACTTACAATATTATTTTTTCGTATATTGTCCTCTTACTGAAGATATTCATAAAATGTACAGACGCTTCTTGTAGCGAAGCCATTGATTAGGTCAAGCCATTTTGGCAATGCCAATTCTCACGATAAACGAGATTTAGCCAGTGACGTCAGTCTATTTGTAAACAAATAACACGTGGAGCGGACGGAAGCGTGTTGATAAATTCCATTTGTGCGGGAATTTATTAGATCTAGTCATTTATTATCATTATCCCGATTAATTTTCTTCATTTATAGTAAATAGAGCGGAAATATTCATGAAGAAGGCCGAGGTAATCAAGTGGTCATGTGTTGTCAAAGTTCAAAATTTGCATATCTCGTTTGGATCTCGTGAACTCAAACGTCCTTGACATTGATTTCGCGATGTACTTATAAACACATCCTGAAGTTTTGGTGAGTCTGAACATTTCATTATTTTATATCAACTTGTACCCGCCTTATACAAATATTTTTGCTTCTAGTTTAAGATGAACATCTCTTCAACATATTCACCAATTTTCAAGGTGAACATTCTTGTAATAAACGAGAAATTTATGTGCAAAAAATATCACCGAGATTTCCACAGGAAATATATCAATCATAACAGACCGAATATTATATTCGGTCTGTTGGATACATACTAGCCATTCTCCTAGTCATTTATTCCTTTCCATGGAATTGTTCAGAAACTGAACAAATTGTTTGGAAATAAATATAAAGTTGGAACCCTGGGAGCCAATCATCCTTGGAAAGAATGTTTGCTTATAAGATTAGAAAAATGGAAAAGAAACAAAAAACATGAAAAGAAAAATTAAAAAATGACGTGGCTTTTTCTACTGCTCGTCTTATTCAATATTCGCACAATATCACTGTCTTAATTTATCCTGAAATCGATAAACATCATTTAAGCTACATTGTGGATACACCGTTATCAAAATCTAGATGAGCAGTATGTAGAAAATACAATTTGATTACAAAAAATTTAAAACTTCTTACCTTTTGTTATTTAGCGCCATCTATATTGTGATGGTGTCTATGTAACTTTAGCTTCAATAATATAATTTCCGTGTTTAATTACATTTCCTTGAACGAATATCCCAGCAAAAACATAAATATTTAACTCAACATATCTAGAATAATACAGATAATTTGAAAATGTGCAATTGCAGTGACGTTACACATTTTTTTAATAGATAAATAAACTTCACATTCCTCACTTCACATTTGATAATGAGACACCATCCCCGAACTTATGTTTTGAAAATATTTTCGTCCCTTTGAATAAGACAATGTCACTACTCTAATCTGATTGGTGGTATAGAATGATCAACATGATTATATTTACAGAAGACTCCGGCATCCGAACATACCTCAGAAGGGCAAAATGAATGGATATGTTATAACCGGAAGCTGCGTAATTGATGATGCGCAGGAAAAAATGTTTGATTAGCAACTGAGAAAACTTTGACAAAATTCACATGGAAATAATGATATTTTGACACTAATATGCAGTAAAAGCTTATGGAATCATGTTGAATTAATGTAACTGTTGTTTGTGCAATATCTCAACATGTCATGTGGTGGAGGATCCGTGACAGTGTCAAGTGAGTTGCAAATTAGATTTAGAATTCTGTTTTTATGCCTTTTATGTATATGATTATGTTTACTGAACATAACTGGCTTAATTCTGTCAGCTTGGTCGAATAACGGTACATGCAGAAGCTATATGTTAAAGTCTGAACTTTTGGCGAAATATGGCAGCTAAGGCCACCGGGGTACTACATGCCATGTGCACCAAGTACAATTAGCATCTTGCCAAGTACGAAGTATACATGTCGCCCAGCATGTGGACCAAGTTACAAGTCACATGCTGCCAAGTCCCATATTCAAAATTTTCGAAGTCTTAATGATAAACCTCGCATGTGCAGCATGTGGACCAAGTTAGCAAGTGACATGGTACCATGTTGCATGTTCAAATAGCATCTTGTCAAGTTTAAACTATACATCTCGCATGTGCAGCATGTGGACCAAGTTAGCAAGTGACATGCTGCCATGTTACATGTTCAAATAGCATCTTGCCAAGTTTAAACTATACATCTTGCATGTGCAGCATGTGGACCAAGTTAGCAAGTGACATGGTACCATGTTGCATGTTCAAATAGCATCTTGCCAAGTTTAAACTATATATCTCGCATGTGCTGCATGTGGACCAAGTTAGCAAGTGACATGCTGCCATGTTGCATGTTCAAATAGCATCTTGCCAAGTTTAAACTATACATCTCGCATGTGCAGCATGTGGACCAAGTTAGCAAGTGACATGCTACCATGTTGCATGTTCAAATAGCATCTTGCCAAGTTTAAACTATACATCTCGCATGTGCTGCATGTGGACCAAGTTAGCAAGTGACATGCTGCCATGTTGCATGTTCAAATAGCATCTTGCCAAGTTTAAACTGTACATCTCGCATGTGCAGCATGTGGACCAAGTTAGCAAGTGACATGCTACCATGTTGCATGTTGAAATAGCATATTGCCAAGTTTAAACTATACAACTCGCATGTGCAGCATGTGGACCAAGTTGCCAAGTGACATGGTACCATGTTGCATGTACAGATAGCATCTTGCCAAGTTTAAACTATACATCTCGTCTCGCATGTGCAGCATGTGGACCAAGTTAGCAAGTGACATGCTACCATGTTGCATGTTGAAATAGCATATTGCCAAGTTTAAACTATACAACTCGCATGTGCAGCATGTGGACCAAGTTGCCAAGTGACATGGTACCATGTTGCATGTACAAATAGCATCTTGCCAAGTTTAAACTATACAGCTCGCATGTGCAGCATGTGGACCAAGTTGCCAAGTGACATGGTACCATGTTGCATGTACAGATAGCATCTTGCCACGTTTAAACCATACGACTCACATGTGCAGCATGTGGACCAAGTTGCCAAGTGGCATGCTGCCATGTTGCATGTTCGAATAGCATCTTGCCAAGTTTCAACTATACATCTCTCATGTGCAGCATGTGGATCAAGTTCCAAAATGACACGTTTGTTTATTTGGAATGGGAAATTAAATGATAAAATATATTTTTAAACTAAAAAGTTTGTTTAATGAACGGTAAAACGAATGAAATGAACACAAATTTGGAAAATGTAATTTAAAAAATGGTAAATTGGTATATAAGTTTGAGCTTTGTAGTAAGCATATGAAGAAATCATCCTCTACAATATTCTTGGTTAGCTGACCACTAACTCCCGGGCACTGACTACATTTGTATTCTGCCACTCTCAGGCCAGTAGTCAGCTTTTACCAGGGAGGGAAGCAGGGGGAGGGCTGTTTTTAAAGAATTCCATGAGGGATTTGACTTTTCCTTTGCATTATACCTTAGAATTCACACATGTAAAATGTTTCAATATGATAATAATAGATTACTAACTTTATGTTCTCATAAAACAAAAATAGATTGCAGAGAATAATTTATTATGTATAGATGATTTTATTATGGAATAATTGTGAAGTAATAAACTTGTTAATGTTACAAAGCTATGAACAGCATATTACTGTATCATATACAATTATTCTAACACAATTCTAAACACATGTGAACATTATAGTATCCTTGTATTAATGTTCCAATCTGAGTGTCAGTTAGTTCACTAAGTAGGCTCCCTGGTCAGAAACATCTTGAATTCTTGAATAAGTAGAAATAAGAATATAACTGTATTTATGTAGAATTGAAAATCTGTATATCTGCAAATATAGAACATTTACCATTGCCCATGAGTTTTCTGCTCTGTAGAAAGACCATAAATGCACATCTTTATGAATTTATATAATCAATAGCACTTTAAGTCCCCATATAAGGTCTAAATCACTTTGGCTTATACTGTAGTCTTACTCAGTGTTATATGGAAGAATGTGAAACTTATTTTAATTGCTAATTATGAATTTATATAAAACTAACTTTTATAACTAACTTTTAGAGATCACATATATATTCTAATAAGCGATAATTCAAACCAATGCATAGCATTCATCCTCACATGATTTTGGTGAAAAATTAAGAAAATTGGTTCAAGAATAGGCGAGAAATGAACTCGTCAATGCTTTAAAATGGTTCAGAGAAAAATGTATTTCAAAATTTCTTCTTTCCTCCCGTATTTTTGACTGAAATCTCCCTTAATCTACCGTGTTTGAGCTAAATCTACAGTCAGTAACCTTGATTATTGGACTTCTTTCTTTTACTTTCAGTTTTACAGCAGGGAAATGTATATTTTCTGTAAAAACTGAGCGAGCAAAGGAACCCTCATAATACTTGTTCAGGGCCAACTTACATCATGGTCTTTTAATAATCAGCCTGATTACTCATTAATTTTTGTCATATTCTTTTGTTTTCCCATTTCATTTGACTAAATGAACTTTCATTTAACTTTTATTCACCATAACCTCGTTCAAAACCAATTTCAGGTTGGCAGGTCTGACGTTAGTTGCAAAATATTTTTGATATGCTAAACCATTGAAGTGGCGCATCATTAAAAAAAATTCAACTTTTATTTGAAAAATGGCGGGAAATTTGATAACGAGAAATGAAAAAATTCAAAAAATAAATTTAACCCTTACCCCAAAAAATGAATTTAACCCTAAGACCATGAATATGTGTGTCAAAAATGTAAAATAAATTAAAAAATGAATTCCATAAATAAATAAATTTTTCTATGTCAAAATATAAAAAAAAGAATTTAATTCTAACCTTAACCCTAACCCTAACCATCCCCAACCCTATTAAACCAGATGGAGTTTTAAATGATTACCTAACCCTGACCTACCCACTGAGGACACAGGACGCGTACCAGACCCTAATGATACAGGGTCTACTTGGCAGGAGCAGCGATCGCTATCAGTAGGGTCTGGCACATGAACACCGCTCCTGCAAAGAGAAATGAGTTAACCGTAGCCTTAACCCTAACCCTAATTACCAACCCCAACCCTATCAAACCAGATGGAGTTTTAAATGATTACCTAACCCTGACCTACCCACTGAGGACACAGGACGCGTACTAGACCCTAATGATACAGGGTCCAATTGGCAGGAGCGGTAATCGCATACCAGACCCTAATGATACAGAGTCCACTTGGCAGGAGCAGCGTTCGCATACCAGACCCTAATGATACAAGATCCACTTGGCAGGAGCGGCAATTGTGTACCAGACCCTAATGATACAGGGTCCACTTGGCAGGAGCGGCGTTTGCATACCAGACCCTAATGATACAGGATCTACTTAGAAGGAGCAGCGATCCCTAACCAACCCTATTAAACCAGATGGGGTTTTAAATGATTACCTAACCCTGAACTACCCACTGAGGACACAGGACACGTACCAGACCCTAATGATACAGGAACCACTTTGCAGGAGCGGCGATCGTGTCCCAGACCCTAATGATAGAGGGTCCACTTGGCAGGAGCGGCATTCGTGTACCAGACCCTAATGATACAGGGTCCACTTGGCAGGAGCGGCGATCGTGTACCAGACCCTAATGAAAGAGGGTCCACTTGGCAGGAGCGGCATTCGTGTACCAGACCCTAATGATACAAGGTTCACTTTGCAGGAGCAGCGATCGCTATCAGTAGGGTCTGGCACATGAACACCGCTCCTGCAAAGTGAAATGAGTTTAAACCGTAACCTCAACCCACCCTAACCAACCCTATTAAACCAGATGGGGTTTTAAATGATTACCTAACCCTGACCTACCCACTGAGGACACAGGACACGTACCAGACCCTAATGATACAGGGTCCACTTGGCAGGAGCAGCGTTCGCATACCAGACCCTAATGATACAAGATCCACTTGGCAGGAGCGGCAATTGTGTACCAGACCCTAATGATACAGGGTCCACTTGGCAGGAGCGGCGTTTGCATACCAGACCCTAATGATACAGGATCTACTTAGCAGGAGCAGCTATCCCTAACCAACCCTATTAAACCAGATGGGGTTTTAAATGATTACCTAACCCTGAACTACCCACTGAGGACACAGGACGCGTATCAGACCCTAATGATACAGGGTCCACTTGGCAGGAGCGGCGATCATGTACCAGACCCTAATGATAGAGGGTCCACTTGGCAGGAGCGGCATTCGTGTACCAGACCCTAATGATACAAGGTTCACTTTGCAGGAGCAGCGATCGCTATCAATAGGGTCTGGCACATGAACGCCGCTCCTGCAAAGTGAAATGAGTTTAAACCGTAACCTCAACCCACCCTAACCAACCCTATTAAACCAGATGGGGTTTTAAATGATTACCTAACCCTGACCTACCCACTGAGGACACAGGACACGTACCAGACCCTAATGATACAGGAACCACTTTGCAGGAGCGGCGATCGTGTCCCAGACCCTAATGATAGAGGGTCCACTTGGCAGGAGCGGCATTCGTGTACCAGACCCTAATGATACGAGGTCAACTTGGCAGGAGCTGCGATTGCGTACCAGACCCTAATGATACAGGGTCAACTTGGCAGGAGCGGTGATCACATACCAAACCCTAATGATAAAGTGTCCACTTGGCAGGAGCAGCGTTCACGGTTCACGTACATCTTTTATTGACTCAGATGTCATCACAATGACATATTAGTCAGTACAATGTACAATATACAAAAATAACTTAGACTAAACTAACTACAAAATACAAAATGTAAACAACATGACAAATGCAAAAATATAAGTTATGAGTCAAGTTTTAAATACAGCATAAGAAAATGTAAAATATCAGTGTGATGTATCTTTGACACAATGTTCATCCAACACATATACAATGTATGAATTAAAGATCATTGCCAGGATCAATAAATGACTATGTCTGTTGAACTTGGCAACATGCACACATGGCACCACCAACATTTCTGGTACATGGTACAGATGCTAATACAAGATGGCAAGTGGAACCATGTTGAGCATTAATAGACATTATTATAACATGGACATCCAACATGCCATGCTACAGCCAATAGCCATATTTATCACATGACAGCATGCTGTACTTGGTAAGTTGTGAACTTGGGATCACTTGAATCAAGGTACTTGGCACACATGCAAATATAAGATGGCAAGTATGCCAATGCAACATGTATAAATCAACATGCACATCCAACATGCGAACATGGCAGTACTCACAAATTCTGATACATGTACACATGCTAAAACAAGATGCCATGTCCAACCAAAATAGTACATGTTCCAATCTAGAATAAATCTTGAATTATCACTTGCACATTCAACATGCCATGTTGAGCCAGTTGCTCTGTCTTTCACATGCTAGACCAGTAGCATCTTGTCAGAAAGGTACTTGCTAAAATATTGCCATGTTACAAACAAGTAATATGCCAAGTGACTGCATCTTGTAGATATTACCACTTGGCAACATGGCAGAACATGGCATGTTTGGACCCGGTGGCCATAAATGAAATATGGAATGAAAATATTTCAGTCAGTCTGTCAGATACATACTAAGTGTATAGCTTTATGATTCAATTGCAATAGAGGAGTTTCTAAATGATTTTGAAATCTCGCTTATTCTCGTTTTTTCATGAGATTTTAAGAGATTTACACATTTGACCTCTAATGACTTACTTTTCTTTCTTTTTAATAGCATATTTGAATTCAGTGATATGTTTCCTACAATAATAGCTTTGATTTACACATTTATGTCATTTAAATCATTCTCCATGACATTTTTAAAAAACTTGGGCCAAATCTCCATTGGTGCAATGCTAAAATTCTTTAAAACCATGGTTTAATCGTATGACAACCAACATTTTCATGTTTAATCACAATATGTTCATTGACAGGGTCATTTAATAGTGTGCCATTCAAATTTCAGACAGATTTAACTAACACTCTTTGATAAATCATGAAATTAAGTGACTATTGCAAGCTTTTAGCATAGAACTCAATGGAAGGTTGGCCCAAGATAAACAAAGGTGACATCTATTATGTCAGCTTTATTCAGCTTTATTTAGCTATTTAGAAACTATACTATTGGTTGGTTTGGGGTTTAATTATCAATGGTTTAGCTGCAATGGAACGATCCCATGCAATGAAAGTCGGGTAAATTGCATTGCACTCTATACAGGGTGTCAATAAGATATGTTGTCCCCCCTTTAATTTCCAAACTTTTGTAACGACCCAAGGTGTTGTGTTTGGGGTTGTGCAGTTTCGTGGGGGTTGATTTAATAATAAGGGTCAAACAAACATTTAGGTTTGAGGTCAACAATAATCAACATTACTATATTGTTTAATTATAAGTCATAAGGTACATGAACATGTTACATAACAATAAGAAATGCATACAAGTACAACTCATAAAACCTCAACTACGTAATTAATCTAAAGTACAATACCTGGACTGATAGCTGACAATTATTTTATGAGATTAATTGAAAGAAATCATGTGTTAAAGCATTTAAAGGTACCTGTAAATAATGCATTGATAGCTCACCCCAAAACAACCAAGTGCCTGCGACTAAAGTAAATATCCAAGATGGTGACAAATATATATCCAACTAATTGATAAACTGAACTCCTTAATTGATTCCTTAATTGATTCCTAGTCCAAATATCCACAAAGACTGTACAAGAGCTGATGACCTTTACCCAAGCAAGCCAGGAGCGAGACTGAGGTCCTGAGGGTGAACATTTACTTATATACCCCTGAGACCCCAAGTGCAGCTTGTACTGAGGGACCAAGACACTGAAGCCACTGATTGGTTAAATTGAACACTAAAAGACTAAAGGACATCCCTAAAACTGACCATGACAAATTATGGACCAATGATTGGTTAAGTGAGTGAAGCAAATGTTAGAATGCAGTTGGTACTGAGAATATTCCATAGTGAAAGACTGCTTGCACCAAAACTCAAGTGGACTGAAGATGACCAGACTGTGAAGTGATTGGTTGAAAGATACAATGAAAGTGTGCCTACTGTCTAAAGACCACCAGACTCTATGAAACTCAGAACTAAGACTAGATACTGACACATGATTGGTTGACAATGACAATAAAGCTTGACCACAATATGAAGACCTTCAGCCTTTATGTATATACAGAGATAACTGAGAAATTGTACATCCTTAGACCCAAATCCGTTACACCATGAACTTTTGTGCATAAAGGTGCATCTAGTTGAGCTTGTCATTTTAAACTTCTTGTGGAGTTCCTCCTACTAAAGAGCAATTAAGATATCATGCAGACAAAAAATTATGCAACATTATTAATTATTATTGGATGCTAAAGCTAATGGGGGGGAATATATTTATTTGACCCCCTGTCAATGTACTATGTATCCTCACCTGAAAATATCTGTAATAAGATAATATCATCGTTTTCAGAGTTTTACAGTACGTGAAAGATTTTGTGAATCAAACATTTTCTAAAAAGCAGTTGTCTCACTTGCCATATTTCTGGCTAAGCCCCCGAGCCCCCAATTCAGTGAATCCACACTTACGAGGGGTGATCCAAAAGTATATTGCTAGAATCTTTTAAATTGCTCTTACAATATACATAAATATGTATATTACTAACATTTTTTCATGCTTTAGTTTTGGGAAACATGGTTTAATATGCAAGTGTATTCAAAGTCCTTTTTATTGTATTGTCTATGATTTCAGATAGAACAGAAAAAGTGAAGTCGGGATACCTTAGAAGATTCCATAGTAAGTGATGTTTAGTATGCATTTACATCATTTTTAGTATGATGAATCATGAATCTCAATTAATTTAATTAAATACTCAATGTAGCTCATGATCAAGTAGCAAATCGATCGTCTTTTGCAAAAACATCTTTTATTTTTGTATTGCTGCCATCATGTCACAGTATACAATAGTTATAGTAAAAAATAAATTAATTAATTAAAAAAAGACTATCTAGAGGAATAAGAAGCGGAAACCTTCACCATGCCATTTTTTCATGAAGGTTTTGTTAAAGGTTTAAAAACCAAGATTGATTATGTGAAGTTTCATGATGAACTATTGTAGAATGCCTTTACTGAACATTGTATTGTTATTGATCATTGCAGAGGGTTTCTTCTCCAAGAAATGGAAGAATCAGTTTGTCGTGTTGCATAAAGACAGTGGATTAGCCTGGTATCAGGAGCAGGGGAAATCTCAAGCTGAAGGATATGTATCTGTCAAGGTAGAATTTACAATTTATTTATATAACATGTACATGTATTTATTATGCCCCTTTAAAATGGTGGCACACCAGGTCTAGCAAGCCTGGGATTTGCCAAGGGGGGTTTGCCTTTCAAAAAATTCCAGGGGGGTTCACTTTTGAGAACTTTGGTGAAAAGCTGCACGCATGATTGCTTAAACTCCCCGAAATGTTAAAGAGAATCTAGCAAATTGTCATATAAGAGAATACAAGTTTATGTCTCTAGAAATATCTTGAGCAGAACTACAGTGTAAATGCCTTGATGCTGTGAAGAATGCTGGTAACTATATTATTTTTATTTTTATTAGAATGTGGCACAGTGGCTTGCGGTTGGTGAGTTTACTAAGAATCTTCCCAACAGACCCGTGATTCCTCAAGGTAGCACAGAGAAATGTTTAATTGCAATAGCCCAGGAGCCAAAGAAAGATGCTGCAATCAACTGGTTCATAGCCACGAGTGAAAGGGAACTGGGGTAAATGAACTTTATACTTGTTAGCTCACATGGTGAACTTTCGTTTGTTGTCTCAAATTAGTGCCATTATGATCCACTTGCTTTTGACAGGCATTCAGTCACATATATGTCGCCTCCTGACGAAAAACCCATTCAGCCTCAACCCTTTGGAGTTATCTTTTGTTTTTCTGACCTCTCATTTTCAATAGTTTAATCTTGCTTTTGTAAAAGAAAGCTTCATCACTATATCTCTGGTCTTTGTTATTACAATCTTCATTCCTCGAAAGCTTAGACCAGTTACATTGAACTTAATGGTATCGAATGATCTCAACAGAATGATTGAGAATTTAAGTTACATAAATATGACAGTTACCATAAATATGAATTCAGAGATAAAATACATTGATTATGTCATATCATATCTTATTCCTTTTTCAGAGAGTGGATGAATGCCATAGTTACCACAGTAAGTACTGCCTAGAATCTCATATTTCATTATCAACACATTAAGGAAAAACAGTAGATTTAAGAATTCTTAAAACTTAAAGGTGCTACAAATAGTGCAGGGGGCCATTCAACGATCATCGACAAGTGTCAAAATATATTTAGGTTTGGATATTTCATCAAGAATAACATATATTTTCATTATCTACAAAGAAACCCTCTGGATGAACATTATTTCAGCTGATATTCCTCTTGAAACATGGTGGATCTTAAAAATCTATAAGTGGGACTCCCTTTATAGAAGCTTTGAATTGAATTTACACTTCTTAATGCTGAAATTGATAGTTTATACATACATTTTATGAAAATAGGTATGTCAAAGAAGGTATTAAGGCAAATATTGACCTGATAGCTCAGAAAAAATAAAAAAATTTGAATTTTCTCTCTACAGTCCTTATTGCCCCTTTAAATTATGTTTTTAATAGTTTAGTTTAGTTCATAATAGTTTATTTCTGTGTCACAGGTTTACTGAAAAAGTACAATAAAATACACGTATTAAAAACCCAACAGCACACATTGGCTTATGAGACACCAGAGATAGTAACCCCTTGGACCATGATCTCAACAGAAAGATTAAGGCTGTATCTGTAATTCTGATCCTCAACAACTCCAAAATAATTTTTATCACATAATGCTCGAAATTGTACCATCAGTAGATCTCAATACAAACCTTCTTTTCTGAAAATATCAAAGCAAAGTCCATTTTGCTTTTTGCATCTTTTCCAGACTACATGTATTCACTTTCTTCAGGAGTAAACTTTGATAATGATTGACTAGTCTAATCACAATTTATTGTGAGTTTAAAATAATGCGGTAATTCAGAATTAGATTACAGATAATTGCCCTTTAAATAATTCAGTAAAACCTATCCGATGGAAGAACTTTCTGTAAGGAACGCCTGTACACAAGGAACGGTTTTCAAAAGAACCAAATATTTTTCCATTGGCTTACATGTTAACAGACCCTCTCTGTAAGGCACATCCATCTACTGGGAACAGGGAACAGTGTTTTAGGACAAATTTTGAAAATTCCCCTGTTCACAAGGAACATGGAAGATTGGTTACATTATTTATCAAATTGTGTGAATGTGATTCTAAAGAGCTTAGATTAATAGGGATAAGATTAGGATAAGCCGATTGTTGACAAGCTGCAACATTTCAGCTTGTCAGATGAAATCAATTTTTGTTGAAAGAAAGCATTAATGTCAATTGGAAATTTATAAAAAAAATATTGGGGGAATTAACAGACAAGCTGAACTATTCTAGGGACTGACACAACTGTTTTAGGAGATAATAGAAATGTATTTGTGTGATTTTGTGCCAAATCTCATTATTAAATCTTATAAAGATCCCAACTTGCAGATTATAAATGCTACAAAATGGGGTTGATGAAACTTGACTCTGAGCAACATTGCTCTACTATCACATCAGTGATTCATCATCTACAATAATTAAATACTTATATGGCAAATTGTTTTTTGGGATTGGACCAAGACACTGTAGAGAACACCTGTCTACAAAGAACAAGTTTCTCCAGTCTAGAGAATGTTCCTTGTATGCGGGTTTAACTGAAGAAGATTTGAAGATGAAATGACAAATACAATGCATTGATTATAATAACATATAGCAGTTTCGAGGTGTAGATCATGTAGATTGAACCCAAAAAGTTGATCAATATTTTACTTTGTGTTCATTTAATTGTTCTATAACAACAGCATTTCAGTTCAGAACATGCTATAATGCCCTTGTATTGACTAGGTAGCATGTTTTCTGTTTTGACTACAATGAACCTGTGGTATCAACTTAAGGCTATTAATTTGCATCCATATAAATAGTGTTTTTTACCAATACCATTTCATAATATAGAGAGAAACCCAAAGGCTAGAAGTATCAGAATATTACAATTAGAAATAAAAATGCCTGAATTGTGTTAATCCAGATTTCAAAGAACAATGAAACATGTCTGTGTACATGGAACACCCGGCCTCAGAGGGTTCACCAATATGTATGAGGTCAATGGGAATTGGTTCTTTTAAAAATTGTTCCATAAATACTAGATTATTAGGTGTTTCATTAGAAAGGTTTTACTGTACATAAAAAAACTAAACTGTGACAATTTCAGTTGCCACCCCCTCCAAGACCCCAACAACCACAAGGAGGGGCACCCCCACAGGGCCAGAGACCCCCTCCATATGCAACAAATGGACCAAGCGCACCTCCAGCAATGGCCCCTGGTCAGCCTTACCCACCACCTCCACAAGGTAGAGTAGCTTAATGCATGTGAAGTTGCCTTGTACATGGACCCTTCCAAACATGCACATGCAGTGTAACGGAGGAGAAGAATTAATGCAAAACTTTATAAATTCCAGACACAAGATAGTTGTCATCCAAGTCATCTATCTTAGATTATTCAAGAAGAAATATGTTATACTTGTATATTGTATATATTATAGATCTATATTATAAAACATACAAATACTAATTTTAGTGAATCAAAATGTTTACAAAATGCACAAATTGTGTACAGTAGTCTTTTTAGATTTGGTAGTATCTGTTGCTAGGCTTAATTAACCAACTGTATAATCTTTTATCTTCTATGATCCTAGTCAACTTGTTTTCAATGTCTGCATGGGCACATTTCAATACTAAAAACATTTTGTGTGTATAGGTGGACAATACCCACCACCTCAGGGTCAACCTGGTTATCAACAACAACAATATCCACAGCACCAACAACAACAGTATCCACAACAACCCTATCCACAACAGCAACAACAACAAAGAGCCGCCTACCCCCAACAGAGAGGAGGGAACCAAGGGGGAGGGGGTCACACCACTGTAGTTGTCCAGGATAGAGGAAGAGACAATGGAGATGCCCTTCTAACAGGTATAGTATTATTAGAAAATAGAAATAATCAATGTATGTTTCAGATTACATTACAGCAAAACAATGACTAAATAAAGTATACCTTACCCAAATAAGTACAGATTTCATTGTTGACCTGGAGCTGCCCTTCCCCTAAAATGGGCTTTTTCTATTGGTGTCCTGGCCATAATTCATAGCATTGTTTATATGATAAAAATTATAGATTCGAAGTGAGCCATATGTCCGAAATATAATGTACATGTACAAGTCATTTTTACCCGAAATCTTATTGATTGTTAGTTTAGGTTCAAAGGTCATAATATTCTGTATAATTTCAGGTATGCTGATAGGTGGTGCCCTAGGTTATGGTATGGGCGGATACCATCACGGTGGCTGGGGTTGGGGAGGAGGCTATGGCTGGGGAGGTCCAGGTCACTGTCACATGGGGTATCATGGGGGAGATACCCACATCACAAATCACTATGAATCCAATGTCACCAATGTTACTGAGAATAATACTACTGAGAACAATACCGAAAATAACACATATAACCAAGATGGTACTGGCGATGCAGGAGCTGGTGATGCAGGAGCTGGTGAAGCAGGTGTAGGTGATTCAGGAGTGGCAGATCAAGCCCCTGCTGCAGACCAAGGTTATGGTGACCAAGGACAAGCTGACCAGGGTTATGGTGACCAAGGTCAAGCTGACCAGGGTTATGGGGACCAGGGCTATGGAAATGATTATGGACAAGGTCAAGGCTATGGTGACCAAGGCTATGGTCAAGGTCAAGGCTATGATCAAGGTCAAGGCTATGATCAGGGTCAATATGGGGATCAACAAGGATATGATCAGCAAGGCTATGATCAAGGAGGTTATGATCAAGGAGGTTATGATCAAGGAGGCTATGACCAAGGAGGTTATGATGATGGTGGAGGTTTTGATGATGGTGGAGGTTTTGATGATGGAGGGTTTGATGATGGAGGGGGATTTGATGGTGGTGATTTTGATGGAGGAGACTTTTAAGCTTTCGGGAAAATCAATTTTTTCAATGACCAATTTAGTACTGAATCTTTCTCAATGAATTGGATTAATGATGGATAAATTATTACTCAATGTTATTTACCAATAAATGAATGGCTTTGAATGATATTTATCAAACTAGATTTTAGATTGGATGTTGGAACCCATTGTCTTATGTACTTTATTGAATTATTATACCTTGTTGCAATAAATTTTACAGTGAATGTCTTATAGTGTATTTTTCATGTAGGACCCTGTAAAGTTATGATTCTTCAGCAAAATGATATCCAATCAACAATACAATTCTTTTGGACATGTGCATATTTTTATTAGTTCATCACTGCAACCTAATATTGAGAAAGCTATGTCATGTTGATAGATCATCCCTCTTAAATATTATGATATTACTGTGGGGCTCAACAAAAAATGCAAGACCCTATAGGCCACCTTAAAAAGGCATACTCCTCTCAACCCAATTGTTATCTTTATAAATACATATTTGATAAATACTTTGTAAAAATTAAAAAAATTTGGGTATGATCAAAATTGTTGTTTTATGCAGATTAAGAGTTGATGATATCACTTCCTGTTATCTTTTAGGATGGCAGCCCAGTTGAAATGAAAATACATTTTTAAATGAGACAGCAATGAACAATTAGAAACATGCCTTTAAGGTGATTTGATATTTTTTAGTTTGCACAAGAAGTTTTAATTCTTGTAATATATTTGTCTGAATTATATTGGAAGCTCAGATCTGAGGTGTGTGAAGTATGATATTCAACAGACCTTATTAAATGTAACAATGTGACCATATTCTCTGAAAAAATAATGTTTAGTGCACAGTATGCATGTTCATGGACCAATCACCATGGTACAGGGTGTACATATATGTTCTGTATATTAAATTACTTGTAAAATACTTGTATTAGACTGTGATATATTGAATCTGATATGATATACAGTGTATGTTTGGCATGAGAGAGCTAATGAAAGTCACTCACTGAAATCCAATTTTAAATCCTGTATGCCATATTGATATTATTGTATTATTACATTGTAGATTTTGAAGTAACCTAACCTTTCATGCTCAATTTAGAATATGATTTTTGTTCATTTTATTTTCAAAGAACATTTTCTCTCAACTTACTGGGATTCATCAAGGGCTTTCAACAAGAACTAACTAACTAATGGATTCATTGATTATTGTTTTGTCAAAGAAAAGTGTCTTAAGGCCAGGGTGCATGTTGGGAAATTTTTTGCATTCCCCAATTGAGTCACATGTTATTTTTCCAACAAGAATAACTCCTTCCCCAAATTGTCTACATCTTGCAGGTTTTCACAAAGAGTGCACGTATGTGCCTAGAAAAGCCTTATGAGAAGATTTGTTATGTAAAATGTATAAAAAATGAGAAAATTCAGTGAAAAAAATTTCTGAAAATTTTCTAAATTTTTTCACTGAATTTTCTTGTTTTTTATACACTTTATCAAAACATTCTTCTCACAAATCTTTTCTAGGCACACAAGTGCACTCTTTGTGCAAAACTGGAAGATATAGACAATGTGGGGAAGGAGTGATTCTTGTTTGAAAAATAACATGTGACTCAATTGAGGACTGCAGAAAATTTCCCATCATGCACCCTGACCTTAATACCGTTTTGTTTATTCATTTTATATTTGTTAGTAATTGTATATTTTAAATTTATGTAATTATTACATGTATGATTTGAAACTATTTTAAAAATAAATAATCAACAGAAACCCAATATTGTTAATTTCTTTTCAATATTTCACATTGTTTTAACTTTACACAGTCACCTGGTTACAAATAACTTATATACATATACATACTAATCCTCTTGATAATGAAGTCCCATTGCACAATGTAACCAATGAAATGAATTGATTTTAGTTGAATCAATATTTAGAATTACGCTTGAGCATCAAAGAGGAATTTTGATGGACATGGACAGGCTGACAGGCATAGGACCGGGAACTGTAAAAAAAGATTGAGTCGAATACACCAATTAAGAGATCTCCTTACTTGGTGTAATAATGGACTTCAAATGGCGATTAGAAGTCCATGGTGTATTTGACTCGATCTTTTTAATATATGTTCCTGAGTCTATGTGGACAAGAGTGTAGCAATGCCTGCGTTTACGTCAGTATAATTCCATAACATTTTAATTTTCATCTGAATGCTTTCTGTGGTCAAAAAATCTTTCAAAACCAAGCTGTTTTCACCATTTTAATCACTTTTAAGTGATTTTCAGATTGATAATCAGTGATTGTCAAAGAATCCTCTTTTATTATTAGCATAAACATTAGAATACGAAGAATTAAATGTATAAAGAACAGAGAGTTGTATTGCATTATGTTGAGATTTTTCTGGAACTTATTTACCTCCCGGTAATCCGTCTATTAGTAGAGTTTCGTTCAGTGTTTTCCCTTTAATAAGTTCAATACGCATGCGCTAAAGTAGTATTGACAACATGGCGTCGCAAGAGTTCAAAAATCTAGATGTTACTAAAGAGGAGATAGACAGAATAACAAAGTCCCTAAAAGATGAAGAGTTCCGTAAACTGTTTGTTGAATATGCAGAGGAGCTTTCTGACCCAGAGACACGGCGTAAATATGAAGCAGAGATAGCGCAAATGGAATCTGAACGAGGCATGGATGTGCAATTTGTGCATCCTCAACCTGGATACGTAATCAAAACAACAGTTGATGGTGAGAAAAAAGCATTTATCAACATGTCAATGAACGACTTGATCGATAAACCAAGGGCAGAAAAATCTGCAACTGCTGATGGTAAAAGAGGTCTGCAGTGGAGAATTCCTCACAGCTTTGCCCCTCCAAGAGAAGATGTGGATAAAGGTGGCGCTAAATGCACTGTGTACGATTGTGTTTTCCACCATGATACGATGCGTATGGCAGAATCAAATAATGCATTCAAGAACATGATTGAAACCACAGCTCTTGAAGGTATAGAGAAGCAGTTTGATGTATCGCTCGATCGTAAAAATGTGAGACACCCTAAAATGAAATTCAAAGGAGTTCCAACTGCAACTGTGATACGGACTAAAAAGTCTGATGCATCAGAAAATAAGGAGAATGTTGCTGACAATGGTATAATGAAGGACTTTCCCTACCCGTATGATAATAAAACCACTGCTGAGAAATCAAAGGAAGCTGAAGATAATATCAAACAGAAAGAGAAAGCGAAATTAGAAAAAGAATCAAAAGTTAAGAGGGCAGCTAAGAAAGCAGATACAACTGCAACTGAACCAAAGTATACGATAACTCACAGGTCCCATTTAGATTTCCAGGATTTCAGAGATGCACCTGATGCTGGTACTTCAACACGCCCTAATGAGCTTGTCATCACAATTCAGTTACCACTTCTCAAATCAGCTGCCCCTGTGGAACTTGATATATTTGAAAAACAACTGAAGTTAGAGTCAAAGGAACCAGCTGCCTATAAACTCGATCTACCTCTCTCATACCCCGTTGATGAAAATAATGGATCTGCAAAGTTTGACAAGAGTAAGCGTCATCTTGTTGTTACTCTACCAGTTCTGCCTGAGGAAACCTCAACAGTATTATCAGACATACAGAATGGCATTACAGATCCAACAGTACCAAATACCAGTAATACCAACAATGATGATGACCATCAACCAGAAAACCCCCTGATACAGGTCCTGAGTACAGAAGATGCAAAACAGGAGATGAATGCAGGGGATGACCTTGAAATCAAAGGCAAACCAAATGACACCCAAACCTCTGATGATAATCAGGAAGCTGCAGATGGAAAAGACATCTGGAGCATGCAAGATATAAACCCAAACCACAAACCCAAAGTGACATACTCTTTACCAAAATATTCTTTTCACCAAGATGCTGAAGCAATCACAATTGTACTTAATACCAAAAACATTTCAGAAGACAGTATATCCAAGGCTTTCCCTGCGGCATCAAATGGATGCAGGCTACAGTATGTCTCAATAGGTTCTGGATGCTTCCCAGTGCATTACAGTCTCAGCGTTCAGTTCCCTGCTGACTGCACCATTGTGCCAGAAAGCACCACAATTGATGTCTCAGACCAGAATGCTGTCCTCATACTGTATAAGACCAACAATGGGATATGGGACAAGTGTCTGATAGGCATCAATGAAGAGAGCTTAGAGGTGAGAACTGACTTATTTACATGAAAATATTCTTGCTCAATGCTAAAACAGTCTTTATACTTGCATTTTCAAAATTAATGTTAGTCTTATCTAAAGGTTAAAATCTAATTAGTGAAATACTGAAAGTAAAATTATTAACACCTGTCTAATGATGATATATTTCTTCATAATATTGTTGAGTGTTAGTAATATAGATAAGACTGTCAATTTCAATTGCAAATTGATTTATTCAATGGGAGATACCATGATAATTAATGTTTACAGTTTTTAATGATCATTTTTGTACTAATTTTAATCTGCCACATTTACCCTGGTTTCTCCATCTTATCCCCACTTCTTATACCTTTTATCCCCTTCTTGCATTATCTTACACCCCATATCCCAATTTTTAACATTATTTTACATCCCCAATTCTTATGTTATCTTACACTCCTTATTCCCACTTCTTGCATTATTTTAAATACCCACATTTTATATTATCTAACATCCCTTATCAACACTTATATTAATTTACATCGCCACTTCTTACACCCCTTAATATACCCATTTCTTATATTATTTTACATCCTGACTTCCTACATTATCTTATACCCCTTATCCACACTTGTTAATATTTTACATCCATACTTCTCACATTATCTTACACCCCTTATCCCCACTTTTTACATTATGTTACATCCCCAATTCTTACATTATCTTATACCCCTTATCCCCTCTTCTTATATTATTTTACATCCCCAATTCTTACATTATCTTATACCCCTTATCCACACTTCTTATATTATTTTACATCCCCACTTCTTACATTATCTTATACCCCTTATCCCCTCTTATATTATTTTACATCCTCACTTCTTACATTATCTTACACCCCATATCTATCTTATATTATATCTTCAAATACCATTTAAAGGTATTTACTTTAGAAGAGACACACCCCTCATATATGCTACTTTCATTGGTCAATAGAAATAAACTCATTGTTGAGATGGATCCATTGCCAAAATACTCCAGTGACAGTTAGCTACATGTACTCACATATAAACTGATAAAAAAACTACCTCAAACAAAAGAAATCTTAGTATGTGTATGAGGAACTTTCTAGAGTCCCTTTTAGACCTGTGCATGTTTGCATTGATCATTATTGATTGTATACAATTCAATACCCCGGCCTAACTAGAAAAGCATTATTTATTTATTGTAAATCTATATGAGGTATATTCAAACTGAGACACATGCATGTATTAAATACCACTTGCTATTGGATTAAATTTAGAAATGCGTGTTTAAATGTAGATCAGCTTATAATATAAAACGGGTCACAGTAGTCTTGATTTGCAATCGTTGATACCACACATGGATAATATGTAGGAGGGTATAATTATTGTGATAGGTAAAACACTTCACAAATAGGAACTGACACAACAGTGTAAAGCAAATAAACAGTATACGTAACATTGATGCTGAACGATTTTACCTGGTTGTTGTTTTATATTGGTATATGTTGGAAGGTCATGTATGCTGCTTCACTTCATCTAGTATATAAAACTACTGTAGTTATAAATCAAGGATACAACTGATGCTTCTTGTTTTAGTAGAAAAACATAATACACAAGAAAAATCACATCAACTGTTGTTGAAAATAAGAAGATAAACAAAGGTAGACAGGACATGTATTTAGCAGATCTTGTTCTGAACTGGATTTTAATTGTCTCTACTTTTACATTGACTGTAACCAGGAAGTCATATGGATTTATAACAAGACCTTTGGTAAGCCTGATATCTCTATTTTCATGGTCATTGCTATTGATTATGGTAATTAACATTACATTATTGATATGCCATCATTTTGATGTTGTTGTTATTTCTAATATAATATTACATGCGATATATAGCACTGTGTTTAACAGACATCTTGAACAAGGACTTAGTTTATATCAAACTATGTTTAGATAAAAAGCATCTAATCCATCATTCACCAATGTATGAATTAAGAAAACATCAAAATCCAAATGCTGTTTAGAAAGTGGCCATATGACTTAGATAAATACATTATGTCGTCATGTATAAAGGATGCAAGTCAGGGTAATATACTGGTAGACATCATACATGTATTTCATAAAGGTTAATAATGGTAACTCCATTACATAGAAAAGAGGACTTCAATATATTGACATTTAGGAGTTGCTCACCCATACCATATCCAAATATGCATTGAAATAGTGCTTGGTTGAGCTATTGCAGATGATACATTGCAAGAACATGTTTGAGCATTAATCGTAGAATCATCCTATGTCGTCATTTTGTTTAGTCAAAGCATCATATGCAACATCCTAGTAGAGAAACCCCATTCGAGATGTTTCTCATTGGTCAGGGGACAAGGAACAGGACACAAGATATACTTGAAGCTCTTATGATAAAGCATGGTTATTGCATGACGTATTCAAATAACCTGTATTGCACTTAGACCATATCCCCCCTTCTCTCATAAGAGAAGGGCAGGGTAGTATTTTGTGCAAGACAAAAGATAGAGTAGTTGAGTATGGCACACATGCCTAACATCAGTAGCTTTCAGTTGTCTATGAAGGAGTTTTGTCTATGAAGGAGTTGTGGCGAAGGCTGTTTGTAAACATCAAAATCAATATAACTGGCATAGCTAGCCTCGTGCAGTTACTGTGTACATTTAAACATCCACATGTAGCTTCTTACTATCTTCTTTATCATTTTTGTTAAGTATGTGCAATTATGTCCATTTTGACAGGTTAATTGTTGACATGTGGTTTGAACCCTGGGTCACGTACATGTAGTTTATATGCCTTATCTATAATGAGTAGGGTTGTATTTTGGTATAAACAGTATAAAGCAGAAATTAACCATCATATGAAAACAAAAACTTAAATAATGTTAAAAATACCAAAGATTTAAAAAATGTAAATTATCATTGAGCTTTTGTTACAAATACTCAAGGACAGCACTAGGGAACTTATGTCATTCTTTTCATTATTCATTAATGTTTTCACAAGGTTTTCAAAATCTATATTGATTTTTATAACTGGTATCACATGATTTTATAGATAACCTAGATATAGAAATGATGCAATGTCAGTATGGTTTGATTTGTTGTTGTTTGAACAGAAACCTAGATACTTGGTTCTCTCTGATTGGTCGAGGCTATCTTATCAGCTGCCAGGCACTTATATGGCTACAGTGACGTGGGAAATTTTGAACGATAATTTCTAGAAAGTACACTATAAAACACACAAGCTGAGTTCAATAGCATAGAATAATTGCATCAGAAAGTTTTTGAGTCGTAATTTAGTCCTTTTTGAATTTCAATATTGTAAACATGGTTGTGTATGTGGAAGAGGGGAATCTGAGTGTAAGTTTGTTTAATGTTTGATTGTTTCATCTTTGATGTAAATTCATGCCTATGTAAATTATGTCTATTTATTTATGCATTTTTAGTGACTTTCATGATCATTAGTCAAGGAACCAGGGGTAGAGATAGGCTTTTTAGTTAGGTGTAGAAAGCATTTTTAGATTGTTGATTTCAGTGTATTTTCTGTTATTTCAGATGTTATAAAATACTTAACAGGCAACAACCAACACCCTGAACCTGACTTTGAGACGATATGTTTTTCCTTATTCATGCAATAAATATTTCATGTATTTCCAGGAGAAGCTTTTTCCAACAGTGAACAATGTTCAGACATCATTGGACAACCTTGAGGCTGACCATCCTAAAGAAGGTGATACCATTGAAGTCACCAACAATGCAAACCTTGAGGTCACTGAGATGAGCCAGGATAAACTGACCATTGAAATCAAGGTGCATAAACAATGATATTTTCATTCTATTTCCTAATTAATTATTCCTCCAAATGGGAACAGAAAAATGTCATTTTTATCTGAAGCTAATTCCTGTACAGTATTTAATTCCCAATCTGTTATTACATTACAGACCAGTAAATCAATTGTTCTAGTTACTGACTGTGACATCACATATCATATAAGAATTAATGATAAAATATAATTTTGATCTAAATTCTGGTGGACTGATGCATACAGGACATAAGGTCCAATGGGAGAAACACCAGTTGTTCATCTTCTTATTCACTAAGTTCAGTACAATAAAATGTACAACATTGTAGCATATCAATTTAAATGGGTAATTCAGATAACACATTCTGAAGTAGTTGTATATATAAGCTCAGATTTATTCACTTTGCTGTCATGTGATTAAAGTTTGTTGACCTTCCTTTTACAATTAACAAGAATTTTTGTTTTTTCAGTCTAACTCAAATAATAACAAGTCCAACTTGGAACAAGAATTCAAGGTACCATTAACACCGACCAAGAAAAAACAGCGAAAATTCTCAGAGTCTGGCGATGAAATAGAAGTTGTACATGACAAACAATCACCACGATTACACAGTATCTTGAAAAATAGGACTTGTTCTGAATCAAGTGACGATATTGGTTATGGAAAATACAGTCGTGAGAGTAGTCTTGGAGATGGTTTCGAGAGTCAAAGCACGATATCAGAATCTGAGGGAACAGATGGGCCTGATACACCAACAAAAATCAAAAAGTCGTTGTCATTCAACGACCATGTTGATTCCCTTGCATTTAAAACAAATGCATCAGTGTCATCCATGAAGACAACTTTGAAGAGTAAAAGAAGACGTCAGAAGAAAAAGGAGCAAAGACAAGCAAACCCAAGACGTCGACGCACAAGCAGCAATGACTACAGTAGTAGTGAAGATCAAACAAGCCCCAGAGATGTTACCGATAACACAGACTCTGTAGTTGTAAATGGCAAAAATGATAAGCATAAACAGTTGAATGGGGATAATGATGAGGATTTCCTTGAAGTTGATGAAACAAAGGAGAATGAAAATGACAAAGGTGTGGAAATTGAAGTTAAAGTGAATGATGAAGTCAAACCAAAACCTATCATTACAGATTCAAAAGATGGAGGGACTAAAAAGTCAAAATCAAATAAGAAAGTTCAAATCGTGTCTGAGAAAGCAGATTCAGATGATGATGCTGAAAATGATGGTGATGTAAGCACGGGTAAATCCTTATGGAAGGAAACTAATGGTCAGAATAATGGGCTCAATGAACATAAAACAAAATGTGCCTTTGAATTCACGAACTCTGTAATCTATGATTTAGATGAAGATTAATTTAATGCTCATAATAATAAGACGGGTGAACCAGTATGGACTAAGAAACAGTACTCATGATTAAGAACTTGGAATCTATAGTTATAGTAACGTAATGGGTTTTGTAAATATAACTGTGTCATCTGGTCTGGTATGGGAAAATAACCTATTGTGTCTTTTAAGCCAACTGGCTCCAGTCCTTAAATTAAAATGGGCACTGCTACCAGTCTCAGATATTAAAATGTATGCCATAAGGTAGAGGTGAAAGGCAGCTTTGGTGAGATTTATACACCTTTCTTAGAAAATGTATTTTGAAAATGTAAATCAACAAATATGCTTATGAGTGAGGGGAAGAAAAAAGAAGTTGCAATTTTGAATTTGTTAACTTCATTATAGGGTACAAGTTAAACCTGTGTGTTACTGCCACATGTGTTATGTCTCTACAGTACTGTTAGGCAGCATAAGACGAGAATTGTGAAGCTTGTATTTTATTCATTCGGTAAAGAATATTGTAATACCTGGTGTTTGGCAGCTTACTTTCGACAATTAGAAGTAAACTATGTACTGTGTCAAATCAGATGAAAATGTATTTTTTAACATGTGTTAATACTAAAGTAAGATGCCATAATATTAATTATTCCAAATAGGCAGAGCCTATTCAAATGTTGAACCAGAAATATCATCGCATAAATAGAGATTATCCTATATGAGGTTCAGGATATTGGGATTATCCCGAGGCTAATATAATATATTTGCCCGAGGGCCGCAGGTCCCGAGGGAAAATATATTATATTGGCCAAGGGATAATCCCAATATCCTGAACCGACTATAGGATAATATGTTTATCCCATACCAATCTTGGTCATCTGGTTCACATTGTTCAATCGTGGAAATATTTTAGAATATTCATGTCCAGTTTTGTTTTCTTGGCCGTGGGCGGATTTTCCTGTTCTCTCAAATATTCCCACATTTATTTTCTCAAATTTTTTGATTGATTAAGTGGATGCTCCTTCCCTTTTTTAAACCATCAAACAGATTTCGATAGTCTGTGTTTTCTCCATTGTCGTTTACAGTCATTACGCGAACGTTACAAATTATGAACAAATATGCGAGCGGCGATTGTGACGTAGCGGGCAGATATACTATACAGAGGCGTAGCTAGCCCATTTTGCGAGTGTACGCCCGTATGATTTCCCGGTTTTATCAAAATTAACAAAACGATGGTTCCATAAAATAGGAAGATCCCGGGTGTTCAGAAGATAGGGGACACACTAAACAGATTAATTCAATGAAGGAAATATGTATTGTTTGATCATTTTGACATAGCTTTTTAAAGGGATTGAATTAACTTTATTAACAGATAATATTCGGGAAACAAAATAGACAGATTCTATATAATCATGCCATCGGCGATCGAAGCCGTCTATCAAGGCGATTTTATTTTTTAGGCTACCTAAAACTGTATGTATGAGGCTCATTGTTTTAAGCTTTTGTGGTCATTCTCCATGAAATATTATTATTTTTCTGTGTTTGTTTTTATCTAGCTCACAAGATGATTAACAATAAAAGAACAGTTACACGACCGTTTCAACTCCATTTCGGATCTTAACAATCTGTACGTGATTCTATAGAATAAATTCTATCTTTCTGTTTTTTTTGCATTTGCGAACATGTCAATAACAGTATCAATGTTTATATCCTGTTCCCTATGGATATGTATTATGGCCAAGGAAGAAAGTCTTTCCTCGTTCATTGTGGAACGCAAGTATGGCTTAATGCGTTTCAAACTGCTAAAGCTTCGTTCAGCCACGCAAGTGTGGATACTGGCAATGTTAGCAGCTGGACCAAACACGTGTAGACACCGGGGTAAAGAGGCTGGGGGGTCTGTTGAATAGTGTCAATAAGAGTTGCTGGGATGTTCCCTTGAGCAACTTGTTGCCATTTATGGCTCCACCGTGTTACTTCATTTTGAAGCTCTTGTACATCTCCAGCCTCAAGGTCTGTTTCGAATTCGTCGAACAAGTTCCCAACGTTCAAATTTGGCAGATTGCCTGGAATCTTGGTAAAATATTTATTTTTCATCACAATTATATGGCATTATTTTTGCTTCTTTATTCATTAAATTCAAATATATTTGATATATGAAATATTTATATTCGCTAAATCATTTTTCCATTCGGTAAAAACGTTTATTTGTTTGTTACAGCAAATTAAGTTTTCAAAATAGCCAATCACTTAATACTATGTGCATTAAATTACATATTTCATTCGTTAAATGATATTTTTTGCGTAAATTGTTATGGTATTCCTTAAGAGTAACACATTATATGCACAATATTGAATTTCTATTTGAACCCTACCGAAATAAGTTTGCCTATATTTACCAAATGTTTTATTTTTCTATGACATAGTTAATGCATTTTACCGAAAGATAATTTGCTATTTACCGAATGCAATAAAGTAATATTCGATAACTTGCGTTGTTGTTCGATATTTTGTCACGTAACTTCGAGATTTGCAAAATGGCCGCGCAGCTATTCTTCATAGTACACATATATCACGTGACTGAAACCTCGTAAATTATCAAAAAATAACGAAATTTATCGAATGTGGCATTCGGTATCTACCGAATATAAATAATTTAAATACCGAATGTACAAATAATTAATTGAATTAAACGTGCGTTAAGGAAAACAAATTGATTCGCTGCATCACACAAATACATGTATAAATATCAAATGTGAATGTCAATATAAAGAACAAGTGAAACTATTTAGCGAATATAAATTGTATAGATTATTACATTTGATAAAATAAAAAACATTCGATAGATTGGGTAAAGGTTTGGTAAATTGTTTGTTTTATTTGGTATTCATGGAATATTAATGTACCGAATAAAGAAGCAGTTTAAACACCATACAATTAATCAGGTAAATTTTATTTTTTCTTAAAATTTGAGAGTACGCCTGGGCGTACTTGGCGTACACGTAGCTACGCCACTGCTATATCTGCCCGCTCGGAGCGGGACGTAAAGCTATATCTGCCCGCTGATGAAAATATAAGATTTTACAAACCGGCTTTATGTACCTGTAACACGTCCAAGTATGGGATAAATAAGAAATATTCTACTGGATTGTTTATAACTCAGAGATTGATAAATAGATGGCATGGCACTATATTGAGCTATGAACCATACTATTTTGTCTATAGCAAATATTTTAATAATATTTTGATTGTATGTTAAAAGATATGAATTCATGAATTTTGAATTAAAAATTACTATTTTTACATTTTGTATATTTTTGGTATTGTTTGTATTGTATATTATTACTGCATAAAAAAGGACTGCCTAAAATCAAATTGCTATGAAATATTCTTTACACATGTTGATCAACTCAATTTATAATACAATTACAAACTGAGCCATTATATTATGATGAAGTGTGTTAACAGTAACCTAAGTAGCCTTTCGTTGTCATTTTGGATTTGTTCAGTCATTTTCATCTTACACTGGTAAGATAGTACTTGTACATTTGACACTATCAAATAAAAATGATAGTTTCATGTTCACATAAGATTTATTGAGTTTTTGAAATTCTGCGAAAGTTAAAATTTGTGAAATCTCAATACATTTTTATGATGCAATCAACCTCGGAAAAAGAAGTAGAGGTTTATTATTTTATAAGTTGATATACATACATGTACTGTACTCACTTAATTTGGCGCTACCTATTTTGCCAGATTTGCAGTTTTGAACATTTGGTGTCTATTTAATTGGGTGGACATGCAATATTATAATGTACTAATGGTACTAATTTACATGGTACTAAAATAACCAGGGAATTTGGAGGCGACTTAATTTGGAGGACTTCAAAAATTTGGCGGATCTGGCAAATTAAATCGGCCGCCAAATTAAGTAGAAGTACAGTAAACTTTGTGTTCTGCAGTGTGGTGTCCACATGGAGTGTTGTTAGAAGTGATAATGTTAGGATGTTTGATAAATATTGGTTTAAAAATGTGCAGTTAAAGTGTTGTATAAGTTCAACAAGTACTGTAAAAATACATGATTCAAAAGGCTGGAAAGCTACAGATAAAGTGCTGAATAAGTACAATTAGAGTGATTTGTATATTTGGAAAATCTGGTTCAGTACTATTGTATAATAGTACAATTCCATTGTACTACAATACATTTATACTTGTGTTTATGTGCATTATGTATACACAATTATTGTATTGCAAAATATACATGTACATGTACCTTGCACAATGTTGCTGACAGTATAATTGTACGATTAAGTAATGTACAATACTGGGGCACAATATCGTATGACTTATGTACAGGGTGTCAAATAAGTCTGTTCTCCCCCCTTAACTTTTTTATCTTTAAATTTATCATACTTTCCCATATATCATTTTGAAGCTCATGGAAAATGCTGATCACCCCCAAAAAATCAATCATAAACTCCTCCAAATAAAATTGCTACATTGTTTCTTGTGAGGTTGTAGTTGACCTTTGATTACGTCAAAACAAGTAAAATTATCAGGTACTGTGAATGAAAGGTGAAAAGTTGATACTGCAGTGACAATGCCAACATTGGGTGATTTCGATATTTCTCAATATCATTACAGAGTAAAATATGTTACATTCAGGGGAGCCCTTGAGGCAGGGGCATCTTAAATCACAAAATAGTTGATAACACCTAAAATTAAATGCTCTGAATGATTTATACAGGATCATATCCTCGTAGAATTGAGGCCCTCCGGGCTACTTGGGGAGACATACAGACTATTAAAAAAGTGAAATATGGACATCACTAAAAATACTCTAGAAAATTTGGAATTTAACCAATCACTCTGAAATTTGGTGTGTGATCAGCAAATTAAATTCCCTTTAAGATGATATATACCAACCCTATGTTATCTCTGAATTAAAAAAGTTAAGGGGGGAGAACAGACTTATTTGACGCCCTGTACAACATATAATAGATGTCACAACAGATAAGGGATAGTGTCAACAGCTGTTGAAGAACAAACTTCATATCATAATGGATTAAACCCCTCCCCCCACTTCCACTATGTTAATCGAAAATGATAAAATATTGATTTGTCTCTCTTTAATTCTTCAAAAAAGCAACATTCTTTGCAAGCCATATTAATGTTAAATCAATATTTATTTTCTCCTTCGTCTGAATTTATTATTGCAAATTAACATTTTGACACTATCTCTTATGTTCAACAATACTGTAAACGATGTTTAGGTAGAGCTTATAAAATACAGTGTTCACATCCAACAAAATGTTGTTCATGATAAAAGGGTTCTTGATTATTAGAGAAACGTGTATATGTTTACGTATAAGGGAACATGTATGGTTATGTTAGATTGATTGTTAGGTGATTATTAACTGGAATAATAACATGAAATGTTGAAAATAACAATCTGTTTCTTTTTTATTATTTATTATCGCAGCCTTGTGCTATTTTGTGATCAGTTTCTCATGCACCTATTTTTTTAATAATTTTTGGTAAATTTTTAGGTGCAGATTTTTGATTTTCCATCCTAAAATCTTGGATGCAATCTTGTTTACGCGTGGTTACATTTGCTCCTATCTCTTCAACACCGGTGCCTGGCTATGAGTATTTTGTTAAAACTGAATGCAATTTTGAACAAAATACCCCTAGAATTGGCCATGTCTGAACCATTTGATGGATTGATCTGGAATCTTTAGGAACATTTCTTATCATAAAAGTTTAGAACTGATAAGGTTTTGGTCATTTGTATATTAGGGTATGTTGATTGTGTTATGATGGTTTGGTGTGAAGTTGTGCCCAATTGTTTTGTTCAATAATGAGACCGGTGTGGTTTAATTCTATTGTTTGGGTTGTGTCTGCTTATTATTGTTTTTTTCCAATTCTGTTGTGTTAGTTTGACAGTCTTTTGTCTTTAGATGGTTGTTTGTCTGGAAATGGACTGTGCCTCATTGTGTTAAGTTAATTTGACAGTGGGTTGTATGCCGTGATTGTGTTATGCTTGTTGGTATCATTCCTAATCGTGCGTATGGCGACCGTAGCTCACAAAATCGATACAGTATCAGAAAATCTACGTCGTCGTCATCCTACTGCTTCACCCTTTATTTTATGCGTTTTCTCTCAATTTTGACTCCCGTTCAGTTACCTTAGATCAAATGTGACTGAGGTATTACGGAACCATCAAGATACATTTGCATTCTTGAATTTTGTAGACACCTTGGAACCACGGAGCCTCTTTTCTGAACAAAAAAGTGATGTGCAATTATGATCTAAATATTTTGGTACTTAAGCCTTAGTCACATTTGCTCTACGGCGGTCGTATGGTTGCCGTAGCTTCACAAAATCGATATAGAAAATCTACATCGTGCAGCTCATCCCTATATTTTATGCTGCATGTTTGTATCGATTTTAGGAAGCTACGGCCGCCGTACGCCCGTCGTAGAGCAAATGTGACTGAGGCTAATGTATGAATTACAGCTTGTTTAAAAACAATCCCAAATCGAATCCATTTTTAAAGCTAGACTAAGTATATTGTCAAGATCAAACTTGAATTCAGGAAGTTCATCCATTTTGTTACGTTGACGATACGTCAACGTAACTAGTTGTAGTGGAACATTTGCGCTAGTATAATTGCAGATTCATCCATGTTTGATTCAAAAACTGTTTTTTGGCTCTCATGGTGATCCTTTGGAATCACTTCTCTGTTTTATACATTCCCCGTATGTCTATTGCCTTCCATTCGATTTTTTATTTCATTTGACTCAATGTTGTCAGATCAAGTTATTCAAAGCTTGCTTGGGTAAAAACTGAATCAAATGTCTGCTGAGAAGAAAAAATAAACTGAGAAATTAAAGAAAACATGCTTGGAGAACGATGTTTCTGATAGATCTATCACTTTTAAGCCTAGCCCTTTATTGTAATTTACTTGTACTTCTTATAAATATTAATTTATTCCACTGCGATAAAATAACTAAAACACGAACGACAAGCAAATCCCTTCGAACACCCATGGCTCTCCTTTTTGAAAATGGCCGCATATCACTGAGAGCAAGGAGGATTCGAAGCCGTTATTCAAACTCGATACTCAGTTGCCAAGCGTAGGCCAACTTGGTAACAATATTACTCATATTTTGAAGACTAGAACTGCTGAGGAAGCTTGAATGCTACCAAAATTTTCGTAATGACCATCTTTCAATGAATTAAGAGAAATATTTTTACTAAATTGTTCCACTGCAGGCAACGGAGTATCGAGTTTGAATAATGGCTGCCAATCCTCCTTGCAAGAGTGTAACGCGCTTCGAATTATTCACATATGAAATTTCAACAAAATCGCTCCTTCAACTTTCCAGTAAAATGTGAAATATCACACGTAAAAATGTTTGCCATATTTGAAAATGGCTGCTCATTGACCAAATTGTCAAAAGAACATATAATATCATTGAATGCGCTTGAACAAAATTGCACCATTTCTTTTCGAGTTGCAGTAAAAAACGTAAAATGACGCGAGTGAAAATGGCCAGATTGTCCTAAGACAGTGTACCATGGTTCTGATGAGAAGTCATACATGAAATATGAACGAAATCGCCCCATTACTTTTCGAGTTATAGTTAATGAAAATAACACAAGTAGAAATGTTGGCCATTTTTCAAAAATAGCCGCCTACAAGACAGTGTATCATGTTATGAGAATTCACATATCAAATATGAATAAAATCGCTCCACTACTTTTCCAGTTAAAGCATTGTGTAACGGCCACCATTTTTCAAAATGGCCAGAGAGTTTTTTATATAATTTAAACTTGAACTTTATTCATACATGTGTCATATCCTATACATTTTTTGCATTTTATTAATAATGAAGTTTTACATGTTGTACCTAGTACTGTAAAATTTACACTAAAATGGCGGCCATTTTTAACAAGTGGACATTTTGAATATCGGTTTTCGAGCAGAACCTGTACTCACATGGGGCATACGTATAAAATATAAACGATATTGAGCCAATGGCTCTTTTGAGTTATTGCCCGGACGGACGGACGTGCGTTCGTACGGATGGACCGAGCCGTTCTCTATATCCCTCCGAGCTTCGTTCGATGGGATAATAAATGTAACAGATTCTGACATATGGTAGTATAGGAATTTTTGTTTTATTTAAAGTTTTTATTCTCCTTTTTTTAATCCTGGGAATTTACTATCGTGTCGATTTGCGTATTGATAATAATACAATCCAACTTCAATTACCTGTAGTCATATTGTTGTATAATAAATGTTCTGGTTAAAGGGACTAGAATTGATAGAGATAAGTCTTAGAGTAAGTTTTGAATAAATTGTCTGATGAAAAAATAAATTATCTGAAGAATTTGGACATTTCGCCATCTAATATATTCAATAACTTTTATATTTGATCAGGTATCTCCTTTCGTCCGTTTTTCAGAATATGGAATCAAGTTTGTAAAAGAAAAATTGTCATGGTTTGAAGGATCCTTGCAGCATTTTATATTCTATCCATTCTAATTCCTTAATGTTCTTAATTAATATGCTGGGTACTCTTCGTATGGCTGTTGGTATGCTTGCTGATCATATACTGGCTGTTCGTATGCTGGCTGTTCATATGCTGGCTGCTCATATGCTGGCTGCTCAGGTATGTCATCTATGTTGGCATAGATATGCTCTTCTGACACTATTCCACCATTAGCACCCACTTGCATGTAACCAGAGTTTGCTGACTTTGCTGACCTCAGGCTTCGTTTTGAACTTCGTCGAGAACCAGATTTAACCTTGGATGGGGATACACTGGGATTTGTAGATGTTCCCTTCAGAAGTTCCTCCTTGGTTTCTACAAGAATAAATATGGTTGACTCTGGGGTAAGTTTAATTGATATAACATGCTGGTCTATTGGTTTCAGTACGATCCTTTGTAAACCTTCATCTGTACATCTTACTACAAAGAATGGTGGCTTAATAGACCATCAAACTTAGAGCCACCAAACTTGGCAAAACTACCCACGGGAAAAGAACTCTAACTAAGGGGGGTCGAACTCAAAATGTCTTGTTAACAAAAAATATTGCATACGCCTCGAAGGTCAAGAATTATGTTAGGTAGCACAATGTAGGTCATATTGAAGGTCAAGGTCATATCTGAGAATCGCATATTCCCGACAACATGGATCCAGTTTGTTAGTAATTTGGCCTTTAATATCAGGTCATGTTTTTTATATAAATATGTCCAAAGTGCATCTAGCTAAAAACAAATGTGTTCATTTTCTATACGTATGATTATCTTTGATATATATTTGGGAGATGTTTTATTTAAGATGGCAAAAAATATATTGGTAGGTCCTGTTCATTGCAATTTTGTCATTCCTTAAGCTCTGCCTTTATACTTAATTTTGAAACGTGAAATTAATTTTGATTGACTAATTTTAATAAGCCTGCATATTCTATTTTTTATTACTGTATGAAAAATGAAATAAAATTACTTTGAAAATGAAATTGTATGTATCGACTGTTGACCGCTAGAATGAGATAGTGTTGATGGCGACTCATTTTCCACATTCTGGTAATAATTTTTGTAACCTTACAATGGTAGTCTACAAAATAATTTAGATTGAATAGTTATCAATAAATATATTCACAATATACCTGAATCACCATCTTCCTTCGCTCCACCACAGGGGCAATTGAACAAATAACCTATAGTAGTAGCGGTTGGGTCTTCAGGATCCTTCTCATATGCACCATCAATAGATGTTTGTAGGTATCGTGTCAGGATCAAGAGAATAAGCTGGAAACAATCGTAGCGATGTCATCACTTTCAAAGTTTTCTAAATGTCACAGTCACGATTGTAAAAATAACCGTACAGGCCTACATGTGTTATAGATCTAGCATTTATCTAGTCATAAAATAAGGCCAGAATTATTTACCGTTGCTAGTTCATTTTTCATCAAAATTGAGCAATTGAAAAGGTTGTTCACTATAGATACAATCTACACTAAAATGGTTTTTATTTGCTGGGGAATGCAAGGAAGTCATTTAAAAGGTATGTTGCCGCATTTAGATTGCATTACAATTTTGTCTTTTTCTGTTTCACTGTCGATTACGCTGGTTACCGAAACGGCTCATTTCGGTAACAAAATGTCGGAACGTCGAAGGTGTGATTTTTCTTTTTTCCTTATTCCACTCGTTGTAGGCAGAATTCCCACGACTTATCCCGTACCAGGACTATAGTCCTGGCACGGGATAACCCACGACATTTTTATCACCAACGTGTATCAGTCTCATTGCTTAAATCGTCGATTTAATTCCTCACTTAAGTTACATAAACGTTATTTCGAAAAACCCGATAGGGATCAAAAATTACATTCGCAAAGGTAATGTCCAAAGCTGTTGATCTGATATGGTGCAATGTCAAATTAAAATAGAATGCGTTACCTGAACACCAAATGCGCCAATAGTGGTGAAGCCTACATTCATCAAGATCATGTCTGCGAAGAACGTCATCAAAGCCTCAGTACATCCAGTCCCATGAAGAGTGTTGCCAGTTTGATAATTGTATTTGAAATGTTTAGAGTTGTCGTGGACGTGATGATGAATACAGGGTCTCTCAGATTCAGGGTTACAGCAACTAAATGGCACATCGTCGTTGATGTAGATACCATTTGACATCTTCCTGAAAAACAATAAGTCTCACGATATCATTGTACTGTCTCTCACTTGTGATTAAAATGTCATACATCACTACGTTACGTATATAATCAGAATTTCTGATACTCAGAGAATCTTTGTCTTGCTAAACAGAAGAATGAAAGAGATGGGTACTCAATCTGTGATCTGTCACGATGACAATCGGCTAAATACTTGTATAGCCTAGGACTATCTTTGGTCTTGGGGTATTTCACTTCTTTCAATTCAATTGAAATATAAATCAAGCATAAATAAAGCCCTTTTATTTGGATAAAGGATGGTACAGACTATAGCTTGGTATTTTGGTATACAACTACTGTACTTACTGCCTCACACTTTGTTCATTAACGTTTAAATAGTTTTCGTTTATCCAAGATACTTTGAACCAATCTGTGTAACCATCCGCACCACAGCATTTGTATGCCAGTTGGAGTTCATCCATTTCTTTTTTAATTTCTCCACCATCCTTGTAATTTTTCATTGCGTTTCGAATCCCGTCCTGAAATTTTTATGTAGAATATTATTTTTATGTATAAGACCTAATCATACGAACACAAATATCTTCATTTTTATAACCACGTGACTTTAATTTATGTGACCTGAGACCATCATTTTATGTTAGTCTCAGATGTGACTGAGGGTGTAACTAATTTTAACTTCTAATTTCACATTTCACGCATATAGCTAAACTTTCAAATAAAAGGATAACTCGTAGGCCTATGTGAGACGATAACCCGGGATGTTAATTTTAAAGAACTTTAGGCCTACAATATATAAGTTGTATCTGAGACTAACATAAATTTATGATGGTCTCAGGTTGTATTAACACTTACGTCAAACGAATCTTCTAGTTTTAAGACTCCCCCAAAGCAAAGAAGGCCAGCAGCAAGCACACCAAGCAAGGCGAAGACAGAGACAATATTCATTGGTAGGAGAAACTTCTTTGCAGCCTCTCGAGTTTCAAGTCTGCTGCAATTTAAACATACCTTCCCACCGATGATATTTATGAGGAACATCAGCCCTCCAACTCCCAGAAAGAAATAAGGAATTACGTCACCTTTATATTGTTCAATCAGATAAAGTTTATTTTGAATTACAAATTGTATCCATCCTCCAAATCCCAGGAGAGCCAAAGAGATTGATACGCAGATCCAATTGAAAAGGGTCAATGCTATCGACAGTCGACAACGTCCTCCCTCCGAGATGTTGACAGCTAAACACGGTGGCATGATCTACGGCTATGAACTTATCATGTTTCAGAATAAAATATCGTTTGTTCGATTTTTTAAAATTTGCATCTTTGTGAGTTCACTCCACATCGAGAGGGAGATCATGACGTAACCATGTTCTAAAACAAACTTTATGACGTCATTAATAATAGATGCACTTGATTGAATATTTGGACGGGCACTATTACAAAAGAAATAAGAATCCCATTTATTAGTATTTATTGTCACAGACTTTATTTTGATTTAATACGTTTCGAATGAATACTGCATCCATGATCACTAAATATTATAAAATGAAAACAGTTGAAATACATCCAGGTAAATCTACTTATTTCGTCATTGAACCTTAACAACGTCAAAAAATGATTTAGCCTATAGCTGTGGTGATATAACTTCAAGTTGTAAACAGTATATGTTGTCTCTATTGAAGTTTTTTATGTTTTTGTATGTCATATGTATGTGAATGGCTTCTCTTTTTCTGTTCCTTTCCTGTGCCAACTATTTTATCATTGGTGATTTTCTTGAAGAATATGATCTGTAATCGCTGATTTATTAAAGCAATTAAATTATGTTTTTATTGTTTCTAGTGTAGTGACTAACTCGGCTTCCGTTTTGTGTTCCTTGATATGGATGCCTAGAGGTTTACTTAACTTGTTTCAAATTCTCCGGCTATGTAACTTTTATTACAAATGTTGCATGGAACTTGGTTTACAACGTTCGCGTTGCGATTCTGTTTGACTTGGTCTTTAGCCCAAACATGAACATTTCTAGGTGTTTGCACGGGTTTAAAAGCTACCTTGATATATTGCTCTCATACATTTTTTCACATAGGGTATGGTAACTACCTTTATTATTTCTGCCTTGTTCTTATTTGTATCTGCTTTACTTTTCAACCATTCCTGTGTCTTTTTTAATGGTCCATTTGGAGTAACCGCATCTTTCTTATGCTGTTTTAACATTTGACTTTCTTCTACTTTGTCCAGTCTGTTCACCGCAATTCGATTTGCAGTGAACTGGTTGTGCCATCCTGCTCTTCAAAACAACCAAACAACGCCACTATATATAGGAAAAGATAATACTTCAAACATTGAAATTGTCACAGGAAGTTGTATTCCTGTGACGTTTGGTCCTATCTGGGGTTCTTTGGGCGTCCTCGCACTCAGTACACGTTCAAGTGGAAATTGTTTGGATGATTGTCTTTTCACACAAGGTGTGTCCAAGTTCCAGCCAATCCGAACACAGTATTTCGTATATCTGCTCCGCATGATATAACAAACTAACCGACCAAGGTCATTCGTGGAATGGTTGTCAGGGTGACAACTTGACTCTACAGATTGAAATTGATGCTTTGCCAACTTAACCCGTTATTTCCTCACACTCGATGCTGCGCATTTCAAAGGTTGAAATAACACCTTTTTGAGGAATGATTCAGTTTACGTTGTACTGACGGAGTCCAGGGCTTAAATCCTTAAACAGAGTGATGATCTGGAAAACGAAGTACGAAAAAAGTATCGTAACATTCGAATCCAGAGATGCCCTGGTACTGGTAATGAAGCTAGTAATAACCCGGGAGAAGAAATATCAAATCCCCGGGAATGAGTCCGAATGACGTCTTGCATTTAACCTTGAATAAGCATGTGTCTACAGGAGATCAATAGTTCGTATGTTTACTGCAACATTACTGTTCGGGGTTTAAAATAGATTTAAGTGTTGTCTTATTTACGTAAATCAGTTGGAATATTCTAGAGAATCAATAAATTGATAATTTGTAAGGACTTTCAAAATGAAGTTTCTCGAAGTTTCTTATGATTTCTACTCCATATTTAGAAGAAGAATGCTTGTCACTAAAATGTTATTAAATAAAAACGTGGGTTAGCAACGTTTATAACTGTTTTGTAAGATATTTCTGGAACCGTCTCTCTGTTATTAGGTAAGACCTGATTTTCAGATGACGTCAATATACGGGTTCCTGTTCCAACCAGTTCGTCCATTGGTAGTTTATATTTACATACACGGAGCGGTAGATTCAGAAACAGAAAAAGTATTTGGGAAAGATTGAGCGTGAACAGAAGGAGAAGCTGTCCTTCATATTGGGACTAAAGGTATGTTTATTGCACCAATACCATTTTCATACTGATTAAATTACACGGAAGAAAAGTAAAGCCTATATTGAAATGAAATAATTTCGATTTCCACATGTCATTTCAACTGTAGTTTCATTGGTGCATTTTAGGGGGCTCGACTCACCTAGTCTCTCGCCAATAGGATTTCGTGTTTCAATATTGATCTACTTTCACTTTCATTTTATGTAAAAAAATATTTAGTTGTCTTCACTTCATCATATGTAAGTTATGATATTCAAATCTTCTATGTAATCCATAAGTGCACTGGATCCAGAAGGTAACAAGGAGGGGAGATGTAGATGGGGGTGGGGGGTGTATTTCAAATCATTTTTCGCCTCCTGAATTAAGGCCCATTTTTGATAATCTCACCTAAAAAGGCCATAAAACGGCTAAGTAATGGCCACTAATTTTTTTGGGCCCAAATTTTTTCTGGCTGTCCCACCAAAGGGGCTCGATGTTATGAAGTGCCATAATCATGAATGGAAGCATGAAAAAGGGAACCAAAAGGACATACATGTATTATCCCGTTCCAGGACTATAGTCCTGTACGGAGCCAATACATTTGCCTGTACGATTACAACTTGGGAGAATTATCTACGCCCCTTCCACTTAAGAAACCTACCTCAATGCATTCTAGAACTCAAAATGTAACTTCTAATATATTGGAACCGCCGATTGTCTGGGTTAGTTGGCAGAACGAGGTCTTTTTGTTTCTTATGGCTCTTTTGGTCGAAGTTCGATTAAGATGGCGGTTATAACGGAATTTCCCGAACTCTTCCGTAATAGCACGAACTTGGTTTTTCGTTACGTCACTTCCGTGTAAAATGGATTTGTTTCGGGTAAGAGGGAATTTCGAAAATTTCGGACAATATTTTCAATATTTACTGCCATGTCGACATCCTATGCTCTTAACTGTATACCGAATGGTTAAACAATGTTTCTTACCGGAAACAAATCCATTTTACATGGAAGTGAAGTAACGAAAAACCAAGTTCGTGCTATTACGGAAGAGTTCGGGAAATTCCGTTATAACCGCCATCTTAATCGAACTTCGACCAAAAGAGCCATAAGAAACAAAAAGACCTCGTTCTGCCAACTAACCCAGACAATCGGCGGTTCCAATATATTAGAAGTTACATTTTGAGTTCTAGAATGCATTGAGGTAGGTTTCTTAAGTGGAAGGGGCGTAGATAATTCTCCCAAGTTGTAATCGTACAGGCAAATGTATTGGCTCCGTACAGGACTATAGTCCGGGAACAGGATAATACATGTATAGATTACAATTAATTTCTTCAAATGCTGTGATTCGTTTTTTCAATTCCTTGTGAAAATGTTCAACTCCAATAATCTCATATATGAGATATCAAATCGTCACCTAAGCTCTCAGAGAAAATGGGAAGAATTTTTAGATATACTTATTTCTCATAAAATCATTCATCTACTTATTTAAAACTCGACAGGCTTCATATCAAAACACTTCAAATAAACAGATAAAGTAATGTTCAAGAAAATCTGGATAAAATATGTGCATCAGCAAATGTCAATAGGTCAACATTTTTGAGGTTTGCCATTTTACACTCTTTCAAAGATATAGAATGTAAACAGTTTTTAGTCCTGTTTCTGGATGTCCCATTTGTTCTCTTATATATACTGTGAAAAACTCTAAACAACATAGTTTGACAGTCCCACAAGTATACCATTCCATTCATACTAGTTAAGCCCTTGTGTAACCCCCTCCCATTATCATACAAACTTGGGTATGTTAATGAGGATGTTAGCTTTCTACAGGTTTTGCCTCAACTCCAATAGTCTCTAATTTAGTAGATTATCTCCTGTTTCATAGTTTAAATTCAGTTGTTTACAACTTTGTGAGTAGTATTGAGCACTGTATTGTCATCTACAACCTTTAGAGATGACAGGTGAAAGGTCATCTGTAATCGTAAAGTTAACCTCATATTAAGACAAATACCCTATACACCCTGTACTTATCTTTTTACTAGTCTTAAAAGTACAATTTTGTTTATATCAGAATTTCTCATAGATGCACTAATATTCATTTGAGACTGTATTTTGATAACGATCTGTTGATCCTGTTCATATGATTGCTTGATTATGTGGATCTGTTCACCTTGAAATCTCTTGGCTTGTTCTATTAACCAAAATGTTGATTATGGATCAATTTAGTTTTGAACTAAAGTAGATTTGATAGAAGGAAGCCTCATGTGAAGCACTGTTGTTTAAATGAAAATTGCTTCAAAAACTTACCATTAAAATTACCATTATATGGAAATCAGTTGTATGGGTGTTTATCGTGGGGTGTCTGCAATAGATTGAAATCAGCTATTGCCCCGAACCGGTCCGTCTTCTCGCTGCAAGCAGATTGCCCCGAACCAGTCCGTCTTCTCGCTGCAAGCAGGAGGAAATTCTTTGTCACAAAGTTTGGCATTTTTTATAAAATCAAACGCGTGTCATTGAAACTCACAAGATGTAAATAGCATGTCATTTACATCATACCTTGATGGGGAAAAATAGATCTTATATGTTAGAAGTACTAAATAAAAGTTATCGTGAAAATGAGACAGTTGTTCTCGAGAGAAAAGAGCATAAATGCGCATTTGGAGAGTTTTGGTCCGTTTAAAAATCTGTAAAAAATTGGGGTACTTAAAAGCATCGGGAGGCATCATATATTTCAAATTAGACACGAGGAAGTCAATATTGAGCAAGTTATGGCTATTTTAAATTCAAATAAAACCGTTAACCCGTACCGGTCCAGCTTTTGACCCGTACCGGTCAATTTTCGTTAGCTGCGTATACCAAGGGTGGAAGTTCAATTATCAAAGTGTGACCATTTTCTAACCTACAGTGAGTAAAGTTAAAATCATTGTGTGCAATCAACAGATAGTTGACTAGTTGTATTTCCGAATTACCCCCAAGAAGTCTAGCCCATTCAACTTTAACTAATTGTACAATGTGTGATTTTGGGAATTCCTTACCAGAATCGATATTCTAAAATACATCACCTTTGCGGCATCTTGGTTGTCTAATTAGAAGTAGAGGCACATTTACGATATCATAGACGCTTAGTATGCAATGATACTTTTATGGAATGTCATGGCAACCTTAACAACTTTCAGAGATTTATTTTCTATAGGGTAAACCAAATCTTGGTTGTGAGCTCAAAGAGTAATAAAGATATTGGCAGGATCGATATCAAGTAAAAATATTGCTTTTTAGGTTGTAGGTAATATGGTTTGAAAATAGGATGTATGTGTACCAGTTATAGAAATTGGCATGGCGAGACAACAATTATTTTCAAATAGATAAATTTGAATATGTATTATTTAAATGAGTATATAATAATTGATCAGTAAATTTAAATTCAGTAAATCAATTAGTTGAACTCACATGGGAATTTAATTCACTGGATGTGTTTAAAGGAGGCTATTTCTTATTTCCTGTCAACCTTAATAGGTCCCTTGGTTGTATTTCAAAGTTAGAATTTTTTGGGTATAGGTTACTTTAACATGATCTCTATAGACTCACTTCATGTTTATTAACATTTATTCTATTGTTATACACTTGCTGCATTCTTTCTGAATAGGGGGTGAATAATCTATGATATCAAGGGGCTGTATATTTTGATCAGTATTGAGACTATCCAGGATAATTATTAGTAGCCTTTGTTAAAATATGTTAAAAGTTATTATGGAAAACTATCATTCAGAGTGTAGGACATTTGCTTCTTTTTCAATAACGTTACATTGGATCATAATTATGGCTTCCAACCTCCATACAGAAGCACAATTACTCAGATGCGAGGAGGTAGTTACCAGTTTCGCCACCAGGTGGCTGAGTCGGGGGAAATAACATGGCAGGGTATTACAGAATTCCCTTAAACTTGCATATTCATCAGTTTTAGTGGTTCACTTTTCCATATTACCCTTTCAGTGTATCTGATAGTTATACAAATTAAAATATGCCCAGTAAAAGAAAATATAATCTGCCGAACACAAGAAAAGATATTTCACTTTTTGTGATTTTACAACATGGGCTCTATGGGGAATCTCCCCGACCTAGAAGTCACATTTTCAAAGGAAATTAAATTTTCAAAGTTGATAAACTCTTTTCAAAACCACATTTTTAGATGTAATTCTACAGGTAGATTCCAAATATGACATCAGTTTGACTGAATTTTTATTTTTTGATGACTTAAATCAAGATTATTTCTACTCGCATCTAGTCTATTGACATTGTCATTGAACATGCTGGTTCCAAAATTGTCACATCCTAACAAACTTTCTCAATATTCCTACTTGTTCTAATATTTGCTTTTTGTTCTTTAGTGAACTGGCTTGTGGTTGCTCCAACTGCAATCCGCATTGTCTGATTACCGAAGGCCCCATAGCTTAAACCAGACTTCATTTGCTGCGTGAACCCCTGCTGCTTCAATTCATAACCATTACAAGGGGTCCCTCAAAGTCGCCAAAATGTCTGATGTATTTCTTGGATCCCCCGGGATAAAGGACTTGTTACTCGAAACTGATATTGAAAATGAAACCCTTGCAGATGTTGAGACTTGTCATATAACAGAAGGTTTGGGAGGTAACAAAAATTTTGTATGGGAGTTTTTGATGAGTGTGTTAGCTGAATCAGCAACTACACCATGTCATGTAGTTCTGGAGGTGTAGCATATACCAACGGAACTGAGAGATGGTTCAGTAAACCCCAACAGATACAGGGAATATTCTACCCAGCATCATCTATCATCAGCAGTGTAACTTGGCTTCACAGTTGACCAGGCACCATAATGCCCTCACACGTGACCAGGCACCGCAATGCTCTCACATATGACCAGGCACCACAATGCCCTCACAAGTGATCAGGCACCACAATGCCCTCACATGTGACCAGGCACCAAAATGCCATCATGTAACCAGGCACCATAATGCCCTCATTTAACCAGACACCATAATGTTCTCTCATGTAACAAGGCACCATAATGCCCTCATATGTGACTGGGCACCAATATGCCCTATTACGTGACCAGGCATTATACCATAATGCCCTCATGTGTGGCAACGCACCATTGCTCTCACATGTGACCAGGCACCATAATGCTCTCAACTGACCAGGCACCATAATGCACTCACATGTTGCCAGGCATTATAATGCCCTCATATAATTCCTGCACATGTTACCAGGCTTGATGAGGCATCATAAAGCCCTAACATGTGAAGAGGCACCATAATTCCCTCACATATGACCAAGTACCATAATACCCTCACATCGTGATCTGGCATTTCAATGCCCCCACATGTAACCAGGTACCATAATGCTGTCATATGTGACCAGGCTCCATAATGCCCTCACATATTATCTCATGTGACCAGGTGTTATAATGCCCTTTTATATTCCCAAGCATCATAATGCCCTTGCATGTCAATATTTTTGGGTTCTGAACCATGTAATTTTGTTGCATGCTCCTGGACAATGTGTTTCAATTCTTACATGGTTTTAGATCATGCTACATTGTATTGCTTTGATTTGCTTTGTATTGCTTGGTTCTCAACACTGTAAGTAACATTGTGTTGCTTGGTTTAGCACATTTATTGAAATTAAGGGTACCACAATCATGTAAGTACTCAGTTGTTCAAGAAAGAAAACCTTTCAAAAATGCATACTGCTAGCCTGCAGTATTTCAGTTATCTCAGAGCTCAGTGTTAGCTCTCTGAGGGGAAGTATATAGTGGGAGGGGATCCATAGGCTTAACTACATTTTGACATTTTGGTGAATGGTGCCCTGACATTATTTGCTAAATTGCATGGGAAAGAAAAATGTAGGTCTGAGCCAAGGGAAAAGAAGTATTAAGCTCAATCAAGAATGTGTTTCTATATTGAACTTCTACTTCTTTTCACTTGGCCTGTGGTCTGATCATAGATTTAAGGCTATGTACGGAAGCACATCTGTTATGTCCAGAACATGGACCCAAAATCTTTGGTATCCAGAGTTTGTCATCCTACCTTGATGCCAAAGTTTGGAGACACTGAAAAAGTCATTTCAATTGGAAAAATTAGATGGATGTCAATTTGATTTGTAAACTGCAGTGGTACATCAGACACTGCAACTGACATGAGAGGTTACCAAAGGGAAATATGGAACAGATTTTGATTTGCAAGAACATCTTTTTCTAGGACTTAAATTATTATCTGGCCTTCAGACTATTGGTTTAAAATGCTGTATTATAATTAAATCAAGTGATAATTAAGTGAAAAGATAAAGTTACGGTAGATTTAAGAGATTAGGATATTGTGTTTTCTACTTTTAGTGTGATTTAAACAGGAAGTTACACATAGCATTAAGACAGTTTATTCCTGGGGGTCTATCTTCTCATTTCTATTATAGTTTTGCCATCACTCTTCATTGATTTGATTAGTTCCGTCGCCCATAATTCCTAATATGGGAGAATCACTGTTTCTTGTATTGTCTGATTTATCGATGCATGTGTCAATTTCTAAATCATAATAACTTTAATATTATGCAGGGCTGAAAAAAATGAAAGCCTTAAGATTAGTCTGGAAAGGTCAGTTTAGAGTTCCTATTGTTCAATGCGAAAAAGACTATGGGTAATAATTAGGAAAATAATAGAGCTATATGAAGTGGACTGTCAGGTTTTATAGCTGAGTTAATGACATATATATGCAATTCGATCAATACCACTTCAAAGTATAGTAACAACTCCACTAATGTAACTTACACAGTGAATATAATCATGATTATTCCAGAGAACAATGTCTTTGATGAAATGTCAATACAGGCGTGTAAAATATTAAAAAAGTAATTGCATACATTAATAGGCAACCTTTTGATTTCTAAACATCATAATACTCTATGAAGACCTATACGTTAGCTTGGAACCAAGGATTCATTAATTGATTCTAGCCTGATTGTTTTCATAGGTCAGTTCATTTTGTGGAAATGTCTGATAAGTTGTTGCATTAGTTGTCAAATCTATCACCAGAGGGAGTCATGGAGAGCATACAAAAGGTGTGAAAGCCATCTCCGTCTGTCTAATCGAAAATTTTGTTTTTGCCAAATTCTGAGACAGTTATGTCACATTTTTGACTAAAAATAGCTATTTCAAGTGAATATTGTTCACATAATAATGGTACAACCTGAAAGCCTAGACAACATAAAATTGTATTATTTTTCATTTTGACCAAAACTGGTTAAAATATGCCTTGTTTCATACTTTTTTCATTTTCAAATGAGTGCAAGCCTATTTTCAAATGTCCATATAATATGATACATGCATATCTTTGAAAGTCACAGATGAGCCAATCCTTAAATCGTTGTTTCTCATTATTTAGGTGGAGTCTATAGAATCCACAGTGTTTGTTTCATTCCCAATATAGATTTAAAGCATGGACCAAGACAGGTGAGATTGAAACAACAGAAACTTTTAAGATGAACATGACATGTGCCATCTCAGACCACTTTCTTTCATTATTAATAGATGGCAGCGTGTTAGACAGTGTGTGTACCATTGAATTTAATTTAGAGATTGAATCTATGTGTGTATGTGTGGAGGGAGGGGGGGGGGAGTAAGGCAAGACTTAGTACAGTAAATCCATGTAAGTGGAACACCTTTAGTACCTCTAAAAAGTGTTCCACTTGGGAAGTGTTCCACTTAAGAGGTTAATTTAACAATAAGTCAATAATAGGTTGGAAGTGTTCCACTTATGGTGGTGTTCTTTACAGAGGTGTTCCACTTTACAGCACTGAATAGAAAGGGTCATGATTGAAAGTACTGTCTTCTTCACTTGGATATGATTTATAGAAGCCAGAGAGATAGTTTATGAAAAATTGAATTTATCATTTACAAGTACTACACAAAGGTTATTAGGTGGAAACAGATAGTCTGGTATGAGCTCTGGTCAGCTGATCACTGTGATCAGCTGTTCGTAGAAAAATAGCTTGCTCGGTCATTAGAGAAGGGACTTTATAAGCCATAGGTAGAATGGAGTTAATTGAACTACCGTGTTTGTTTATGCATTTTTTGTTGTTACTATTAAAGATATTTTTATCAGGTTTGCCATATTGTTATAATCAGTTGGATTATTTTGTATTATGATATGGTCAGTAAATTTTATATTATGATATGGTCAGCAAAATTTACGATGTGATGTTTTACAATGTGTGGTTGGTTGTGATATTTATGATATGGTCAGTTATGTTATTTTGTTATGGTCAGTTATGATATTGTTGTATTGTTACATGGTCAACTATGTTATTTTACAATGTGATATGGTCAATGATATTTTACAATGTGATATGGTCAGTTATGCTATTTTATTATATATTTGGCATGGTCAGTTGTGTTATTTTACAATGTGATATGATCAGTGATATTTTACAATGTGATATGATCAGTTATGCCATGTACAATGCAATATTGTCAGTGATATTTTATTGCAATTTGGTTGGGTCACACTGGCGGATTAGGGGAGGGGGGCCTGGGGGCCCGGGCCCCCCCCCCCTTGGGTGGGCCCAGAAAAAAAAATTGGGCCCAAAAAGAATTTTGGGCGAAAAAAGGCCTTAAGGCCCCTAAATGTCGGCCTTTTTGGTCATAACTGGGCCTTTTAAGGCCTTATTTTTTAAATTCAGGCCAAATTTTGAAGAAAATGGGCCTCAAAATTTGGGCCCACTTTTGCCTTTTAGGGGCCCAAAATTTTTTTCTCTGACGTAAAATTTGGCCCCCCCCCCCTTGTTGGTTCCCAGATCCGCCCCTGGGTCAGTTATGTAATTTTACAGTGTGATATGGTCAGTTGTGATATTTTACTCTGTGATATGGTCAATGATATTTTACAATGTGATATGGTCAGTTATGCCATTTCACATTGTGGTATGGTCAATCGTGTATTTGTACAATGCGATATTGTCAGTGATATTTTATTACAATGTGGTAAGGTCAGTTGTGATATTCTGCTTTCTGATATGTGTTATTTTACAAAAACATAATTTATCAAATTTTTGATCAGTTTGAATCAAAATTATGCCATACAGAATGATTTGTTACCAACTTGCAGTTCTCGACTATTCTCACTATCATATATTGTACATGTACTTATGCAGCTCAAGTGTTTTGCGCTCATATGTTGTTTACCTGGGACATACTGACACATATGACATAAAGGAGGTCTTCATTATGTTTACATTGTAAGTAGGTGGCGTTATATTTTATATTTTCATTATTAGGAACTCACAATGCAGGTTTGCAGAGACTAGATTTATCCAGTGGAATAAGCACAATGTTTGAGAGGGTCAGCTCATGTAAGTACATATATTTTCTGGAATTTATAAATTCATTTATTGATAACTCAGTGTAGTGGAGCATAATGTGGAAAGCTCATTTTTAAAGTCATCGTTAATGTTTTTTCAATTAGGTCATTATAACATTATTTAAAGGACGTTAAGTTATCAGATTGTTAGTTGACATGAAGATTTTCGCTGGAGGAGTTAAACATTGAGCGTAATGGAAGATTTTAGGATGGAGCTTTGGTTACTAAAAAAGTTATTTCCAGGTAAGATTTCCATTAAACATTTTTTGTATAATTTTAAAAACAAATTTGCATATTTCTAAAATTTTAATTCAAAGGTTGAAGTCGAATTTTAATTACTTTTTTATTTCATCTCAAAGGTCTTTGACATATACACATGTTTTATTGATAATGAAATGATATCATAAGAATATTAATTATATGCAATTATTTTTAATCATAATTATTAAATTTGAAAAGTTTCAGACAGTCAAATGAATTTGAGGCCACTATAATAAACCAGATGTTTGAAGTTACAAAAATATTAGTATACAAGTCATGATAATTAAATAAATTATTAAATGAGCATATGATATAACAAAAACTACATTAATTACACAGGAAATTACATCATAACATTTCTTTTTTGATTAAGTATTATAATTATTGATTCATAACAAAAATAAAATATGATAATGCAAAAAGGATGAAGTTATAAAATTAGTATGTTGCATGTCATACAGCATATATGCATATCGTTTAGTTTTTAATGATGTGTTTTTAAACAATAAACTAAAAGTACATATTAATTTATAGTAATTTATAATACGTTAAATGTGTAATAACGTTATAAACACACAGCTGTTTACACATTAGCAGATATGATCATTCCCCGCAGATTTCATTAATTGCATCGTACTTGGACTTAACTTGGACCTTGACTTTGTAAAGTCTAATATAGTCTGGTCATTGAGAAATCATTTCTATCAGTCATTGGCCATTGATAGTACATATACTTTATAAGGCAGAGCTGGTCAGAGCTTCTAATCTTGTGATTGAGATATGTTAACACAAAAACTGTACCTAATGAACAGTATAAAGTTCCTATTGTTCCATCTGTTAAATGATAACACTGAGTGGGGTAAAAGATGAGTAGGAGGGGGGGGGGTTCTAAACTAGAGATGAAGTAAAACATGTAACTTTAAAATTCAAATTGAAAGAGTGAAATATGATTTGGTTTTTCCTATTTTTAATGAGAAATGTTTCCTTTCCAATGGTTTGTTTTTTGCGTCTTTAAGAGATAGTTCCATTGACAATCGTTGAGTTAAAGATGATTCTTTGATCAGAATACTTGGAATCCAGGCTGAGAATATGGTTGGTCAAAATCCAGTTACCTAATCAAAATAGCATTTTTTAATTTTATGCTTTTATAAATACTTGATTTTTTCATAATGGAACTCCTTTATTAAACGCTAAATTTAAAGTTTACTAAAGTGATATACCAGTATTAAGAGTTAATTGACATTCTAGATTCTAAGCCCTAGATGTTCAATAGTTTATACTAAAAATTCAATTATATTATCGATATCGTTTATTGGAGCTACTGACCTCACAGTAATAAAAACTCATCAACATTAAACAAATATATATCAATAGCTATATGGGAAAGACTTTAATTGATTCCATTCATACATGCTAATTTTCATCAAACAAAAATCATTTGAAAAGTGTATCAGTTTGTAGCATGGTGGCATCTGATACATTGAAAAACATTGTGAATAAATAGACGATTAAATGAGTTAATGTGCTCTCTCACACAAGACTTCACAAATATGGTATGATTACAAAAAAGCCCTGGATGGATGTGTATCCAGGTAGCAAGGCAAGGTGGCTAATCTCAGTTTTTTCAAATATATGGATATTTCCATAAATGCATGCATATTATTGCACAGTAGACTAGTCCAGAGAAGTTTCTGGACTCACCTCCAATTGACCTCTTGTAGAGGTGAGGGGGTAGTAGGTGGGGGGGGGGGGTCACCAGAAGGCCATTTTCATATACCTCCATATACCTTGATTCTTGAATGATCAAGATGAGACTTGACATCAAATTGTGTTCTGCCAATAGAATACCATCTTATTTTCTCTAATGGGTACCCCCTGCATTAATATCTGAAACACAAGCCAAGAAAACAGCAAAATGAAAGGCCAAAAACCCTGTTAAAATTCTCTACTAATTCCTTGATGCTAGGAACATATGCAGAGCTAAAAATATATACCAGATCCTGTTTACCTCATAAACAATTTTGGGTTTAAATTGCATCTCATCAATAACCATCTATGAATCCTTGTCAAAATTATTACTTTTGTGATAAAAAGGAAAATGTGTGAGTGAGATATTTCATTATGATAATGAAACTAAATATTGCCCTGGGTTTGAAATATTAAGATGAATTTCCAATGTTTAATATCTGGATATAGCAACAGACTAGCTAGAATGGAAATGACTTACTATATTTTACACATGCAAAAATTGATATCAGTAAAAGCTGACCAAAAATGGTAGAATTGAAACTCAGGAATGATGCTTGTTTTAAATGTGTGTACTTGCGAAGCATTTACTTTCAATAAACAATTTGATTCATTAGTACATTCAAAATGAGATTTAAAAAGTGTTTACATTTTGAGCTATTCACTTTTAAACAGTGTTCACATATACATGTTAAGCTCGCTGTATTTCATTATATTGGTGTTTGTCACCCAAATGTTAATGAACCTTTAAAATATCTAACTTGTAAACAGCTATTCTATTTTCCCATATTATTTCATTCAATTGGCGATGTCTTTGTGTTTTATTTACTTCGCTCTGTGGTAAAAGAGGTGTTTATAATATTCAGAAGAGACTGAGCATGCTTTTAGAATTGTGGTTTTTTAACAGTTTCCCTTTATATTTTCTTTACAAATCAATAAAATTCATCATTTATATCAACAAATACAAATACGAAAAATGTTGAATGATGCCTGTAAAAAATGAGGATATAATTGTATTATATTGCAAGCAAAAAACACTTATGAAAAACTTTGGTAGAAAAAGAGCTAAAAAGGTAGTGTGTTTTTTGCAAGGCCACATATCTGTAGTCAGTTAGTGAGAAGGAGTCAGTAGTCTAAAGGCCTCTAAAGCTGAAGTTAGTGGTGGTAGAGCTGAGCTTTTATTCTAGTTCTCTCTCAGGTAAAACTGCAACCTGCTTGGTTTCGTAGGAGCTTCCAGGTGGAGAAAGGAAGTGTATGATTTATATAGCATACATTATTCTTGCTCTGAACTGATTGAGAATCACATATAGGATATATCTGAGTCGAAGAATCACATTAGAAGTATTCAAGTCTGAAGAATTCACAGGACACCTCTAAAGAGAAAATCATTTTAGTAATTGAACAAGATATCTTTGTAATTAGGAGAATAACAACGGGATAGCTCTGAGTATTCCCAGAATTGCAAAGGAAGCAGTCAAATTACTCAATGAGGAAATAATTTAAAATCAGGAAAACAATGTGCTGAATATAGGTTGTTGTGAATATATTTTGAAAGGTGAGGACTGACTGATGCTGTCATCATATTTGAGTTCATTGACAAAGTTGCAGCACTTGAACAGATTGACAGCTTATTGTAGTATATTTGGCATAGATTTTTTTTTGGCATAGATAATCAAAATGCACAGTAGTAATTGGAGCAGACAGTACACTGACATAACTAGACCAGTGTGACATACTTTGACTTGAGTGATCTTCATTTCCTGCCAAGATTGATTACAGCACTGTCATGCGCAATTCAAATATGAAATATTAACATCTTGAAATAACATAATACCTTCAAAGGCTTCAGACAGTAGAAAGGTAGAGATACATTCCCATGTTCATATTTCTAATTATCAAAGGTCAGGTGATCATTACTCAAAAGAGAAAGTATATCACAAGTACTCTGTACTCTATACACACATAAATACATTTACTACAAACTAAACAAGTGTTTTACAAGTATTCACTTAAAAAAGTTAGGCTGACTTCAGCAGCCTGTGAATGACGTATATTGTTGGTGTTCCAGTAATAGCTTGTTTTTTCGAGTAGAAAGATATAAATTTGAGTGAAGTGTGAGCTATTTCAGTCTCAGGAAGAATCAGTTGAGTAAAAGAGTACAGGTCAGTAAAGTGTACTTTCTGCTGTAATCTAGTACAGTAAAGTGTACTCTGTACTGTCTGGTACAGTAAAGTACAGGAAATTAAATTGCAATATTGGATATCATACATTAGGGGTATACAGTTTGCTATTAATGAATCTGATATTAAATTAATAGTTACTATAAATTTATGGGTCAGTGATTGAGGAAGAATTTCTGCAGAAACAAGAAATCCTGATCAATAGAGACAAACGAAGCAGCCTGGCAATTTATCCTTATTTTACAGTACAGGAAATCTATTTAGTTGGATTGATACTAGAGCCAAAACACCAAAATGAATTAAGGCATTGCTTGGTATCGTGCTATGTCATGCTAGAATAGTTGGTATCATATACCGTATCTAGTGCTTCGTGATACAGTTCTACAGAACTGTATAGTGTTGGTAAACGTGAAATTATATATAATAGCACATTATTTGAGGATAGCCTCAAAAAAGCTCAGATTTGAGATTATAAAAGCTATTTTGGACTAAACATATATCTGGCTATATAGGAAAACACATACTGTCATAAGATATAACTCCGTAAAGGAAATATATAACAATAAGATATTAAATATTCATCATCCAACAGGAAAAGCTACTAGAACGCAAAAGAAGGATTATTGACATAATTACTGTGCAATAATACAAAATAACACCCTGGAGGTGATTGAATTAGGGCGCCCTCTGGCGTCTGGATTCCTCAATATGCCAGTAGGAGATTCAGACTTAGGTAAGTGAATTGAATCATGCATGACATGAATCGTTTCTTTCAATTATTCAGTTTGTTTTGATGGAATACCAT